GGGAGGGCTAGAGCGATGCCGGGCTCGCGATCACAATTACTGACGGTCCATCAGATCTGTCTGACATTTTACCCACTTCGTACCACGCTGTGGTCGACACGGGTGTGAAACCAGGGGACATTGTCGGTATTTGGGGTCTGGGTCCTATTGGGGTGAGCACTTTGTCCCTTGAGGTGATACAGCTAGCTGACAATTTCGATTAGCTCTCCTGCGTTCAATGGGCTCTCTTGAAGGGTGCTTCCAAAGTTTACGTGGTCGACTCGAATGACAGTCGCTTCGCCCTTGCCAAAAAGCTTGGTCCTAAGGTCATTGTTGTCGACTTCAAGAAAGAGGAGGTCACCAAGCGCATTCATGATGAGGTTCCAGAGGGTCTCGATGGTGAGTTTGGTTAGCTTGCCTCGATAATCTCATCTCACCCCTTTCTAGTTTCGATCGACTGCACAACTTTCCATGAGCCCAAGACGATCCTCCACAAGGTTGAAAAGGCCCTCATGCTGGAGACCGACGTCTGCGAGACACCTAACGAGATGATTTGGCTCGCCAAAAAGCTCGGTCGTATCGGCTTGATTGGTGTCTATTCGGGATACACCAATCATTTCAACATTGGCGCTCTCATGGAGAAGGGTCTGCGATTCATTGGCAACGGCCAAGCTCCCGTGCATCTCTACTGGCAAGAGATTCTCGACGACTATATCAAGACGGGCAAATTCGACGTCAGTCTGCTTGTCTCTCATCGAGTCGATCTGGAAGACTTCCCGCAACTCTACAACAAGTTCGATAAGAGGTATGCGGGAGTGGAGAAGGTTTTCGTTCAGACGAAGGCCAGGTAAGTGAACGATGCCGTCTTTTAGACACAAAGCTGACGCAAAATATTTTACACAGCTCGCCTCCTTCGGCCGGGTTCCCTCAATTGACCAAGGTGGACGATTGGGCAAACAAGATGCTTTAGGATGATATCTGTCGAGTGTAGCTTTCCATTTGTAGCCATAGTCTCCAAGAACAAATGCATTGATGAGAAACAATATGCACCTAAGAAGATCTACCCAAACCATTCTAGGCTCATCAACAAAGCCCCTCGATCCATTCTGCCATCTCAACATAGCACGGCAAGCATTCCAAATTCCATGCCAAAGTTATATGCTACAAGCTCGCTCTATACAAACTTTTCATTGCCTGTGAGACTCGATACCGGGGGTTGCACGCCTTGAAAGCAGCCCTTCTCCCATCATTCCCAATTCCACGTCCCCTACCTCTTCCACATTGACCTCATACCTCTGCCCTCTCCTCGAATGATGAGATTCAGTAAGTCGCTCAAACTCTTCTGCTGCTTCAAGCTCGTGTCTCCCATATGATGTGCCGAGCCCTATCAGAGCCAAAATCAGCAACTGGTAACGACTACATATGATCGGCTTACTCGCGAGTTCCTATTCGCCGTCCACCGCACTGTAACCTGCAGGCACGTTCTTTTGCTTCTGGTTTCCATTGAAGGGCCCAAAAATCCTGCTGACTAGACCTTGGCCAGAAGATCCGTCTGTTCTGGTCGGCAATGGCGACGGTCGGCGAGAGATTGGCAAGGAGGAGGAAGAGGATCTGTTCAAGCGATGCCGGCGGTGGATGTTGCCGACCAACGAAGATGTCTCGGACCCGGACCCATTTCCATCCCCATCCTCATCCCCATCCTCGTCATCTGACTCGTCGTCTTCGTCGATCTCGTCCCCAAACAGTTTGTCCATATCCTCCAGAGCGACCCCACGAGTTTCGGGATACACTGTGTCTGTCAGCTGTTGGACGTAAAGAAGAGCGCATGAAGCTCACAAAAGTAGACCAAGACGAAGGACATCGCACAGAAGAAGGCGTGCATCGGGTAGAGTCGCCACCCAATGAGCTCCTGGAAGAGGGGCGTGGAGACGCCGACCCACCAGTTCTGTGATATTGCGTTTAGCTTTATCACATTTGCGACGATGAGTACGCACCGAAATCCAATTCTGTGAGATCTCGGTCAGATAATGCTTGATCTCAGGTTGTATCGACTCACAGTAGCAGTAGACAAGGAAACGCCCTTGGCTCGGAAGGCCAATGGCATGATCTCGGGAGGATAGAGCCTACATATCATCAGATCAATTCACAAAAGAGAGCTTCACTCACCAAGGAACTGGACCCCAAGACATCCCAAAGGCCGCATTGTAGATGACCACACAAATGACAACTTTCAGAAGTCAGCGCGAGGCTTTACCCATTTCAAATATATCCACTTACCGGCGTTGGGAGTTATTGCCTGATCGATGTAGATCCACCATCCCGTGGCGGTCAATGCAATTGACATCGCTACAGCGCCTGTAAGGAGGATAGGCCTTCGGCCCGCCCGGTCCATCAAATACCACCTGGGTCAAATGTCAGAGATGATGCGTCCACAGAGTTGAGACATACGGAGGCAGGGAACTCGCGACGTAACAAAGGGCATTGATGCCAGTCATCAGAATAGCGTCACGTCCGATCCATCCGGCCTCTGTCAAAGCTTGTCAGCGCCAGCTGACCAGAATGACGCACCACTCACGCTCGAAAACAAGAGCTGTCAGCTGGGTCAGTAACCGTACTCGAGGGTTTCCAGGATTGACTTACGCGCATAGTATGAGATGACTGAAAGATAAGTATCAGTAACGTGTCTCAAAATATGGAACCAGGACTGACCGTTGATACCATTCTGTCAAATGTCGTCATTTTTCAGCAGGAAGGAGGTTCACAGAGAGCTCACAAGTTGGGCAAACAATTGACTGCTCATGGCGATTAAGACACGGCCTTTGTAACGCCTCCACAAGGCCTTGTAGCTTCTATCACCAACCGCTCGCTAGAGAGCGAACATGTAAGCGCTCAAATCTGACATAGATAAGGACGATCGTACGTCAGCAAGCACAGCATCTCTGATCTCTTTGTATTCTGCTTGTACAGTGTCTGCGTCCAGAGCTTTCCCCTGGAAATCAGCGATGACAGCCAGGCCTTCTACTTCTTGATCTGTGTCCACCAAGTACCTACAGATGGTCAGTATGAGCCTCGTTTTTAGCTTAGATCAGCTTACCGGGGCGATTCGGGGGTTACAAAACTCCCAAAGAACAAGAAGCCTCCGCCGATACATTGGACAGAGAGAGGAAGTCTCCAAGACCAGTCCGACTGGAAATAGGAGCAAGCATAGTCAATCCACTGCGAGGGAATCTGTTCAGCCGTCTGCATTGTCAATGATCGCGGGTAGGTACACACCACGGACGAAGCATATCCAATGATATTACCAGTGAATTCGACTGAGCCGAGCAATCCACGCTGGAATTCTGTTAGTCAACATCAAAACGATAGATATGGACGCGGTCCTTCTGCTTACATGGCTGGCCGGGGAAATCTCAGACTGCGGCGGGTCAGCATGTCATTCAGAGATCATCTCCGGGATACCCACCTGATATATCGGTACCACCATACTCAACATTCCGACGCCGAAACCACTTATGACTCTGCCAAACACCATGCTGTAGTAACCCACACAGAATGTTTGAAAGGCTCCCCCGATTGTGAAAACCAATGCACCCGTCCTGAGAGTCATCCGTCGACCAAAGTTGTCTGCGAGATGCGCGGCAGCCAAAGAGGTGACTGGTATCTGTGTAAGGCAATGATTTCTACATTTGGGGTTAAGGAGGCTCACTGAATGCTCCAATTTCCAAGACAGCTACCATACTGGGCAGTAGTCAGCGCGTGCCCCGTCTGTCACCGGTTAGGGAACACTCACTTGCCAAGCTCTGTGGATGTCGGCTGGTTGACTGTGATAGCTGTGAGAATGGTCCTGATCAACCCCACCACAGACTCACAGTAGGCTCTGTGAAAGATCAAGTCAGTGGTCAATCCTCTGGTGCTCAGTTGTAGATAGCCAACTTACTTGAAGTATGGACCGGTAATGACTCCTGCAAGACGGTTAGTATATCCAAGGGAGGGCTCATGATACGACAATGCTTACCTGACATGACTCTGCAAGGAGATAGAGGTGTCAGTACTGGGGCAGCTATAGGTCTGACCTTACCCTTGATCATATCTGCCAGTGTCATCAGTAGGCATCCTGGTCTCCTGATATCCCAGACGGACTTACCCGAACAACCATACTCCGATACTCAGGAAGACAGAGACGCTATAGAGCAGCGAATTCCCTACAAGCTTGTTGTTGGTCTTACCCCTGACCACGGGGATGGCTGGATCTGGCATGCTTGTCTACGAGTGAAGCAGTGCGGGGGGTGGGGCGACGATAGGCAGGAAGACAGAGGGTGATCGCGGGATTAGGGATAAGGGGGTGCCCGGGTCATGTATAGACTGTCCAGAAAGAGCGGTTGTTGCCTAAGCCAGAAGCAGGATGCAGTTGCACAAGACAAAGCACGCTGCCATCACTGCATCCCCCGCCGAGCCTCTGCGGCGGCCCTCGCCTGTACAGTCGCGTCGGCGTCATGCGACTGGCGCTCCTTTCTCCATCCATCCTGTTTGCCATCGTGAACGTCTCGACCAGCCTTGTCGCATACCCGCAGGGCATGGCCACCACAGGCAGATCCACACTGCAGTGCTTGTAGAGCTTGCTCGGCCTGCTTCGCTCTTATCCCTGACCAGCCCATACCCCGCGCCGAGTGGGCCCCCTCTTCTACCCCGCACATACATATTGGGCTTTGCAGGCAGACCAGCCGGTGCATACTTGTAGGTCTCTAGGGTACTCGTATTATTGGTGCACAGATGATGGACCTGCCTGCGTTTCCATCCGGGTGACTGCAGAACATGCGGGCATGCGGCATCTGTCATCGGCACAGTCCGTGCTCTTCTGGACAACGTTGTCGTTTGTCGTCCGTTACCACGACTGCATCAATATCTTCTCATAAGAAGGCGCTCGACCGACCGCAAACTTTAGCAGAAAGACATTATTAGACCGAGAACTGGATCCTACAACGTTAGCCAGCAACAACTACGACTTCTTTTGCGTACACGCCATGGTCAAGCATTCTGATCTCATTGGGAAAGCAGCTCCATCTCTTCAGCTGCCCAGCATCCCTGATGGAAGCTCATACAAGCTTCCGCTAGGTCAAAAGGTCAGTTACACCATAGGAAAGTCCACGATAAGCTGCACAGCTGACTATCCTACTAGCCCATAGCTCTTTTCTTCGTAAGCCCCCAATGATGCTAAGCTACACACGCTGACTTTGGCGTCTTTCCTCTACAGTTTCCTGCAGCCGGCACTATGGGATGTACTATGGAAGCCTGCTCCCTGCGAGACGCCCGGGTAAACAATATAGTGTTTCAGAGGCATCCAGAGTTGGAAGTCGTGGGCGTGAGCGGGGGTAATGTGTCCATTGTGGTCCCTGGCATCTAGAGCGCTGACCTGCCTGCAGATCCGACTGACAAGCAGACAAAATTTGCAGACGAGCACGGCTTATCATACCCAATCCTCAGCGACATTGATGGGCAAGCACGAAAGTTGTATGGTGTGGGTAGCCAGTTCTTTGGAATGACCCCCGGTGAGCAAATATTGCGACTCAACTGCAGGTTTTTGCTGACATATACGGAAGGGCGAGAGACATTCTTCATTGACGAAAAGGGTATCGTGCGTGGTGTGTGCGACAGCTCTATCAACGTTTTGTGAGGCTGAGTCATCTAACGGATATGATGATGCACTGACAAACTTTACGCAGTGAGCATACCAGGTTCATACAGCAGCAGCTTGTTGCCATTGAAAAAGAGAAGGAAAAGATCTAACAGACCATGCTGCATGTGTTGATATGCATTTTACCCGCGCTCGGCCATCAAATGCCTTCTACAACTGCGCCTTTACCCTCCCTCTCTGCCTCCCCTACCAGGCTTGCACCCTCGCTCGTCGGTCTGTCTAACCGTCTGCCTGCGAGAATTTGTTTGACTTCATCGAGAGACAATGTCTCATACTCTACGAGAGCCTCGGCCAGCTTTTTGAAATGTCATCAGACAATGGTTCAATTGGTCGGAATTCCGCTTACCTTGTGAAGTTCGCCTTCGTGCGTCTTGAGCAAATCGGCGGCTCGGTTCATACTTTCATCAAGGAAGCTTGTCCTGTGTGAGCATCCTGACAGGCGGTTTCCCTATCGCTAACGCTTACCTTCTGATCTCGCTTTCAATCTCATCCTTCTTCTTGCCCGACAAGTAGACAGATTCCTCATCGCCATGTGCCACCAACCCGATCTTGTCGCTGAATCCGTAACTCTGATAACCAAAAGTCAGGAACAAGTATTTTGCTTTTGGTGACAATCCAAACGTACTCTGATCATCCTGGCAGCAACGTCTGTGGCACGCTGAAGATCACTCGAACATCCTGACGTGACATCATCGTGCCCAAAGATCATGTCCTCTGCCGCACGACCGCCCAAAGCGACATCAATCATCGCGTTATATTCGCGTCGTGAGTACGAGTCTATGTACAGTCAGTCGAGATCACGGTAAATTGATCCACACACCTTTGTCCTGTTCCGGCAACTGGAAGGTAATACCAAGAGCCTGGCCTCGAGGCATGATCGTACTGTGGTTTCAAATCAGCATCATACCATCAAAAAGGGTATATACTGACACTTTGTGAAGCGGCATGGCGCCGGGTGTATGCAACGCAACGAGGGCATGCCCACCTTCGTGGTAAGCGGTCGCTCTCTTGGAAGCCTCAGTGACGTAGTGTGATTTCCTCTCGGCCCCCATGAGAATTCGGTCTGAAATACATATCAGTGCTTGCCCCTCATTTAATCCGGAGACGCACCCTTGGCCCACTCGAAGTGAGACAATTGGACCTTGGTGGCACCATCACGAGAGGCCTTCACGGCCGCTTGGTTAACCAAATTTTGCAAGTCTGCCCCGCTCATACCCGGACAGCCTCGAGCAATGACGCTAGGGTCGACGTCCACGTCAGACTGGACACCAGTCATGTGATGCTTGAGGATTTCGATACGTCCACGAACATCGGGGAGACCAACGACGACTATTAACAGTTAATCGAGGTCTTCACTGTGACAATCGATGGCTCACCATGTCTGTCAAATCGTCCGGGACGAGTCAAGGCCTTGTCGAGAGACTCGGGGAAATTAGTTGCGGCGATAACGACAACGTTCTCAGACTGTTCGAAACCATCAAGCTCAACCAAAAGCTGGTTGAGGGTTTGCTTCATGTAGTGTTGGTCCTTGGCACTTCGTTTGGATCCGATGGCATCCAGTTCATCAATAAAAATGATGGCTGGGGACTTTTTCCTAGCAGCGGCAAACAGCTCTCGCACTCGCTTTGCTGGAATGTTGTTTAGTGATGGTCTACTCAAACATTAAGCGCGTACCTCCGACACCGACAAACATCTCGTCAAAGCTTGAACCAGAAGCAAACAAGAAAGGAACTTCGGCTTCACCAGCGACAGCACGAGCCAACATGGTTTTACCTGCAAGGAAAATCAGATATTGGACAGTTGTGAGCGAGTGACTTGCCTGTTCCGGGAGGTCCTGTAAGAAGTACGCCCTTTGAAAGTCGGCCACCGAGTTTGTTGTAACGTTCGGGGTCCCGAAGAAAGTCGACGATCTCGGAGAGTTCGATCTTGGCTTCCTCGACGCCGTGGACATCGCTAAACTTGACGATTTTGCCCTCTTCAGGTTCAAACTCTACCGGGCCGGGCCCAGCCTTCAATAAACCAGTGTTCTCCATTACCATAGACATTACAGTGAGGATAATAAATCCCCAAAGAAGGAAGCCACCAACCCACCGCAAAGCACGCCAGGCGTTCATCTGTGGTGTAGGCGGCGCCATCTGAACGTATATGGGATTGAGAGGTGTACCTGTACCAGATGAGGAAGGCGAAGAGGTATTTGAACTGGTTGGCGAGTGTCCGAGGAGTGAAGAAGTCAAGGAAGAGGCCGTTGACTGGACAGACGAAGGGGACGGTTGAGATGTCGAAGGTGGTGAAGCCGTAGCAGGTGACGTCGATGAAGAAAGAGGCGAGACTGGAGAAGGAGAAAAGGTAGATGTCGGGGCAGATTTGGCGCCGATAGAGGCTAGTAAACGATCTCTTCGTCGAACCTTCGAAACCACCTCCGCCATACGGCTCGATCGAGCCAGCGCCTCCATGTATATTCCCCACGCCTCCTCGCTCCTAAGAAGAGCATGGCTAGCAGATCCATCTTCTGCCAGCGCCACCGCATCGTAATATGACGCAAGTCCAACGTACTCTCCACCCTCTAGCAGGGCGCGCACCAGAGCCAACTGAGCATCGGCATTCTCCTTGTTGGATTGAGCGGCGATCTCAAGCTCGGCGATCTGAGATTGGAATGCGGAGATAGGATGATCGGCCTCATTCGCAATGACCTCGGGGGAGACCGGTGAGGGCTCGTTGCTCTTCTTGGATCCAAAGATGGCGAACGGGGTGGGCGAAAAGTGGAGGCTTCTTGAGGAAAGCTTGAGGGCCGACGGTGGAGGGCGAGGAATGCACCTCGGTACGAATAGCCCCTGTGAGAACAGGACTCTTGCCTGTAGAGGTCTGAGGGCCATGAGCAGGAGTAAGCAATGTAAACGTGAGAGAAAGAACGTAAAAAGTCAGAAGTGATGCATGATCTCGTGACGTGGGCGTGTGCAAAAATGCGGGCATGTCCGCGCAAGATTTCGGCGAGACCATTTCTGAAGGCTGCATGTTGTTGTTTCGCACGTATCTTCACCATGAGACTGGACGCTACCGATCTCCGTTACATCAGTGCCGATGAGTTCCGTGTGCTCACCGCAGTCGAAATGGGCTCCAAGAATCACGAGGTGGTCCCTTCAAAACTAGTCGCAGAGCTCTCCCAGATCAGGGGCGGCAATGTCAAAAAGTCTCTTGGCGAACTTGCAAAGCGCAATTTGGTCGCCCGCGTCCAAAATGTCCACTGTGGGTCGAACCATCCCTTGTGAAAACTGCTGACGTTTATGTAGACGACGGTTATAGACTCACTTATGGTGGACTCGACTATCTCTCTCTCAGGACCTTTTCTCGAAGAAAGCTCCCGAGTGTCCACTCTGTGGGTTCCAAGATTGGTGTCGGCAAAGAGAGCGACATTTACGTCGTGGCGTCTGAGGAAGGCGAGAAGCGAGTATTGAAATTGCACCGACTCGGAAGAATCAGTTTCCGAGCCATCAAAAGCAAGCGAGACTACTTGGGGAAGAGGAAGAGCGCATCTTGGATGTACATGAGCCGCTTGTCTGCTCAGAAGGAGTTTGCGTTCATGAAGGCGCTTTACGATCACGGCTTTCCAGTCCCTACACCCATAGACCAAGCGAGACATTGTGTTGTCATGTCGCTCATTGATGGCTACCCTTTGTAAGCACCGATGTTGCATCATGTGCATCAAGCTGACATATATCAGGCGCTCAATAGAGCAAGTCGACGATCATGCTGAACTCTTTTCCAAACTCATGGAACTCATCATGCGTCTTGCCCAAGCAGGCCTCATCCACGGCGATTTTAATGAATTCAACATTATGCTCTTGCGAAAGACTGGCGAGCCTATCGTCATTGATTTTCCCCAGATGGTCAGCACAAGGCACGAGAACGCTGAGTAGTGGGTATATCTGTCTTTACAAAGTCCCGTCTGACACGTATACAGCTTTTTCCAGCGAGACGTTAATTGCGTGCGACGTTTTTTCAAAAGACGTTTCCGATACGAAGCCTTGTCTTGGCCGACATGGAAAGACGTACTTGAGGCTGAAGAGGAAATCGAGCAGCCACAACCTGCCGCGGGCGAGGCCGAAGGCGACGCTGAAAACCAGGCCGTGGAGTCGCAGCCAAAACGAGTCCGGATCGATTTGGAAGTTGAAGCGAGTGGCTTCGGGCGGGCCATGCAGCGCGAGCTTGAGGATGTAAGTGTCTCTCACAATGGAAATGTGTGTTCCAACTAACGATATATACGTAGTACATGATTGAAGTGCAGGACATACCTCTTAGTGATGAAGAAGAAGACGAAGATGACGATAGCGAAGACGAGGACGAGGAGGAAGGCGAGGACGAGGAGGAAGGCGAGGACGAGGAGGAAGGCGAGGACGTGGAAGGCGAGAAGGCTGTTGATGAGGGTATGAAGGACGAGGAACCTCTCGACGAAGCCGCTATGGCCGCTCGTCTTGAAGCCCTGCGTTTACATCGCGCTCTCGGCAACGACTCTTCCGGTGAAGAGGCTACCGACTCCGACCACTCCCTGACCGACCCCTCATCTGAGTCCGATTCTGAAGACTCTGACGACTCGGTCGGCCCCGCCCGAACGGACTACACCTCTTACACACCTTCCGCTCGCAACACGCGGCGCCACCATGAGCGGATTTCAGCCAGTAAACTTGGCGACAAGCAGGCTGGGAAAGATGTGGTGGCTCAGCAGGTAGAAAGGGAGAGAAAGCTGGTGGAGAGGAGGTCCCAGAAGAGCGGGGCGAAGGTCGGCAACATGAAGGGGCACAAGTGGAAGTCGAATGCCAAGTATCTCGTAGGCAAGGACAGTGGATGGTAGTCGTTGATGAGTTTGACTTTTCTCTGGGAATTTTCTTGTACATTTGTATCATGAATATGTGTCATTGCCTTGATTCTAGAGAACACCGCGAAGCGTGGAGCTTGTTGTACAAGCAGCATTTCATCCCAACAGCGTGCCGGGCGGTCAACCAGCATTTGCTACACAAACATGTGTCGAGTAGTGTTCTCGTACATATTGTACAATTGCTCGAGATGTACGACTACGAGCATGCACACCAATTTCCCAAGTGGTAATATAATATAGTACTACTGTGAAGTACTCGAGAGTACGTACGTAGTCAAAAGTTTGTAACACTATTGGAGCGACTGATGTCATCTGGACGTTATATATATAATCAAAGGTCCCTTTACAACATATCCCTCTCTAAAGATATTTATCGCACCAGAAACCACATCGCCAACACCATGTCCAAGACCGGAGCCATTCTCTTCGTGTTCACTTCCGCCGACAAGCTTCTGAACGGAGCCGCCACTGGATGGTATCTCCCCGAAGCCGCTCATCCTTACTACGCTCTCGCCCCTCACTTCCGCATCGACTCTGTGTCTCCGAACGGCGGCGAAGCGCCCATCGACGATAATTCTGTCAAGATGTTCACGGACGAGGAGTCTCAGAGATTCTTGAACGACACCAAGGCGCAAGAGCTGTACAAGAAGACTCAAAAGGTGGCGGACGTCAATGCGGCTGACTATGATGCTATATTCGTTATCGGAGGCGTGAGTCTTCAAAATGGTTGTCATGTCTACTTGACGTTAACATCACCATGCTTTGTATAGCATGGACCTCTGATTGACCTTGCTAAATCAACTGAATTCGCAAAGCTCGTTGAAGACTTCTACACTTCCAAGAAGGTTGGCATGGCTGATCGACCGGAACTTCATCTGCTGACTGCTTTGTCATACAGCCTGTGGCTGCTGTCTGCCACGGTCCCGGTGCTCTTGTCCTTGCTAAGAACCCCGCTACCTCAAAGTCAATCATCTCTGGGGTCAATGTCACCGGCTTCTCCAACGCCGAGGAGGCTCAGACTCCTTACAACGATTTTGTCAACATCCTCCCCTTTAGCTTGGAAGACAAGCTCCAGGAGCTGGGTGGCAAGTATTCCAAAGCAGAGCAGGACTGGGGAGTAAAGGTCATTTGGGACCAGGGTGTTTTGACTGGTGAGTTAATGCCGTCTTCTGCAGTTGACACCGTGCTAATTGTATTGGTCGAAAGGTCAAAACCCTGCCTCCGCCGGTCCCCTTGGTGAGAAGCTTCGAGAAATTCTTTTGGCCTGAGTATAGTTTGTAGAAACAGCTCTGATGCAAAAGAAGCAGTACAAATTGATTACGCGGGTTGTTGTCGTACATACCATCCGGTGGCCACAACAGAATACATACATACCTTGCGGCAGACCACCGTGGCATGGCAGAAATTGGGTATTATACTCGCCCACAGGTGGTCCACAAGAAGGGCGCTCCAACCGTAGTCGACCTCTGTCCGGTCGTCCAAACGATACTCAAAGTTCCAAGTTGGTTCCCATATGTGACGTGCGTAGAGCTCGCGCCTTTGCGGATTTGCCGCAGAAAGGCGCGCGATGACTTTCCACCTCTTTCTTCTTCCACCATCATATTCGCTGCCATCCACTTTCCTCCAATTCATCGCCAACGCCCCTAACACACACACCGAGGATCACAGTCTATCATGGACGCCGAACTGCAAACGTATAAAGACCAGCTCGCCTACGTCAACCTCTCCCTTGAATCCGACGCGACCAACGATGACCTTCTCAAGCTCAAGACGGAACTCGTCGAGCTCATAGACCTGACTGAGCAGGCAATGGGGCACTCTGCGGGGGGGTCCAAGGGTGGGGATACTTCAGCCAAGGGGAAGGCGGCTTCCAAGGGAAAGGAAAAAGAGGTGACAAATTGGCAGGATCAGGGTCAGTATAAAGCCGGCATGGACTGCATGGCTAAATACAAGGATGGGAAATGGTCAGTCTACTAAGCGCTTTCATCTTGGATTCACTGACACTGTACCCAGGTATCCAGCACGTGTCAATGCTGTCGTAGGCTCCCAGGAATCTCCCCTATACACAATCACATTCAAAGGATACACATCTTCCACCAACGTCCCTCTCTCCTCATTGCGCCCTCACGATCCCAACGCGCCCATCCCGCAACCACAGAAGCGTAAAAACGAAGAGTTGACGGAAAAGGAGAAAGAAAAGAAGAAGAAGAAGGGCGATAAATGGATGGAGACCCAAAAGCAACGAGCCGACGAGGTCAAAGAGAAGAAGAATGCTTGGGAGAAGTTTGGCAAGAAGGCCACCAAGAAGGGAATCCATATCAGCGGGTGGGTCTGTTCTGTGTATATATATTTCAAGCTACTGACAGCTGTGAAGGCTGGAAGGCAAGTCAGTGTTCCGTACTCCCGATAATCCATATGGTAAGTCCTCAGGTTCTCCAAAGTTTCTCGTGCTAACATTGCTTCACAGGTCGAGGTATGTTATATCGAAGCTAGCAAGGGAGGCCAATACTCACCTTTCTCAGTTGGTGTCGTCAACTCCGGCCGAGGTGTGACCAACTACGAACGTATGGGCAAGCACAAGTTTGATGAAGAGCGAGACGACTAAGTCCACTATTTCCAAGACATCTTCGTTTTTTGGCCTTCCACACGAAAGTTGCTGAGTGACCATCATTATGCTTATCTAGAAACCTATTGCATCGCTGCCAATCATCTGGCCAGTGTGACAAGTGGTATGTAACAACATATGGACAACACTGGCTTACAATCGCCGCGTACTTGTTGAATGCCGAATATTGAGAGTATTGACGATCACCTTTATGTGGCAGTTCTGGGTGGAACCATGCGCGATTTTCCGTACGATTCTACAATGGCAGCCACAATACAGTGACATAGGAATGCCACGACAACGTGCGTTCTTGGGTTCAAATGATTGAGAGACAGGCGGTAAGGCTTCAAGCTTCGTAATCAAGCTTCGTAAACTTTCCTTCCGTCTCCCATAATCCAATACCTGCGGTCATGGATGGATGCCACTTGGACTACAATCCAAAATGCCGAAAGCAGAAAGCCTCCGATACACACGCTTACGTCTTATCAGCACTACTGGTCGGCTCTTTTCGATGGAACTTACAAATACCCCAGCAGTGCAGGCTTCAAATCCAGCGATCTGGCTTGCGCTACTCCCCATACCGCACAATTGAGACTCAGCAGTGCACCCACAATAAGCGTCATCAAGGACATGAGTATCCGCATGTAGATATTCGGTTTCCTAACAGCAGTCTCGAATGCCCGACTCTTGAGGGTATCAGAACTTCGCCTGCGCGTGTTTTGCATGGCGAGAATCATCAATGCGGCAAGGAGGGCTGTGGCGATGGCTCCAATAATTACGTCGGCTAGCAGGAGCGGCGGTAGACCTTCCACGGGAGCTGGCCAGGTGGTGTCGTACAGATACTTTTGATGCCTGGTGCAGAGCACATTAGCGGCGTTCAGGCTGCAGATTCGTTTTCCAGGACTTACTGCACGAGGTTACCCCCTACGCTGTATCCTCGCGCCCCAATCTCCCAAACACCACTCTCGTCTTCATACTGCCATACTGGGAGGCTGTCGGCCCCGGCTGCAAAGAGCAGGGCACATATAGAAGAAGGGACAAGGATCAGGAGGATAGCTTGAGCGCGAGAGCCGCCGAAGGAACAGCGGAAAGGGTTCAAGGGGCTGAACGGATTGCGGTGAGAGCGTGGCTTCTGGCGACGCGAACTGGACCGTTGATTGCTCATAACTTCAATGTTTTATGATGTAGTAGCAACGCTCATACAGTATGACAGATACATTGTCTCGTCTCGACCACCCAGGGACAAAGGACAGTCTTGATCGAGCAATAAAGGATCAGTCTGCATATGCCCAGTCTATCCAATTTCGGCAGAGAATAGGCATAAAGATACATGTACACATGCATATGGATGATTGTTTGATAAGAGCAAGATATTTGCAAGAACGCTCTTAGCCAACACACCCCAACTACCTTCTTCCGGCCACATCCTTCACTCCGACTCTACGCGCTCTGCGAGATAAGTATCAAGCATCTTCCCTCGCTTTTCTATATGGCCCCTCATCCATGTTCACACTCCCTCGAGATGTCCCCACTCAGACCGAAAACTTGTTCTTGTTCTGCTTCTTGTCTGAATCTCTGTGCGCATCAAATGTGACCTCTGTCTGGTAGCCTGCCCCAACAAGTGTTGAATCGAGATCATGGCCAAGCACACTTGACTTGAAGTGTTGCCCAATGCTGAGGAGACGGGCTTTGATGGTTTCGGTGTCGGGAGAGGATGCGTCGGCGGCTTCCCGTGTCCAGATAGAGATACGGAAGCTGTGGCAAACTTGTGAGCTTACCCCCTACCTCGGTGACACATATTGAGCTTACAACGCGGGTCGGGGGGAGACGATGACACCAGTCACAAGATCGGATTGGGTAGGAGAGGGAGCAACTTCCGCCTTGCCAGAGGGGGTCTCGAATGTCTCACCAATGGCCGCGAGCATCTTTTGTACACACATCAGCATCGAGCAGATTATCTTTGAAGACGGATGCCTCACAGTATAGAGCCAGATCTTGTCAATTGTGCTTTTACTTTCCGGGTTCTTGGGGATTTGAATAGCCCACTTGCCGCCGTTCTTGTTTTGGGGGTCTTCCCATGCAGGGACGATACCGTTCTGAGAGCTGATCAGCAGAGCTAGGATAAGGTAGATGTAGATCACCTTGAAGAGGTAATAGTTGGCCTTTCCGGGAAGCTGAGAGGGAGGGACAATGTTGTTGTACAGCCCCCAGAATTCCTCAACACTGTCAAACGAAACGACCTTTCGGATGTCGTCCATCCAGCTGCCTACTCCTTGAGGCAGAGTGGGGGTGGTTCCCGGAGTTTTCGGAAGGTTCTTGGATTGGGGAGAGTCAAAGTAGAGTGTCCAGTTGGAGAACAATGGATGCTGAAGCGTCCCAATGGTCAGCTCGGCTCCGCCAGAGCAGCAGAGCAGCAGAACAGCACTCGGCCTACCTTTACGTTGAACTTGCTAGCGTCGTCAAAGACAGTCTTGACCTTTCCATCATCTGTGGCGGCGTTCTCTTCGATCTCCCCTTCTTCGAGGGGCTTCTCGGTGGCGCGCGGTGAGCTGGGGTTGTGGATGTTTTCCGCCTGGAGGGCGCTGTTGAGGGTGTTTGTGTTGGCGGCGGCTGCTGGCTGGGGTATGGCGGCGGACATGGCTATGGTGGGGAAGAGAAATGTGGATGCAAAGAAGGACGCCTGCTAAGAATGCCTCAAAGGAAGAAATTGCCTTTGTTCATGAAATTGATTCCGCCGGCACGTGATGCGGTTACATGCTATATCTTTCTGAATACAGGGTGTATACATCAGGGATACATAGCAGGCGCATACTGTCTCATATATCCAGCACTGCACAATCCAACCCTCGACATGGACGTGGAAACCCCCACGAAACGTGCTCAGGATCCCAGCACCCCTACCCAGAAACGCGCATCCACCCCCGACACCGGCAGTGTCAGAAGCACCATCGAACAACGGCGCGCACGTAGAGAACAATTCCGCAACTTCTATGGCCTTAAAGGCGAAGGGTTCAAGGGCGGAGTTCCAAACGGGGACAGTCTAGACATCGGTCAGTGAGGTGTCACGTATAGGGGTGCCGCTGATAATATTGGCGGCAGATTCACCAGGATTCAAAGCTGGCGTATACTATGAAGACCTCGTCCTTCGGTCTGACCTGGGCACTCTTATGAAGACTGCTTCGTCCCTGGCTTCAGGTAGGACTGTCTCTACACTGGGCCTTGAATGTGTGCTCATGTCTATAGATATCGGCGCTCTGCAGGGCTCGCGTCACTCTCTGGTCTACAACCACCATCATCAAGTTTGTCTTCTCTGCGATTGACATTCATGTTCTGACTATCAGCAGCTCTTTGCTGCCGGCGATACCATATCAAACCTCAACGTCCGCACACCACAGCTCCTCTCAGTCGTCACAAACCTCCAACAATCCTTCTCCTCAATATCACAACTAGCAGACTCTGTAGCCCTCCCACAGGAGATAGGCGGAGGGGTTAACAATGACGCCCGTAGGAAACGACAAGCAGAAAGGTGCATCAAAAGGCTACGTCTGATGTGTGAAGCGAAAGGTGAGACTGACCAGGCATACCGTTTCCGAATGGTTCTGACACTGTCACAGCACCGTCGCAGGATATTGCGGCATATCTGCACAGTGTGGATGAATTACTAGGAGAGGCCGCAAAGCATGATCCCTCAATCGAGAGTGCTCTCAAGGAATTAAGAGGTTCGGTGCCAAATGCCTGATATGAGTCGTGTCACAAGTAATTGTGAGTTGACCGTACGTACACCAGGCCGGCGCAGACTGACCATCGTGCAGATATATATGTTCCAAGTCGACTGTACCATTCTTACGAGATTATTGACGAGATAAATGTAACAATCATGTAGAGTACATAATTACATTATACAATATTCCAAGCAGCATCACGCATCCCTATGATCCCTGCTAAAGTAGTCTTTGAGTCGCTTGAAGGCAATCTGGCAACACGTTAGTCTCGAGTGTACTAATCACGGAACGGTGACGTACATCATAACTCTCCTTGTAACCCGCGAGGTCGTCCTCCTTGACTTTGACCTTCTTCACCTCCTTCAAATGCCCAGCATGCTGCAACATTCCCTTGAAATGAAGCGCTTCCTGTTTCTCAACCAGCGACCAGGCTGTGCCTTCCCTCCCGGCTCGAGCCGTACGTCCGACACGATGCACGTATTTTCTCATATCCAGAGGGATATCATACGAAACAACGTGGGATACGGTAGGTAAATCCATACCTCGCGCGATCAGATCCGAGCAGACAATCCTAGAGAGGGTGTTAGGTTCGAAGTCCAGAGCCCACAAGTCGACTCACAGATCAATCTTGCCCTCTGCAAACTCCGCCAACAGCTTCTTCTTCTCCTTCGTTTTCATGCCACCAGTATACTCCCTGGCCACTACCCTCTTGCCGCCACCACCTCCCAAGACATACGCATCCTCAAAGAACTCCAACAGCTTGACCAGCCTCGTCGCGCTCTCCACACTCTTGGCAAACACCAGCGCCTTGTCTACTCCGAAATCTGGGTTATGAATAAGATGAATGAGATTGAGCGGCTTGAGCGCGGGCGGGAGGATGAGCATCTTCTCAGATAGTGAAGATGGCAGAGCGAAATGCTCGCCAATGTTGGTGGGTATGGAAGGAAGGGACGAGGATTGAACAATATAGTATTGAGGGCGTTGTAGGGCGAGGGCGGCGACTTTCGAAGGATCTCTGGTGAGAGTGGCCGAGAACAGAAGCTTCTGGCACTATCTCGCGATATGTTAGCATGCTTCCTAGACTGGTGAGGGACACATTTACGGTAGATGGTATAGGGTCGCACCATTCACTACTTCTGTCTTCCAGATGAAAGCTCTCCATCCAAGCTGGCGAGATGGTGTCACAGACTTGTCTAGAAACGGTCTCATCTTCTGGCTGGGACGTGGGCCGCGTGTAGCCAAGTACCTGAGAGAGCCAATTTTGAAAGCTTTGGTTCAGCAGGCGATCCGCTTCGTCAATCACCATGAAGCGGAGGTGTTGGAGAGTGAAGTTGGGGGTTGAAGCGAGGTGGTCCATCAGTCTACCGGGGGTCGCAATGAGAATGTCAACTTTCGAAGAGCCACCTAGAAGTCTGCGATCGATATCAGTTTTGTGTAAGCAAATCTAGAGCGCTGCTCACTTGGTGTCTAGATCGGCTGTGAGCAGCTTGCGTTCCTGGACAAAAGAATGCTGTCCTGTGACGACACCGATCTGAAAACGATCAGTCAACTTCCAGAAGTTTAAGAGAACACTCACCGACAATCCCGTCCCTTTGGCAAGAGCCTCCATAGTGTCCCGCACCTGCATGACTAAATCTCGAGTAGGCAACACAATCAACGCTCTCAACTTGGTGACCGTCCGACGAGAGAGTATTTCAATGATAGGGACGGCGTAGGCTAAGGTTTTACCGGAGCCTGTCGGAGCCGATATGAGATAGTCGGAGAGAGACGAGTATGGCAGAGGGACCAGTCGCAGCGGTAGGAGTTTGGGGAGTATAGCAGCCTGGACTGCGAGGTGGTGTCAACCATCATTCCACCATGGATAAGAACGCATACCAGCAAAGAAATCTTTCACGCCCGTTTCCTTCAGACGCTTCTTCATATTCTCACTCAGCGCTTCCTGCTTGCCCTCCACTACTAGCTCTCCCACGCCGACAGATAGGGATTGCTCCACAAACGTAGCATCTTCCAAGCCTTTCGGCAAACCCTGGCGAGCCAGAATTTGGCTATCAGGAGCCGGGGCCGAACGAGGAAGAGGGAATGCTTCAAGAGGAGGAGGAGATGCTGATTTTTGACGAGAGGGTGTTTCTTCGTCATCCTGAACCTCTGGTGGTACTCCGTCGACGTCCATAGCTTCGTCTGTTGATTCTTCACTGGAACCACTCGACGCCTCCCGGGCCGCCCTCGCAGCTTCTCTCATTGCCCTTCTCTGCTCTTTTCTTTCGCGTTTCTCTCGTTTCTCCCGTTTCTCCTTCAGCCTTTGTTCTTTCTCGTTCAAGACGACCTTTGATTCCTGCTCTTTCTGATCACTCTTCTCCTCCATACTGGATCCATGGGGCGCCACGGCATCTGGCTTGCGAAGCCCGGTTGCTTGCTTGAGAGCTTCGAGGACCGGGTCTGGCTTCCACTCCTTGTTCTTGGGGGCAGCAGCTTTCTTTGCTTTTTCAAGCTTCTTTCTCTTCTCAGTCTTCTTCTTGTCTCTCTTCTTTTGCGATTCGGGCTGCCGGGATCAATGTCAGCATCGACTCATCGACCAACAAGCGACTTACCTTTATTTTCTTCTTTGCCTCGGCAGCGGGAGCTTCAGGCGCCGCTCCGCTCACTTGTCCAAATCTACGATCCGGATGGATATAGCCGGAAGGCCCTGGTTCTTCTCCAAGCGTGACGGGGGCGGTGGACATGCTGCACTTGCAAGTTACTGATATCTTTGATATAGCCGCAAAATAATCTGTTGCAGATCCTGGACGGTGGAGGTGCGGTGACCGTGGGAATATTGGACGCGTCGCGCTCTGCAGGTTGAACAGTGAACTGTATCTAAGACCATGCATCCGGCTTTTGTATATCAATTACAATTAATCTTCCAAGGCCATAACACTATCACATAATGCCGTGGCTCATGAAGGCCGAGCCCGACTCCAGAGTCGTGAAAGGCAAAGATGTCAAGGCAAGTCCATGTTGTCACACGCCATGGTAGCCTTTTGTCTGACTATGTACCAGTTCTCGGTCGACGATTTCGAAAAGATAGGGTATGCATGTATTATGGTAACTCGAATTGCGGTACCAGCTAATGTATTCCTTGATGAATAGCGTGTCCCCTTGGGACGGTGTGTCGCTTTTGCTTCTGTTAGTTGATGGGCTGCTAATACTTTGGTACAGGTGTCCGCAATCATGAAGCAAAGAAGATAATGAAAGATTCGATGAAGAAAGGGGACAAGGTAAGCTGTTTCTTGCTTGTAGGTACAGGCGTATCGACCAACGATCTGATCGATAGTAGGTCCTGTTTTATCACAGCAACTGTAAGACCCCAGGGGTATTTGCTTTGGCCGAGGTCGTTAAAGAAGGATTTCCAGACTGTGAGCTTACTATCTTTGAGAGCCATCCGAGTCTCATTCTAACAGATCCCGTTAGATACTGCTTGGGATCCGTAGGTGCTATCGCGATAGGCTGTTTGTCGCGGCTGACCTCCACAGAACACATCCTTACTACGACGCAAGGTCCTCACAAGAGTCCCCGACGTGGTATATGGTCAGTCTGTTTACCCTTCTTGTATGTCCAGATGCTGACGCCAATAACAGGTCGAGGTCAAATTCCAGAGTCGGTTAGCCCATCCTCCGACTCTTGCCTTAATAAAAAACATTGCGACACAATCAGCTCTTCCAAGCGAAATCGCCTATATCGGTCAAGAAGGTTTGGAGGCTATCAGGGCTATGGCGCTTGTCAACAGAGGACGACTCAGTAAGCTACCTGCATTTTCCCAAACCGCTGTCTTACGCATTTCCTAGGTGTCCAACCTGTTACAGAGACTGCCTATGAGGCGATTGTCAAACTGGGCAGCCAGGGGGGGTGGGAAAGCCTGTCGGGAAAAGCTGCGGGAAGCAAGAGTTCCAAGAAGGCAGAGACGACAGAAGCTGCGCCACCGTCTCAGAAGCACGTGAAGGAGGTGACAACAAAGTCACCAGCTGCGCCGAAAAGGTCCCCCTTGGAACAAGAAGATGGCGATCGCAGGCGCAGCAAGCGTACAAAGAAGTCGTCGAAATAGTCTGCGTCAACTTGTGGCATGCACAGGTGTGATGCTCACGTATGCAGTGACAAGGGTCGTGCGATGTGCACTTTGGCCGGATGCGGAGGCCCGCAAGGCACGGCATGTTGGTTGACAAGCGTGACCATCAACATGCAGATTGTATGTCCCTTGCCCCTTGCGCAATTCCTTTCGCTCTTTTTGTCCTCTGCTGCTTCCCTTCCGACTCGTCAATATATCAGCATCATGCGGCTCGACCTTGTGAATCACATCGCCCTCTCATCCTTGTATATCGCCGGCGCCTCTGCTCTCACCTACCCAGCCTTGATCGTCACCCCCGTCGACAGACGCTCGCATACAGTCGCCTTCCCCTCCTATACCCACCCTTCATCACATACCCAACATGCGCGGGAGGACACGGAGACTCAGACTTTGGCCGCTACGGCGACGACACTCGGCTCATCAGAAAACACGACGGCCTCGGATTCGGCCACGACCACTCAGTCTTATAATCTGGTCACTGCCAGTACACCGATAGCTCTCGCTGCGACAATGGGGCTCATTATGCCTAATCCTTGGCGGACGTTATATACAGGTGATATGTGCGTTAAAGTGCTGGTCACAAGCTGATTGACGTATTGCAGATCTCGAGTATAGCTTTGGCTTCATCGACGCCGTATCTCAGCCCGCACCCACCTATGGAGGATGGATTCGGCAAGTCACGCCTCTGATGATACTATCCAACCACACGGTTGACGTCTTCACTTCGAGTGGAACTGACGATCCCACGAGTGTGGACGCTATTCCAGAAGGGAGCGACGGGCTCTGCGGGTGAGTTTGGGCATAACCATGCGGCATATCGCAGCTAAATCGCCTCAGAGCGACCGTTGAAAAGTCGGCGGTGGCATACAGCTTCAAGTTTGAAGAACCGGGGTGGTACATGTTTGTCGTCAATCAGACTTACATGCAGGCCAACGTAGTGCGTATAATGTCGGCTTCCGAATCACTTTAGCTGACCCTGTCCAGACCAGCAACAACCAATGCACCCGTCCTATCCTGCAACAGGATTCATTCTTTGCGACTCAGACCTTCTCCATCTCCCCTCGCCCAATCTGGTCTCCAGGTCCCCAGGCACCTACCAGCGCGTACACCGTCTGGGCAGCTGTGACCACGTCTACCCCTGGCAATCTCCCATACGATGAGCAACCAATGTCAAAGAGTCAAAAGCTAGGGGTGGCATTAGGGGCAGCTGGAGGAGTCTTGGGGGTAGCGTTCATCGTTGCGGTGGTTTGGTGGGTCAGGAATAAGAGAAAAATGGAGTCAGAGGTCAGTCCTGACTGCCAGAGGCTGAATTCTCCCTGCTGATGGTATCTAGACGCTCGCTTTCTCACGCCTCACTCCTCAGGCCCAGGAAGAGTTCCTGCGTGATAACCCCAAGTCATTCCTCAATCCGAACCACCCTCGCTATGCGCGCAATAACGCATATGGCGGTGCGCCTGCGCCGCCCGGTACAATTGCCCACGGACTGTGGTATAGCCAGCAGCTTTGGAATCACCAGGTTATGCAGCGACCACAAGCGCCATGGGGTGCTGGTGTCAGCTGGGGGAGCTCCCAGCCGATGGCAAGTACGGGGATGATGCCGAGTCAACAAGCATATGGACAGCATCAAATACAGCAGCCATTGATGGATAATAGTAGACCCATATGATGCATTCGCATTTCCACAACACCAGAAATTTGATGGTTTGCTCGCACATCCTGTAGCTTGGCCGTACTGCCAAGAGGAAGGGCGGACAAAAAGCAAAAAGTAGTCCGGACGCCCTCGAAAGGACTTCCAGACCGAGCCAGATATTGAGTCGTTGAACCACCCGAAGGTAGCACAAGGCAAGGTCTTCCCCCTATGGACCATGTGTCGCCGTGCTATGGGCGAAGACCTAACCTTCCCGGCCACTAAGTGAAGGCGGCTAATCGAGAGGCGACAAGGTAAGTATGAAGGCCGTAGCGGCTTCTGCGACCCGCGTTTCCACTTTCGCGGATGGAAATCACTCCCGCTTTTACTCGCGTGGCGGCCTTTACGCCCCGAACCAAACAGTCCCTTAGCATTTTCGGCTCGCTCTTGTCACGTCTTGTGGCTGCACTATCGCTGCTCCTTCTTCCCTGCCTCTGCCGCCTATCTCCCAGCGGCATGACATCTCAGCACAGGATGTCAGTGCCATACCCACTGCTCTCATCCAACCTCAACGTGCTCAGTGTGACTCTTCGACGTTGGTCAAAGGACCCTTGTACGCCATTGCTGGACTCACATTCTCAACCCCCCCATCTGATGTGCTATAATTGGCCCGATCTCCTTGAGTCACCTGCGTATTCCCGTGCGACTGCACCCAGGCGCTGCGATGTATAAAGGGCGCCCCCTCTGCTGTCCGATCTCTCATCCCCCACTGTCCGTCGTCTGCCCAATTTGCCTCTCGTCCGACATTTCCCAACCACCTCCCGTCATGCGTGCTAGTTTCTTGGTCTCCTTTCTTGCGCTCGTCGCCACTGGTACGTCTGCTCACGATCTTCTGCCCCGCTCGTTGGCTAATTTACACACAGGCGTCTACTCTGTTCCTCGACCCCAGCTGCAGCCTATCAGCGAAACCATCAAGGCTACAGAGTGTGCCTGCGCCCATCCCAACCAAGCGGCCATATCGGTTGGTACTGCATATTCCACCGCCGATTCCGTTCCCACCGGTGTCCCCATCTCCGAGGCCGACTGTCCCTGCGCGTATGACACTACCAGTCAAGTCATCGATGCTAGCGACTACTCTGCTGAGCCTGCAGTCCGCGCCCTCGACCCATCTGTCGCCGAGCATGCTCTGTCTGACCAGCTCACTAGTGGCAAGTCTACCGACGGCACCAGTGCTTTGATCGCTGCTGCGCCAGGTGCTGAACAGAGCGCGGATGTGGAATCCTTGAAGAAGGCGGGTCTCGCTCTCCTCGCCTCCAAGTACGGAAGCATGCTGCCATCCGCCACTCTTACAGCTGCTGCTGCCAATCTTGGGCAGGGAAGCGCTTCGGCCGGTGGACAAGACATTGACATGGACGCCCTGAAGAAAGCTGGGCTTTCTCTTCTCGCCTCCAAGTACGGTAGCATGGTGCCATCGGCCGCTCTGCCTTCTGCTCGAGATGTACCCAGCGCCGGGCCTAGTGGATCTTCTGGAGCAAGTGGGCAAGACGTCGACATGGAAGCGTTGAAGAAAGCTGGACTTGCTCTTCTTGCCTCCAAGTACGGAAGCATGCTGCCATCCGCCACTCTTACAGCTGCTGCTGCCAATCTTGGGCAGGGAAGCGCTTCGGCTGGTGGACAAGACATCGACATGGACGCCTTGAAGGAAGCTGGGCTTTCTCTTCTCGCCTCCAAGTATGGTAGCATGGTACCTACCGCCGCCCTTCCTTCCGCTCGAAACGTCCCCAGTGCCGCTGCTTCCTTCGCCCAAGACTTTGTTGACGAGTACAACGAGATTCCTGCCCATGCAGTCGACGTCTGGCGTTCAGAGAACTCTCGCGGGTATGTCTCGGAGCTTGCCGACGACATCCTCAACAAGACTGCGGTCACTGGCAAACATGTCTTGGAGGGCGCATCTCATGTCTTGAACAAGACTGCCTCTCTCGCCGAGAACACCGTCGATAAGGCACTGTCTCTTCCCAGCGAGGAGCTCAAGCTCTTGAAGTCTTCCGAAAGACATTTGGGTGTCATCGTGAACGTGTCTGCAGAGCTGAGGGACAGTGACGAGGAAGCTGGAGACGCCGACGACGAGGAGCAGAGTGACGACAATATTTCCAACGCGGTCGGCCAGAAGTTTCCTATCTACCCTCCCCCTGGGTCTTGGAACTAGGTGCATAGGCCTCTGATTTTCCATACTTTATTTGTCGAGAGGCGTTGCTGTCTTTGAAGGAGATGGTCGTTGGCGAGGGCGTACGAGTGATGACGACATTATTTTGACGAGATGATATACAACATGAGTTGCCTGTAACACTTGATTGCTCTTTTTCTTGTGCCTGTGTTATCAGAGTGCGATCCTTCAGGAGTCTGCTGATTCGACTTGCAATGGTAATTCGGCATGCATGGTCGCGAGGGGCCGAGACGAGTCGTGCACGGCGGCCCGCAGCAGGTTGGGAATTTCGGTATTACGTAATGGTCATCCTCGGCAGCAGGCAGCAGCAGCAGCAGAAGAACGCAATAAAGTGTTGGACAGTTTCAAACTACTTACGATACCAATATACAATCCGCCTCCCACAACCTGCTCTGAAGCGCACATAGCAGCAATATGGTCAGAGAAGTTGAACCGCCGACAGTCCAGCAGGATTTTCTCCTTGCCGCTTTAGCCCAAGGGAAAAGGCTCGACGGCAGGCTACCTCTCGAGATGAGGAAGGTGCAATATGTCTTTGGAGAGGAGTTGGGTTGTGTGGAATGTAGGATGGGAAAGACGGCGTGTGTCCATCTCTGATTCTCTTCTCGGTCACTGGGCTTACAACGAGATGCAGGGTGCTGGCCCAAGTATCGGCGTCAATTGTCAAACCTCGCGAAGATCGGCCGTATGAGGGTTTCCTCCTCATAAACTCTGAGATTGGGCCTATGGCGAGCAGTGTTTATGAGCTTGGGCGGTGAGTCGTTGCCTCGTACTTTGGAACAGGAGGCTGATCCTCGATACAGACCAAGTGACGACGAAGTGTTGATAGGCAGATTATTGGAGAAGAGCATCAGGCGTACTGAGGCTGTGGATCGGGAGGCCCTGTGTATCATTGCTGGAGAGAAGGTTGGCTTGTTGAGAAGATCGACGGAGTATGAGCTCATGTTCTTCTTAGGTCTGGCAACTCCGCTTGACACTACATTTCTTGTCAGATTCGGGAAACCTCCTTGACTGCGCCGCTCTGGCGGGTATGACAGCTCTGAGACATTTCAAACGGCCGGATGTGGAAGTAATAGGAGATGAGATCATAATAGTGAGTGGCAATAGCTGTTTTGCACGGAAATTGCTGACAATGGCGAAGCATTCGCCGGACGAACGCGCACCTGTTGGGTTGGCCATCCATCACACTCCTCTCTGTCTGACTTTTGCCTATTTTGAAAAGTGAGGTACCTGGCTTTTCGAGACTCTGATGATTAACATACTTTTAGCCTTCCCCCCATCCTAGACCCTTCCCACCTCGAAGAAGTTTTGTGTTCTGGCACCCTCACCCTTACTCTCAACGCGCAACGAGAGATCTGTGTTCTGTCAAAGGCTGGAGGGACTCCACTTGCAGCAGATGAGATCATGGGTGTTGTCAAGATTGGCGTGGAGAAGGTGAGGGAGCTGGTGAGCAATATGGAGGAGGCCTTGGAGCTGGACAGGTCAACTAGGGTTACGGAAATACAGTAACAGTCAGAGATGGCGAGCAGCATATGCAACGTACTACATATAAAGTGATATAGTCAGCTTGGCAACATAGTCTTTTGCATGTATCTGAGGCAGCCGCCGTACACTCTTGAGGATCTGCTTTGTTGCAATGTGACATAGGCGGGCCACTGCTGATTGTTGACAAAAAGCCCCGCGCCGAATGATCCCAGCTTTAGCGCAAAAGGGAAGAGGCCATTTATTATTGTTCACTTTCAATCTTCTTGACGCATCATTTCACCCCAAGCCCTGCGCCGCCCGCTTGCCGTCAGCCCGCTCCAGAGAGCCCCCTCCAGTGCATACACCTCGCCACAGCACTCGCGTGTCCCCAGCACAGCTACGTTGCACCGCCGGTACCCTCGCGACCTTGCAGCGTAGAGGACGATGGACCGTCTCTTCAGGTGCGTCTCTCGTCTCTGCGCGGAACCATACACTGACCGAGCACTCGTTCGATACAGAAAGAAGACGTCTGAGAAGCGGCCCAAATCCAAGAAGGGAAAGAGCGAAGCTCCCTCAAAGCTCGGAAATGCAGGCATTCCAGATGGCAACTCAAGGGTGGCCGGGCCTGCCCCAAGTCTCGATTTGGATTTCAGAAGCAGCCTGATGCTCCCTTCGTAGGTTCTGTCTGGCGTATCTGGCATTCACTAACTCGTAGTATTCAGCCTCTCCCAGCGATTCTCTGTCCTCATGCCTTCCCTGTCGACTGCCCCGGAGGAGTCACTTCGGGCTCTGCTCGCGTCCCAGCGTGCTCGCTCAAATGGCCCTGCTTTGACTATGGAAGAGGAAGAGTTGCTTATTGCGGAGCTGAGAGGTGATGAAGGGGGTGTCGACGAGCGAGAAAAGAAGTCGCCGGGACTGGGCTCTCCAGGCCAAATCTCTCTATTCAACCATTCAACCCCTTTCCTTACATCCTCCGTCTCGAGCCCTTCGCTGTTGACGAGCTCTGATGACGGGGGTAATGCTTCACCACTTCACTCGGCCACCAACTTTACTGGCTCTCCGCCTCCTACATCGACATCCTTTTCTTCGTTCAAAACGTTCGGAGTCGGCTCGAGCCCTGAGCAGCCGTCAGAATCCTTTAGCAAAGCCAAAGGCATGTCTTATGGAATAAGTGGAGGAATAAATCTCAGAGACGGGGAATATATGCGACGGGCGAAGAAGCACGCCAGCTCCAAGGACTTGAAAGCCAGTCCCTCTGCGAAGAGTGAGAAAACGGCAAGGGAGGAGAACGGGGCGCCGTCCATGATATCCACCGAGAAGGCAAATGCCTATTACGAGGGCCACCAGACTCGTATTTCCCACAGTCGCACGAGGTCGGAAGTGACAGCAACCCCTACATCTTCCGGTCCATATGGGGGTCCCCAGTCTCGTCCTCTTCCCACGGTCGTCACCCGACAGCCAGAGCCGAACTCTCCAGATTCGCCCTCGTTTCCTCAAAGAAAACAGCGCAAATCTTTGCTGTCCAATCTTTCAGCTGCACAAGCCAAACGTATCTCTATGGCGCTCGAGGAAATAGGGGGTGAACTTCAAAGAGGGAGTAGTCTTGTGAGGAAGGACACTCTGCGTAAAGCGGTAGTTGAGGAGGAGTCGAGGGCAGATAATGAGGAAGTACTTGCGAGTGAAGATAGCCAAAGGGCACTCGCGACACTCAGCGAGCTGGAAATTGATCCCTCGCGACGACCCGATCTGCTCTCAGAGGGAGAATCTTCCCATTCAGCGACGTCTTCAGTCTTTCCATTCAAAACGTCGCCTACAAATAGCACCTTTACAGGAAGCACAATTGCTGGTACCACTGAACCTGGATCTCCTTCGCGCCTTCCTCCATCTCCGCGCTCTCATAACCTCCGAGCAGTCATTGATGATGATGCCCCTCCGGTGCCAAAGCCAATATTCACCCCCACCCGCACCACCCCTGTCAAGCACCATTATAGCTTGTCCAACGCCTCTTCGTCATCTACGCCTACCCAGGTCCCTCCGAACCCAGCCTATGTGCCAGGTCAGCCGAGACCAATACGGTCACACCATCACTCTGTCAACTCGATATCGTCTAGCAGAGCTGGCACTCCTAGTGGACAGTCGCCACTTGATGCTCTGAAAAACTCGTCTCGCTCGGGCACGCCCCGAAGCCAATCTCCACTCGACGCTTTGCGTGCATCCAAATCTACGACGTTTTCGGATGTAACGAGTGCTACACCATCACCTTTCCAGAATTACGCCCTGGACTCGGCAAAAACTGGAACTCTGATGAGATCCAGGAGCCTGCAAACTTCAAACCCATCGCGGGAGCTCGATCTTGTCCGACGTCGTGCGGGCACAGTCGTGCTGGGCGAGACTGTAACACCTCCTCGCCGGCTGACTTCTCCTCATGGAGCTCGACGTGGCTCTGAAAATGAAGACATTGCCGAGGAAGATGAAGATGTAGTCGAACATGAGGATGAGGAATCGACTCCCGAGCTGCGACAGGTATCCAGCCGCCACAGCGTAGTAGTCTCCAGCTACGACCACGACACCGCTACCACCGTCGTGTCACGGACTCTTGTCAACGAACACTTACCTATACCGGGTGATCATATTGAGAGGACGGTGTCGGCCCAAGGAACCATAAAGACGCAGGAAGACACGCCCAATCTGTCTCCGCGTGCTTCCTCGGACACGCTAAACTCTGATTATGCTCCAGAGTCTGATGACACGCAATGGATCGATGTACTTGGCAGTCGCAGCCGAGAATCACTAGTCATTGAAAGTATGGAATACGCGCAAGATGACCCTGAGGGTATGTTGCGAAAGATGAGTGGGCTGGGGGCGGAAGAGTTGGCAATTCTTCAAGGGAAGCTCGTCGCCAAAGCCAAATCAGAGAGGGAAGCTATGGGTCTTGGGGACAGCCCAATGATTCCTGTGAGTTGTCCTGTCCATGTAGTTGTTCCGCCTGACATATCATCCTGTAGGCCACTCCGAATATGCCAGTATCGGCTCACTCTGCCGTCCAGCGGTCGATGTCGCCTGCAGTGATGACACCGCCTACATTTTCTTCAATCTCGGCTTCGGGGAGCAGGGCTGCTTCGCCCCATGGGACAGCCGGCTTCTCTACCCCCCCGCCGCACAGTGCCGATCATATACTGGTCAAGCAGCACCTACCTGCAGTGCCCAGTCGTCCGCCGCCTCCGGTTCCCGCATCCATTGCTTCCTCTCGTCCGCTTTCGCTCGAGACCAAAGGTGCCCTGGTTGCTAGCCCGGCAGCTCCTGAATTGACCAACAGCGAGTTGGAAACGGAGAAAGAAAGGGATTTCCGCACTCGCATTGCAGCTGCTACTGCTTCTCTGAACCGCAACCCCCCGGAACAAGGAGGAAGCCTTGGGCGTAAAAACACGAAGCGTGGGATGGGCATAGTCATTTCGGGGCCCAAACTCTTGTCTTCCACAGCGAAAGTGCCTGTTGTGCCTCTGTCCCCGGACAATCCTCACACGATAGACCCAGCAATGGCAAAATCTATGGAGAAGATGAGTGGTTCAGGCAGTAAAATGAGCCAGAGGTGGAGAAAATTGATGCGGAAAGGCCCCTCCATCACAAACAGTGAAGTGTTCAAGCAAACGCATCAAGAGTCACCGGCTCCTCAGTCAGCCCCAATCCAGGCTATGCGCTCTCAGCCACCGCCCTCACCTGCACCTTCTCCCGTGCCTGCTAGCCTGATTCAAAGGTCCAATTCTCAAGCAGCTGGAAGAACCCTTGAGGCTCCTATCGCCTTGAGAGAGGACAGCGTGCCACCGCCTTCAGCACCGCCAAATCTCAACATGTTTAGGTTCCCATCTGACAAGGCTGAATCCCAGAATATGGAGGCCAAGCCATCGACTGAGCACGCCCAGCAATTACCCACACCCCCGAGCACTGCTCCTCCCACTGCGCATGGTTCTCAGGCGAGTGATTCAACTGTAGCCAAATTTCTCGAAGCTGGGCGCCAGCTTGGACTGTCGGAAGAACAGCTCAACGAAATGCTGATCCACAAAGGAATGGTGAGCCGCCCGAGCGACATTCCCAAGGACTTTCCTCAATCGCACGCTGCTCCCGAATCGTCCGCCGCATCCCAACAACCACTCCCTGCGGAGCCTCTATTTGCAAAAGAGAGGAAGGGCGGTCTATTACGATCTTTGTCCAAAAAGGCCAGAGACTTGCCTAATCGGGTTCGTACACCCGAACCTCGCAGGGAGACTGGTACACCCACACCACAAGCCGAGCCTAATCAAGATCGCACGATACTTCGGCGCACGATGATCATGCCCGACGGGCTGGTCATTGTCCCATCTACCCCTCAGAAGGGCGGAGACGCTGTGCCAGGCTCGCCAAATTCATCGTCTTTGGGAAGGTTGCCCAGTCATCGTCAACCATCTATCCGGCGAAAACCTCTGTCCAAAGAAGATCGGGAGCTGGTGTCTCACAGTCCACCAGCCACACAGCCCAATTTCAACTTTGACAATGTGTCATCGAGGGGCACGCCCACCAAGTTGGAAGGACAAGGGTTGGGTTTTCTGGATCCTGGAACGGCTTTGGGTGGAGATTCAATAAAGTCAAGAAGCAATGCTTCAGGATCTCTTTCGGGGCGGTCAGTTTCTGCAATGTCCCATAGGTCGTCAACGGGCGGGTCAGTATTGGATATGTACGGCGATACGGGCACAGGGCAGGAGGTCTTACAGGAGAGTCCTGATGGGGCGCAGAAGGCCGGAGCTTCTTTGGTCGCCGAGCAAGGTCCAGCTCAGGCTGTCGAAATCTGGTGAGTACTTGCTGTGGTCTCTGTCACACTTGGCTGACTCTAGTCCAGCGAGTATGCAGACGGCCGAGTCATTTGGTCTATTGTTGATGCGCTGAGAACCTCCGTCACCAACTCTGTTGATGGCGAAGATTACTATTTCAACCGCAACCACTCGAGGACTTCATCTTACGCCTCCACGTCTTATGCCTCTACTCGAAGAGACTCTGTCATGACTGGTTTTGGCAGCGACGTTTTCACCAGCGACAATAGAGCCGGGCCAATGGGCGGCAAAATCTCTGCTTTGAGTAATCGTCAGAGCTACAGAAAGTCTTCAGCAAAACCCAGACCCCCAACTGATGTATGTTGACTTTGCAAGAAGTTTTGCCAAACGCTGACATGATCATAGATTTTCTTTACGTCCTCGCGAGATGTGGCGGATCTGATTGATCATCTTTCACGAGACCTCGAGGTTTCGCATGGTCGCATTGGCATTCTTCCTTCCGATCAATCACCGAATCCGGCAGAGCATACGCCATTCGAACACGACTATAATCGAGGTCAGACTCCCCCTTCACCTTCAGGCAACTCGCAGTTTGAGGACGCCCCCTCACCCGCTCCTCTCCCACGGCGCGCCTCCAAAGCACCGACGTTCAGGCCGCCCAGCAGTGCTTCGGCCCTGGCCGCTGTGGGTGGGACGGGTCCGAAGAGACAGCTGTCTCTCAAACTTCGCCAGTTTGGGCATTCGGCTCAACCAAGTGTCGCTTCAACCATGGCTGAAGATGCCCGCAGTCCCTCGTCGCGGAGTTTTGCGAGCTCGGCATCGGGGATGGGAGACAGGCCTGTGGAAGACAGGCTGCAGGATTTGATTGATCGCATGAGGAGCGCGGGGGCAGGCAAATAATTTGACAGGGCGAAGGCATCTTGGAGATATGTTGTTTACAAGTGGATAATTGTGTATAACGAACTTGCCACGATAATAATGCTTTACAATACACATGCGTGCTTACATTTTGTACTACAAATCTGAATGATGGTCTCAAACTATATGCAGTTTATGCCTGGCTGCTTTTCATCCAGTTGAGGTGCTACATATGATACATGCTTTATGGGTCTCTATACAAATTCTATGTATCTGTCGCAAAGGCTTATATATCACCACGACCCTCGGCCAGCAAGACGTCGCTTTCCCAGGTCTCTTAGGCGGAAGCCGCAGTTTCGCTGGCCTGTCCGGCAAAAGCGTCAGTGCCGGTGAGGTTGTAGCCCGAAGGGAAGTCTGAGGGCACCCCAGAAGGAAGCGTCCCAGTGACACTAGGGAAAGCCTCGGAGCCATTGGAAGCAGAGGTGGCGTTGGCCACAGGCAAGGTCTGGCTAGTTGCGTTGGAAGCGCCGGCAGGGGGCCCTGTAGAGTTGACCTCGGTACCGTTGACCTCGATCAATGACTGACCCGCAGAGGGGGCAGAAGAGTTGACCTGGGTACCGTTGACTTCAACCAAGGACTGGCTCGTGCCATTGCCGGAAAAGTTGCCGGATGGGGCAGAGGAGTTGTCGGGAGCGACAGAGGCGTTACCGTAGAAGGGGCCATCGGCAGACGCGGTAGAGTTGTCGCGGCCAGGTGGGGGAGAACCGCCCGAGGGGGCGGCAACGCTAGAGTCGGAGCCTGTGTTGGCGGGGGCGGCAGTGACTGGAGGCTGGGTCAACAGGGGCTTCTCGCAGCATGGAGCAGACGTACCAGAGGCGACGGCGGCCAAGAGAGAAAAGACGGTAGCGAATCGCATTGTGAAAGTAGTGTGCTTGTTGAGTTGGTCGAAGGAGAGTGGAGTGGGTTTATAGGATTGTGTTTTGTGAAAGCGTTGCTCGATGGGAGTCTGGGAGTGCATTGGGGGTCTCTATATATGTAGGTGAGGATGCAGTGCATGGGATGGGGTCGACCTCAGAATGAGCAGCACTAAAGAGGCAGTCTAAACCCTGCCAGTGCTAGTAGTGCCTTGTCACGTCTGAAACGATTAGATCTCGGGATAACAAAGTAGCCGCGTCGCAGTCAGCGTCATCATGTCCTGAATCGCACACTGCATATGTCCTGACGCGTCAATGCGTTGTTCCTCCCGGATTGAGCGCGCGAGCGTACACAACAGTGACGCTTGCAACCAGATACAAGTTACAACTCATCGGCAGGCTGGTCCAGGCTCGCCGTGCACCGCATACGTCCCATTTGTCTCAACATCGTGTCATGGATCGCTCTTGACGAGGCCCCGAGCAACGGTCCAAGGGTTCCCGCCCGATGACATATCATTCGCGCGGCTTGGCGGCTGTATAGATATACGAGACAAGGGTGGCCTTGAAACCAACATACTCAGGATCCCACTAGACAGAGTTGATGGTCGCAACGCGTCGACCGATTCGGCCCCGGGTCTTTGATCTTTCTATGGCTTTTGGCTCGGCATCCGCCGTCTAGTCACTAGTTTCTAGGTATCCGCTACGTGTCCTGCGCTATTATGTACATGAACCGATCGAATAGGGCTTGCCTGGGTCACATTTGATCCTGCACCGTCTACAGGGTTCGCACGCTGAGCCTCCCTTGAGCTGTATTCCTCTTATGATTTTGCGGCCCTTGGGCGGGTTGAGGATGGAAGACCGGGGGGGTGTGGGCTGTGCGTCGCCATAGCTGTGGGATGGGATGGATGGGAACATGGGATCGGAATGAACTGGCTGCATGGCTGACTTCACCAGGGCGAGACTGGAGACCGACACCGCCGGCCACACTCACTCTCAATCCCCGATTAGCACGCTTTGTTAATAGATTGCAAGATGATTAGGACTGGGGTCGCGAGGCAACGGAGACTCCGTACGAGGCACATGTATGGGTATCACTCGCTCATCACTGCATCGAGTGGGGGGTGATGGCGACGTGGGGGTGGAGGCAGTGGGGGGGGGTATGTATATAAGCAGCCATCCCGCCATCATCCCGTCCATCACCACACCATGCTTTTCATCCATGTCATGGCGATGAGCCACAGCAGAGGACAGACGAAGCCATATTGCCAGAGCGTCTTCCCTAGAGTGTTGGGCTCCATTGGGCTCTCTTCTTCATAGGTAGGCAGAGGGACAGCCGTTGGGAGTGCCTACATTCTCTCTGCCTACCTATGAAAGAGAGAGCGCGATGGAGCCAAACACTCTAGCCAAGACGCTCTGGCGGTACGGCTTCGTCTGTACTCTGCTTTGGCTCATCGGCATGACCATGTGAATCTCTTCTTTTCTTCTGTGGCATCGCTGACTCTGCTTAGTATGTGGATCCCCCTGAGGCGACCCTGAACAGGCGCAAAAGCTCGAAGAGATGAGGTTCTGTATGACTACTTTTTGGGCTTTTGGGATGTATGTGTTGTGCACTGATTCATTGAGACTTTTCTGTTCTCTAAAACTTGGCAAGATATCCATTGAAAGGCGGTTCCTCCAACCCCTTTCCGTCCACTTTCACCGCTTCGGAAGGACCTACAAATGCGATAAAGCCTTTGAATCATTAGCATCTGCACTGATACAAAGAAGCACACGCACGAGCCCACTCTGGCTTGAGATTGTTCCATCGGTGAATGTTGGCAGCCTGCACTACTAGGTCACCAGGATGGACGGTCGTCTTGGTCCCGTCGTGCAACTCCATCTCGAGTTCGCCGTGCGTGATCACGAGATAGTCTGCCAGGGTCAGCGCATGTAGAGTGTAGGAGAAACATACCGATAGTCTGGGTGAAATGGAAAAAGCCATCCGCGCTGGGAGGCAGATCTACTTGGATCAGCCAACATCCAACTTGAACTGATACATGATTCACCAATATACCGCGCACTGATAGCATCGTCGTGCGAGATCTTGTCCGGCCTTGCTTCAGCCCACTCTACCGCCTTTTCTGGCTTGGCGACGAGGTCGGGCTGGAGAAAGAGTACCTGGGCTTTGAGTGTGGCAGGGTCGGTGTCGGCCGAGGGAAAGTGGTGTTCGAGGAGGACGGGGGTGCCGTCCGTGGCGTGGGCTGCGACGAGGCGACGGGGCGGGGGCAGGGAAGACATTGTGCATGGGCAGGATGGGGCTGTGTGGCTACCAGCTTTTGCTTTTGTAGTGTTGGATGCTTACCTCATGCTCCCCGGAGCTGCCCCGGAGACCGAGGATGGCTTGCAGTACCCCCCTAGCGGAGTCATCCGCCGTGGGCCAGTGGACTCGCTCACTCGCGGGATCGGATGGCGTTATTGCCTGTCCGTGCCCGGGTACACGCATGGGCACCGCATGGGAATCGGGACAAGCCGACGCCGCCTTCACCCAACTTCTTTCTACGCTCCTTCCCGATGCACCCCATGCTTCTGTTCTTTCTTGCTTTCTCGAGCCTTCTATCACTTCATAGCTTGCATAGCCACTGCGAGAATGTTCTATACCACCTCCACTCCTGAGATGTACATGAAGACTCCCTCCATCGCCATCGTCGCTGCCCTTTCTTCATTGCTCCTTACCGCCCCTAACGTCAGCGCCTCACTATCGTCAACTTCACCTCACGGCATACTCATCAATAACAACATGCCCTCTGTGCCTACTCTTCATCAGCGCACCCCCCTTCAGGCCCGCCGCCAATACACCCTACAGCAGATCAGACGCTGACTGGAGTGTAGTTGGTGAAATTCATAAAGGATGGATGGGATGGCCTTCCTTCAAGCCAAATGTCGGGAGGCACCCCTTCTCAAGGCCGCCCTCACCCAGTACAACGGGGTTCTGCGCACCCTCTATTCAATAGAATGGTACGAGCCTCGAAATTCCTTGGAGGTCGCCGAGAATGTTGCGGAGGACGGAGACAACATCATTCTTCTGTCTCGCCAATAGCGTCGTTGTCCGGTAACAGGAGGGGAAGGCCATCATAGTCTTCATACAATGTGCATATCCTTTTGGATGGATTGAACGTCAATGGGAGCCTCTCTTGGGTAAGGGTCAAACAAAAGCCGGTAATAGGTATCAGTGACTGGACGAATCATGTGCAGACATGGGTAGCCCCAATGCACGATTACCAACGTACCTGTTGCGGGACCTTGATGGACCCGAGGAAGGCATTATGCTTGAAGCTGAATGAAGCAAGTCGCCAGGGATGAGCTGGAGAGTGACCGTCTCTTATGGAGTATTCTAGAAGAGCGCCGGTTTGTGAGCCTAGGCATGTACTCGGCTTGGGATGGACATACGGGTATGTGGATGGTGAAGACGAAAGTGACAAGTGGCTGCCAATACCACTCAGTACCAGGCTGAGGAGTGAGGACGCAAGTGACCTATTGATACATACAACCACAGCTATGCCCCCGAGTCTATGAATTTCACAAAATCACCCACTTTCCAGCCTTCCCGCGCTGAACCCTTCTCCACGCCTGCTGGCCGGGCCTCTGTCGCCCCCTCCATAGGCTCATCCTCGTCCGAGCCAAACAAATCATCATCCTCGTCCTTGTCTTCTTCAGCCTTTTCCTCTCCGCCCTCATCCTCGTCCTGCCCGACGCGCATGACCCAGTCAATCTCCTCTGCGCGCCTCTCTACCTCCTCCGACACTGCCTTGCCCTTCATCCCACCCCTCTCGATCCTCTCTGTCAGCTTTTTCCGCAAATCCTCCAGCTCCCTGTCCGACATAGCCCGGAGCTGGTCGTGCGTCTGCGAAAACGCGCGGGGTGGTTCAGACTTGCCCTCAACGGCAGGCGGGGCGGGCAGGGGCATGGTGTTGATAGCTTGGAAGAAGGCGTCTTGCGCGAGGGGAGAAATGCCCGAGTCGGGAGCGTCGGGCGGGGGAAGGGGGTTCAGAGGGTGGACAATGTACTGGGCCAGGAGCGGGTTGGACGGTGGCTGGCCGGCAGTTTGGGCGCGGGCTGGGGCTGTGAGGGTGTTGGAGAGGGCATTTATACGGCCGAGCAGCAGAGAGTAGCGCTGGAGGAGAATGTCCCTGCAGAGTGTCAGGACGGTGGGTGGCTCTAGTAGACATACCAGCTGGGGAGGGAGGCATCGTGTGCGCCGTTTGCGAGGAGGGCCCTGAGTGCGTCGATGTCGTTGATGGTGGTGGTGAGGCGGGGGAGGAGGGCTGCGAGGGCGGGGAGGGGGATGGCGGGGGGCAGCGGGGGGTGGTACTCCATCGCGCCGCATCGGGACACTGCCAGCAACAACTCAGCCTCTTGCCACATCCGGCGGGGGCAAACGACAGATCTCGCCAGGCACCGCCCGCATTCTGGACTACTCACTCAACCCTCCACTCCTTCTTCTCTTTCCTCAACTCCTCCACCCACAACCACCATGCGTCTCTCCCTCCTCGCAGCCGCCCCCCTCTTCGCCGCCGTACGTCTACCCCTCCACTCCGTCCTCACGCTGACATCCACAGGCCGCCGCCGCCGCCTCCCTCTCCTACCGGGCCGACTCGGCCCCTGCCTGTGCCCAGGACTGTTTCGATACTGCCGATACCCAGGACGTGAGCAACATCCACATGGATCTGTAATTCCCCAGCTGACATCTCGCCCAGTCTGGATGTTCGTCTGGAGACACTGCGTGCTACTGCAAAAACGAGCTCGTCGTTAGCTCCATCCGATCATGTCTCTCGTCCTCCTGCAGCACCTCCAATGTGACGGCCGCTGTCGCCTATGGCGAGTCTGTCTGTGCCGCAGCCGGCGCCACAGTGTCTATGGGGTCTAGCTCCACTAGCTCTTCCGGTGCTTCTAGCACCAGCTCCTCCGTCTCGGCGTCAACAACTTCTAGCTCGGCCTCGTCTTCAGATGCTCCGTCAGCCTCATCATCGCCTGCGGTTTCAAGCTCTACATCTAACGCCCCTTCTTCTAGCGCTAGCGCCAGCAGCTCGAGCGAGAAGAGCAGCTCTTCAAGCCACGCTGGTGCGGTCGGTGGTGGTGCGGCCACCCAGGCTTCTTCCAGGTATGCACATCACTTTGGACTCTGGCAATAGCTTACTCTCTCACAGTGCCGCTTCCAGCTCGTCCAGCACCCCTTCTTCATCTGCGGTTGCCAGCTCTACCAGGTTCGTCTCAAAATCCTTTTTTCGTGTTCTGACGGCATGATTAAACTCTAAACTCGGTCTTTGCGCGTCGACAACGTCATACCATTGCTGACTTTTTGTTCTTTTGCAGCGCCCAAGTTTCAAGCTCCAGCTCTGCCGCCCAAGGGTCTTCGAGTCAATCTAGCGGGCAAGCTTCAAGCTCTGCCGCTCAAGAGTCTTCGAGTCAATCTAGCGGGGTCAGTACTACTTCTGCATCCCCCTCCCAGAGTGCTGCGGTGGCTGCCTCGTCAGCATCTCCCACTTCTGAAGCCTCGGGACTATCTTCCTCTGGAGCCCCTTCGGCTTCCTCTGGAGTTTCATCCTCGGGAGCTTCATCCTCGGGAGCTTCAGCCTCGGGAGCTTCATCCTCCGATGCTTCCTCCCCTGGATCATCCACGGCTTCAACCAACCCCTCGTCTTCTCAGACCACTAGTCTAACGTCTTCATCGCAGGGTGCCGCTGCTGGTGGAGCCTCATCCGCCTCGGGCGAATCTTCGACCGCTGCCGGTTCATCATCTACCCCCGTTTCCAGCTCTGCCCAGGCTTCTTCGTCTTCTAGCGCCGCATCTTCTGCCGCTGGCTCCTCTTCTGCCGCCCAATCCTCTTCTGCGGGCTCTTCTGCGGCCGGCTCTTCGTCCAGCGCAGCCTCTACGTCGAGCTCCAGCTCCAGCTCCAGCTCGGGCGCCGGAAATCTCATGGTTAACGGTCCCTTCATGGTCGCTGTCATCGTCGGTGGTGCTTTGTTGGCTCTGTAAGCCCATTTGTAAATTGCTATTGGGATCTAGTAACACGGCGATCTACGCCTTTATCCATCTCATATATTCACGTGCAACGCACACGATGTACAATCATCTAGGGTCTATACAAGGACGATTTTTTGAATTTGGGACTTGTATTATGGACTTGAATCATCAATGCATTTGTTGGTTCTATTTTGCGCCTGATGTCCTCTTCATTTCTCTGTCCAGAGCGACATTCACAGCTCCCAATGTAGGGGCCATCGCCTACACGCTGTCAGCTTGATCACGCAGTATGCAGTTGACTCACCTTTCTGACCCTCTCTGGATCGAATCCACTGATCTGCGCCGTGTGCACGATCGCCTCCACCTTGTTCCCCGTCGTTTTCAGATAACCCGCCATCTTGACCGCCGTTGCCTCTCTCACAGCTGGGGTATTCTGTCCTCCCAGGGCACCCGCAGGGGCGGGCAAGATGGCAGACCAGTATTGCCGCAGAAACTCGGTGGCTGCGTTATGGCATGACCGTATTTGTTGATGCAGTATCTCGGAAAACGGTGCTATGCCCCCACATCAGTTGTTTGCCCACTTGTTAGCAAAAGACTCACGCAGGACAGCATTCTCCCGGTTCGCTCTCGCCCATAAATCCTTCACCGTAGCCCCCGCCCCCGCCTGTCCATCCCTCTGTCGCACAAACAGCGCATGCCTCTCCTCCCAATCTCCGTCCCCATTCACGCTCGCATCCGCCTGCGGTCCTGGGTTTGGTAAACACACCGACGCAAAGTCTGGTTTGTATGACCGCACATCAGAGATCGACTTGTCCGCCAAGCTGTAGAGCTCGCCAGAGGAAGCGTTGGGGAGGATCCCGGTCGGCGTGTCTTTCGAGGACGAGTCGGGAAGTGAGGCCGAAGATTGGACGTCGAGGGTGATGGTGGCCGGGGCGGAGGGGCCGCGCAGGTCGGCTAGATCAATCTCGCCGTAAATGTTGAGATCGCCGCCCAGGGTGTCGAAAATCGCAGACTGGTCGCCCGTCCTGTATATGATTTAGCCAAGTTCAGCTTGCTCGCGCGGCACTCACGATGCTCGAAGAAGCTTCTTGGAATGGTCGTTGAATCGGCGGATGAGCGGCAGAGCACTCCGTTCTCGGCCGGCCTGCATCGTCACATCCCTAATCGACGTCGACTCTCCGTGATCTTCTTCCGTGGCAGCCAAATCCAGATATCGTTCGACGCCATCACGGTCAGGCATCTGTTGCCTCGGCTGGAGGTCTGTGAGATAGTGAGCACAGCAAACAGCAGACATGGAGGAGCTTACTCCAATCTGGTTCCTCCAGATACTGGTCAAAGATGTCGTCCTTTTTCCGAGAGATTTCATCATTGGCAGACTTTCTCACACTCGCACGATGTCGCTCCCATAGCTGCGAAGTAAAATATCTCGACCAGAACTCTGTCTCACTGATCTGAAACAAGGTCAGTCGCAAATCGTGGCACACGCAGACAGGACTCACTGCAGGAACGTATTTGGCATAGGCGTCTTGCACCACCGGAAATTCTTCAAAGATTTCCCTTGTGAGTTCCTTGGATAGCTTGAGGGTGATGGGGCCGTTGTCCGCAGTCTTGACACCGACACCGGTACCACCCGTCGTCTTGCCTTTCCTGCCGGCATCCAGATCGAATCGGTCATCGAGCAGGCGTGATGGCCGGCCAGGCTTTTGAGCGAATGCCATCTCTTCCGCCTGTATCAGAGCCTGCAAAAGTCAGTCATTGCAGCCTCGTTCCACTCTATACTCACTTCTCGTCCCTGCCAGAACTCTTCCTCTGTGATCTGTCTTCCCAAAACAAGCTCCTTATGCAACATTCTCAGAGAGTCATTCTTCTCCAAGACCTTTTGGCGAATCTTGTTGAGTTTGCTCCTGGCTGCCCGCTGTGCCGGAGGAAGAGGGGAGCCAGTGGTAGGCGTCCCGGGACCGCTAGGGTCGTCCGCTTTCCTCTTGCCTTTTGCGACATCTGAAATGGCTATGGCGGCTGCTGTACTTGGTACAGCAGCTGGAGCCGGGCTTGGAGCAGCAGTGGTAGGGTTCTTGTTGGCGGCGACAAAGGGTATGAGGATGTCTTGGACGGCTTTACGATCGTCTTCGCGGGTTTTGGGGTTGGAGAATACAAAGAGCAGGCCGTTCTCTGGAACATTGTCCTTGAAGAGGACTTTGAGACTGACGCTCTTGGATCCGGATTTACTTGCGAGCATATCTGTGGGATCTCAGCGGGTCTCTCAGTTATAGGGCTTTATACGCACTGATAGCCCTGTTCATGGCTTGACTCTGCCGATCCATAGCATCTTTCGTTTTTGGGACCCACGATATGTGTGTTGAGGTGAGGGTAAGGGTTCCAGGTGTCTTTTTGAAATCGGCGTCAAAGCGTTGAGAGGAAGTGGACATGCTGGTAAAGTTGCAATAAGGCGATTAACGATGCGCTGATTTGCGGGAGATGAATGGCGCTCTTCCAACATCACGACTTTTGCGGCATAGTGCGGAGGGCCGAGGGCAAAAACCAACAACAAGTTTGGAGCAGCTGGGAGAAGATGCATACCTCGGCATCTGAGGGGGCTGCCCAAGTCCTCTCCAAAGCTGTCCCTTCTGGACTGACTCCAGGATGACGCGGCGGCAAGGGTTTGACGATGCTCCCATTCCACACCGCTGTCATCATAAACATGAATCACTTTGGATCCTTCCCCTTTCGCACACCATAACTCATCCAGTCTTTATAATATCATATTCTTTTGGTCTGACTTTGAGGTTTCCTCCCCACGCTCCTAATCCCCACTCTCATTTCTCCTCTGGAATAAACCCCGCCCCCTCTACTTCACGGCTCGTTTCGCCTCTCGCACCACCGGCCCAAACAATGACGCTCTCAAAAGGGGCTCAGGTAGCCATAATCGCTGTAGCCTCCTTCGGCTGGATTCCCTTCGCAGCCATTGCTATTCACGTCTGGCGACGTCGCAGACAAGGCACAGCTCGTGTGAGTGTGCATGCCTGCAGTCTGAACATCGCCTCAAGCACCTTCTGATGAGTCACCTTAGGGCCGACCCCTTCCATACTTTTCTTTGCCCAATATCATTCAACAGCAAGGCTTCGAACCCGCCATGAGACCACAATCGAATGCGAACTCTCTTCATCTTCCTACCAGTGCCCACAAACAGAATTCTCTCAGACACAAACCCCTTCCGCCTTTTCTCGTCTATCCCAGTCAAGCAAAAATGGATAGCATACTCAATCACGCGCACTTGGCCGATGGAACCCCTCTGGAGATCGAGCAGATGATGGCAAAGATTTTAGGTGGGATGGGACAAGCTGAAGGGCAATTGGATGTGCTTGCTGGAGAGGTGTAAGGGTCGGTAGCTTTTCTGGCAGAGGGAAAAAACCAAAGATGGGATGTAGTAAGCGAGAGGCGGTGGCATGGGGCCAGTGTGACCCAGCGGCGGGCTGTCACTTGGTTTCTTATTCCTTGTATACATAGAGGACACTCTTGAACATTCATATCAGTCAGCTATATCCACACTTTTGATGGATCAACAATGGACTTTTGTATACATGACAGCGCTTGATAGCGGTTCTACTATGAAAATGGCTAGTCGAAACAAGGTACAAATTTGATTGATAATACGGTATGACAACCCGCGTGCGTCTGATGCCCAAAGATGTTCGTGTGATACCAGACCTCACTGGAATCTTCGGTCGTTGTTGACTCGTATAGTGATCGTTATGGTGACAGTCTTCGTGATATTGTTCGTGATGGTATGGTTCGTCATGATGAAACTCGTGAATGATAACAAAGACGCCTAGAGGCCGTTGCTGGCTCTATGCTTGGTCGAACTAGAGTGCATGATGCCACTGAGAATGACAGAAACGTCAGCCTGTCCTCGGAGATCGTCCAAGAGGATGACCTACAGTGCTCGGAGAAGATCGTTGCCGCTTTGGCAATTGCGGAGAGTGATGCAGTAAGCCCGACAAGTGGTTCGTATACGGATATGCTCGGAGGGTGTAAGCTACGCAATGTCAGCCAACAAGACCAAGTAAAGTGGTAGTAATCTTACACATGACAAGACAAATGCTACAAGGAGCTGGTCAACACCATCCTGCCAGTAGCTGTCTTCTTCAAGACTCACTCAGATGGGCTTTCCCGATAGAAGACGTGGCAATGGTGACAATCCCTGGAGTACGTCTAGAGATATTGATGAGCTCGTGGCATCTTTGTCAACGAATGTGACTTACCCTTCGTCCTGCTTGCATATTGCTTCTACATATCTGGCGAAGCTCGCCCGACCTCCTTCAGTCAAAGCGATTTTGGCAAGGTTGACTCCATGGTGGGTTGTTGCAACAGGAGGATAGGAATTGATGATTGCTTCGCACGTCTGTTTGTAAAAGCTCGGGAAGCTGACTAGCTTTGTGACGACAAAGCTAGAAAGTAGATTAGCAATTGTAGATGTCGAGAGACAGATTCGTTCACTCACTGGCCGTATTGGTTATTGGACACCATCGATATATTTTCAACGATCTGAGGAATCTGTAAGCATGAGCAGACTTGGCAGCAAGACAAAATACCTCTTGAAAACAAGGGATCATCAGGTCATGGTTACCAAATACTTCAAAAACCTGCTGGACCGAGATGGAGCCATGCTAAGCCGTTTCAGTACAAGACGGGTCTGCAAGCCAGATAGTCATTCACCTCGTTGACACAGGCCAGCTGAGCCCAGCGGCCAGCCATCTCCAAGTTGATTCTGAACCAGGAATAAGCATAAAACCGGTAATCGGGAGTCACATACTTGTCAAAGACGTCCAACTTTTTTGCTTGGCGACATTTCTCGAGGTACTGACCATCATCAGTATGTCAACAATCGCCAAGAGAAGCTACACACCTCCCTCCAGAGTCTTCTAGTCCCAGTCTGCATCGATTCAAAAGCTCCGTGTTTGAATAGGGCTTCGGCAACAGGTTCCTACCATCGTATGTCAGCTCCCCGCCGGCCCCCCTTAACGGTAACAGACATTGCTCACCTCTAGCTCTTTGAGATTGATAGCTTTGCAGAGGACATGAGTACCAAACTTGTTGCTTGCGATTGGTACAATGTCATGCCTAACACTATGGTCAGCCTCATAGTTGCGTTCTGGGAGAAGCGCTCTCACCAAATCTTATCCAGGAAAGCTTTCTTGTCGGACAGATTTCCCCTCTCGAGAAGCTGCTGGCAAAGGTAATTTCCACAAGAGGTGTAGCACAGAGGTTTGGCCCATTCGATGATTGCTCGCGTAAGAATAGACGAAGGATCAGAGGTATCTGTGACACCAAATCGAGTCTACAAAGAGCATCAGTCAGGGAGAGGCGAGAACATTCGGTGCCAGTGAGCTACTCACAGTCAAAGCCTTCACCGCTGTCTTCAAGCCGGCACTATAGCACCCGAATCAACCACAGTAACATATGTGGCAGGAAGACAACGAAGCTCACCTCTCGTGATTGTTCTTGGGCTGGCAGTATGCCAAGGTCCATACGATGGCTCGAATCAGCTGAGGAGGCATGGCGGCAAAGTTGAAGGTGCCCTGAAGGACGCTATGGACAACGACGGGTGGGGCAGTGTAGGGCGGAGCCTGGTGTTGATCCTGCTGAAGAAAACGTCAGCAAACGTCACTAATCTCTCCACTGGGACTTGCATCGTCCGACGATAATTCGGCCTTTCCATCAAGAGTGTCTTTCGATCTACTTCGAGCATCCCGGTCATAGTTGGTGGAGGACGAAAAGAAGCTTTTGATCTCGGATGCGGGTGTCAAGATGGCAGGAGAGGCGATCGGAGGAGGGGCAGGGTTGTGGATCTCGCGGCCATGTCAGAAATGTAGCTTCGCCTCAAGCAAGAGATGCTTACAATGTATTCCCGTAACCGCTTGTTGTCCAAGGTCAGTTGCCGTATCTGGGCGTCTGCGATAGCCAGCTTCTGTCAAATTCGTCAATAAAGGTTCCAGCGGGTAGGAAGCGTACACACCTCCTCCAGATGATGGTTGAACGGAGGTCTAGGGGTTATTTCGGTCCTCCAATGCGGCTGGATAGGGGGGCTCCATGGTCCGACATCTAGTCCGGGAAGGATCAGGGGGCTGGAAAATTTAGGCGGCAAGATCTCATTCTGTGCATTGTCGAGCTATACCCAGAGTCAGCGGAGAGCAGATATACAGCGTGAGAAAAGCCTACCGAGCGGCTCAAGGGCTGATCCCAGGAAGTATGGTTCAACGGCAAAGTAGTCAGATGCTCCGAGTTGTGTCGGGCCAGGAACCGAGATGTCACCGGGGACGTTGATCTAGCCAGACGATCTTCGGCGGAGGGGGCGGCCCAGCTGCTTGACATTTTATCGCCAGAGGGGGGCCTAGAAGACCCTGAGCCGTCGTTGTGTGACATCCATGGGGAGAATGGATGGAAAGTGGACATGGTGTGGAGTGTGGTGGGGATGTTGGATGATGGTGGTGGTGGTACTTCGCGCCGGTGGGTGTGGGTGTATAGTGATGAGAGGTGAACGATAGAGATGGAGTTCAAGAGATGGGGCCAGCTGCACGAGGGGTGGACCTGCCGTGGAGATGTGGAAGATGAGATGCAAAAGCAGGATGGGGATAGATTTCGGTGTGAACGAAAGGCGTCAAAAGAAGTCGCGACAAACAGTGGAGCCCCGGATCGCCACGTGACCCAGTCCATCTTCGCAAAACGCGCATTAGTCGTAGATCTCATTGGAACTCACGTCCTGCACCATGCAGCAGCTCCTCAGTAAGAAGCCCGGGTGGTCTCCATCCCAGTTGCTGACCAGAGCTCTCCAGATCCCTTCGCGCAAAAGTACCCAGACGCAGTCGATTCCACCCTTTCCTCCCAGGGCGTCTGTCTCTCTTTCAATCCATCAGGACCCTACGCCGGCCACTACCTCGCCGTAGGCAACAGCTATGGCAGAGTAGAAATCTGGGATGTCGAGACCCGCGGCGTAGTGAGGGTCCTCGAGGGGCATGTGAGAGCTGTCGAAAGCCTGAGGTCAGTATTTCGCGCGAGCGAAATCATTGTGTCTATCTGACATATTGTATCAGCTGGTCTAGAAACAACAGATACCTGTTATCAGCATCATCGGATGGTACAGCTCTGGTGTGGGATCTGTCGGTCCTTCCGCATCCCTTGCTTGTGCCTAGGACGCCATTGACAGAGTCCCAAGCTGGTTCTTCAAATGCTTCCACTTCGTCGTCACGCCTCAACACCATTCGATTCGATAGCCCAGTAACCAGCGCGTCTTTCAATCCGAGAAACAGCCGAATCCTACTTGCAGTCCTGTCTTGCGGCGAGGTCATTCTTGTGGATCTTCGGAAGGGCGGCGGAAAGTTCAAGCTGGAGTATTCGCCAGGGGACGAAGAAGAGTCTGCATCTCGGAAAAGGTGATCTCGCCTTCCACTCGTTCATAAGATAGTGCTGATCCATCATTCCATACAGAGTATCCATGACCTGTGCAGATTTTTCTCCTTGTGGGTCCCGTATATACGCGGGCACATCAAACGGAATGCTCCTGGTCATCGACCCAATGTCTAGACAAGTATGTTTCCTGCCACACTTCTCAAGATCTCTATGACTGAAAGTATCACAGGTGCTTCACCATATCAAAGTCGCTAACGCATCTATCCGCCAACTGACTTTGGATGCTTCCGGCTTGTAAGCCTGTTATTTCTCATTGCTACCTCAGCTTACGAACGTCCTAGTCACCTAATAACCTCTGCCACCGACCGTGCTCTCCGTCTTTTACAAGTCGACCCCCTCACTCTCACCCTCACTGCATTTCATCGCTTCCAAGATCTGGTCAATCGTACTCCTTGGTACTCTGTCGGCTTTTCAGGGGATGCCGAGTATGTCATGGCTGGTGCAGCTCACAAGTCGGCGCATAACGTCTTCATCTGGGATAGGGAGAGTGGAGTGTTGGTCAAGGTACTGGAAGGGCCGAAAGAGTCGCTGATAGCGTGTGCCGTAAGTGTGCTTCTTCCACGTCTCGGATGAAGACTGATCTCGGGTACAGTGGCATCCCACCAGACCTATCATCGCATCAATATCATCGGGAGGTGATGTGCACCTGTGGCAAACAGCTTCTCCAGACAATTGGGCGGCTTTTGCTCCAGGATTCGAAGAACTGGAAGAAAACGTCGAATACGACGAGCGAGAAGATGAATTCGACATCGTAAGCCGTCTCCTCTGAGCTAATAGCTGCCGTCTTACGCAATGCAGGAAGACGAATCTGAACTCAACCGACGTAAAGATCTTGAAGAAGATACCTTTATCGATGTCTTGACGCCCGAGCAAGACTCCTATCCTCGTCGTGCCAAACCCATAACATCCTTACCGGGCAACCTCGTTTTCAAAGATGAAGGTGAACAGCAGCAGGCCGAACGGTTGGCAGAGGCGATCGCCGAGGTCACTAAGTGGGCAGATGCGGATACAGCAGATTATGTCGCAGGAGCCGAGAATACGTCGGGTCTGCAAGAGGGCAAGGGTGCGAATGACGGGGACCAATGGGAGGGGTTCTATCCATCGCAAGATCTCTTGTCAGAGATAAAGGTGGACGAGGATCCCGACGCGTAATTACATCAGATCTATAATAGACTTGCTCTGCAGTATACAGTCCAACCTGTACAAAAACACATTATAAACAACCTCCATGACCTATAATGAAAACCAACATCATCTTCGGCTCCTGAGAAGACTATTTGTTGGCGTCTTTTCTTCGAGCCTCGTCTACGCGAAAAATTAGCGATACTCTGCACAACCGCGACACCACTCACACGCTTGATACGCCGCCTTTAGTGTCTCATCTTTGCTACTCGCGTCACCATCCTTCCTCTCGGCACTAGCAGTCTGAGGCCTAGGGGGGACGGGAGGGGGAGGACGAGCGGCAGACTCGCGCTGCTTGGAGGCAGCTGTCTCAATCTTTACAAAGTCCTCTTGCGGTTTGCCCACAATATCGAATGCCTCTCCCATCATACCCAAAGCAACAGCCCGCAAGTGCAGTTTCTCCTTTGACACATTCGGGTCTGTCAAGACAGCATCACAGGTCTCTCGGATGACGCTCTCGACTTCCAGCTTAACGCCTTTCCACATAGTCCGTAGGCCTTGCTCGGAGGCTTGCTCTTCTAGTTTGCGCAATTCTTCGGGAGCGATGCCACTTTGCTCCGCAGCTTGCAGCCGTTCAAAGACGGCCTTGAGCTCCATGGCGGATTTGATGGTTGCAAAGGTGTCGGAGACGACACCGATGCTTGATTTGGCGCCGTGGAACCATCCGAGAGGGGCGAATTGTGAAGAAGCCTAGGGCACGATCAGCGGCATGGAAAGCGAGCTCTGGGTAGGACGTACTAGATGCTGGGCAGACTTGGCTTGATATTGTTTGCCAATGGCGTGCAGAAGCTCAACACCATAATTTTCGTCCTTCAAGTCTTCCCCTTCCAGACGGCAGATTTCCTATCATGTGGTCAGCTTCATCCCAGACACTTTCTACAACAGCACTCACTTTGAAACTAGACCCCACAAGCTTGTCATCTGCGCTCTTCGCGGCTTCCGTAAAGATATTCAGCTTGTTCACCAAGTTGACTGCCAGCTTATCCACTCGAGCTTTCCTTTGCTTCGCCTTCTCCTCAGCGGCCTCCCGATCTCTAAGAGCTTTCTTTTGCAGACCCTCAGGAGTCATGACAGGCTTGCCATTGGGCCCCATGGTATAGTCTCCAGCGTCTTCACCTTCTTGTTGCTGGAAGGCTTGCTTCATGTCTTTACCTACAAACATTGTCAGATGATACGCGCCGCTGGTGAAGGAGACGTACCTATACTGATATTTCCAATCAGTACCTCAAAGCGATCACCACCAAACATCTTTCCAAAGACCTCTTCTGGGTCGTGGAAACCGCCTTCCGGCTCAGACATTCCACCGCCGTTCTTCTGGCCAAACTCGTTGTATTTATGCCTCAATTCGGGATCGGACAGAACTTGATAGGCAATCGAGATTTCTTTGAACTACAGTAGAGCATCAGTACCAGTATCAACGTATGGTACATTCACAAACCTTTTCTTCGGCATCGGGGTCGTCGCGATTCTTGTCTGGATGTAACTGTGATCGTGTGAGCCAGAGTACAGGGAATCAGAGAACGTCCACATACTTTGATAGCAAGGCGTCTGTATGCCTTTTTCACCTCTTCAGTCGTACATTGACTGTCAAGCGCCAAGATGTTGTAGTAGGCCATATCGAGCGGGTTCTTGTCCGAACCGATCCTTCTAGATTTCGCAGGAGCAGAGGAACCACTCGAGCCAGTGGCTGAAGACCGAGCATTCGATGGCTTGGGCTGAGGATGGGTGAACATCTGCTTACATCTGCATATGGAAGATAAGCATGAGTATACTGGCAAGTGGCGAAATACTCACCCTGCACAGCGGACTCTGAGGGTTCCAATGAAGGTTGGGGGGACCATGTACTCCTGCTGGGACTTGCAGCTGGGGCAGTCTGCTGGGATGTATGTACCCCGCGGTCTTGACTCGACGATGGAGGACATGGTGGGATGGATTGTGCAGTGGAGTAGCACTGGACTGAAATGTCTCCAAGATGCACAAGATGTGCAGAGCCATGACGTCCAGAGGTATTTGGTCCCGCCGCGGAGTTCGCGTTTATGTTCGGCTGGGTGCATCATCTGAGTAGCGAGGTTGTCATGTCCTCTCATCCAACCAGCGCACAATGGCAGCAGTCCACCCCCCCGCCGTCCAGAGCTACCTCCAAGACGCCTCCCGCTATCAGGCCATCGACAGGATCCTCGACAGACGAGGGCCCTGGACAGACGAGAGGTTCGAAGGCGGCAGTGCTGTGAGTTTAGTGCTCTGCGGAATGGCGTATCGCTGACGAGAGTGCAGACCAAGGAATTCTTGAGAACAAAGTCAAAGATTCTCGTTATAGGTGCCGGTGGCTTGGGGTGCGAGATTCTGCAGAATCTTGCTTTGTGTGAGCAGTGCAGCCAATCTCTCTCGTTCGCGACTGACATTACAAACCAGCGGGCTTCAATGATATCCATGTCATTGACATGGACACCATTGATATCTCCAACCTCAACAGGCAGTTTCTGTTTAGGTACATTCACAATATATGCTATGAATCGTTCGACGCTGACAGAGTACAGGGAATCCGACGTCGGAAAGTCAAAGGCTCTGTGTGCAGCGGAATTCGTCATGAAGCGGGTTCCCGGATGCAAGGTCACTCCGTGAGCTTCTGTTCTTTGAAAAGAGAGCCTCTAACCGAATCCCTCCAGCTACCATGGCAAGATTCAAGATCATCCTACTTCTTACTATGCCACATTCGATATTGTGGTCGCCGGCCTCGACTCCATTTCTGCCCGGCGATGGATCAATGCGACTCTGGTCCAGATGGCACAAGATGATGGCGAGCTATTGAAGCCATTAATAGACGGTGGTACAGAAGGCGGGTGACCTCTACAGCGCACATGTTTGGTACTGACGATGGGACAGGGTTCAAGGGACAGGCTAGAGTCATCTTACCGACGGTGTCATCTTGCTACGAGTGCTCTGTAAGTCACTCGCCTCTTGGTGAACATACTCTGACATCGTTAGATTGACATGCTCACCCCTCCTACCGCCTTTCCCATCTGCACCATTGCCAACACCCCCCGTCTTCCGGAACACTGTATCGAGTGGGCGAGCGTCCTAGAGTGGCCCAAGGTCTTCAAGGGCAAGCCTCACACTTGCTCCTCATAATCCTTGCTTACCGGACGTACAGACAAGAAGCTCGATACTGATGACCCTGACGACATTGAGTGGCTCTACAAGGTGGCGTCTAGCCGCGCTGCCCAGTTTAAGATCGAGGGTGTGACATGGGCCTTGACTCAAGGTGTCGTCAAAAACATTATTCCCGCCATCGCCAGTACCAACGCCATCATCGCCGCCTCATGCTGCAATGAAGCCCTCAAGATTGCCACCGCAAGTGCCCCCTTCCTCAACAATTACATGATGGTGAGTTGGTGGAATGGCTTCGGGCGATTCACTTACGAAGAGTAGTATGTTGGAAACGAATCCGTCTACACATATACCTTTGAGCACGAGCAGAGGCCAGACTGTCCTGTATGCGGTGGCGAATCTCTTTCCGCGGAAGTCAGCAAGGACGCGACATTGGAGACGTTCATGGAGACGCTCTCTCAACGTCAAGACCTGTAAGTTGGACACAAACGCGATGTGGCTTGCTGATCGCTCTCCCAGCCAAATCTCTCGACCCTCCGTGTCGTTCTCCAACGGCAAAGCTCTTTTCTGGCCGAGTCCTCCCGATGTGTATGAAGCTACCAAAGGGAATCTGGAGAAGAATCTGAAGGACTTGTTGGCGGGCGACGATACTGTCGTTGTGGTCGATCCCGCTCTGCCTGTGAGCGCGAGCGTGACAATCAAATTTGTATGAAGGGATGGTGTAATATCAGAAGTAACAACAGATGTTGGCAGGGGTGCGTGTCTATAGCATATGCATGGGCTTGGGCAGACATATTGTGACACGGAAGATGATGCAGAAGATGGCCTCTCGTGACGGATTCGCCGTTTGCTGTGTCATCGGGAAGTGCCCGAAATGCGTCGCAGGCCGAGATGGACATTTGTTGTCTCCATTCTTGTTTTTGTTTGTATCTTGTCACCTTCCCCATCCCCGCCCACCCCACACTGCACTCTCTGTCCCCAACACCCCCTCGCCTCGCCTCCTAGCGACCTAGAGCAATACCTACACCAGGCCCAATCAGTCACATCGCCTGCCAAAGTTCCCCGTCGGCCGGCCGTCTCCTTTCACTTCGCAACGTCCACGACGGCACTTTCGTTCAGATATGAACGCCTCTGCGACAACAACGATACCGACCACATCCTCTTTCTCCAATCTCTTCCCCACCAATTCCGCATCGGCTACCGGCAGTTCCTCTGACGAAGACGATGGCAAAAGCAAGAGTAACACAAATGTCTACTATCTCGTCGTACGTCGGCTATCCTGTGTATGCGCTGAGACGATCACTGACTCTATGTACGCAGTTCCTTGGTGTCCTAGTGGTTCTGATGCTCATCGCACTGTGCTTGGCTGTCCGAGCTATGCGTATGAGACGGCGGTATCGGGCTGCAGCGCAGGCTGCCTTGGCCCGGGGAGAGACTGTGCCAGGTTCGATACGAGACGATTTCTGGGGCATGGGCGGGCTGGCAGGGTGGAACTCGGACGGGTGGGATAGGTTTGGTGCTGTCGGTCCAGGCGGACTATGGAAAGACAGCAAATGGCACAAGCTGCCTGCCTTGACAGAAGCCGAAGCCGCCCAGGAGTCTGAGAAGGCCGACTATGAGGCGACGGATCTATGGACAGAGGATACTCGGGTAAGCGGTCCTTGTCACATCAAGGCTTGATCTAACGTATGTTCACAGCCGTTGAGTCTTCAATTAAGGAGATCTCTACCCGAAGAATCGCCCATGGACGCTCTGGCGGGATTACAACCACGGAATGTTCGCGCGCGAAACAGACAACCAGCGCTATTCAATCGCTCTCGCCCCACCGATGCCTTGGATCGCTCCAACCCATTCGAATCCAAACAGAACATACCAGAAATCGATCGGTCCATAGGGACGGGCGAGCCAATGAGAATAGGCGTAGTCATTCAAATGCCCAATCCGGGCATCTCCGGGCAGAGATATACTCAAGGAGAGGATGACGAGCAGGTTGCTTGGGAGAGTGGGATGGAGATCGGATTGTGGGAAGGCGTGGTAGAAGGCAAGCTGGCGAGGGATTCGAGTGCAGATCTTGCGAGTGCGAGTGTGCCCGTCAGGAGAGAAGATGGGGGAGGACTGGCTCGGAACGCATCAGAAGACTCTTACGGGAACGCGGACATCGCCCTGTATCGATAGCGTGGTGGCGAGAGCGTCAGTCGCATGGGAAGAAGAGGCTTCTTGTAAGTATGGTGAGTGTGACTCGTTATGATTTTGCTCTCAAATGCTGACCGATTGACCCGGTAGTAGTGTATTTCCTCAAGCTACCGTCATCTCTAAAGTGTTTGATAGATAGGTCTTTCGGACAGATGGCGGGCTAATGTATCGTTCTGGGTATCAAACAAGTGCGAATAGGAGTTTGGGACATACGGCGCCATAAATTGCATGACAACGTGACAGTTCTTCGCCTACGTATATTCGGACAAATACACAAACTCAGTCATCTCATGCGCATCATCATATTATTTGGAGCCAATCTAATCAACTGGATTCCCTGAATTATTCGAATCTTCAGTCTGAACGTGTATATAACAAAGATCCCAAAAAAAGAAAACAGGTCACCTCTCTACTCCTTCGCCTTCTTCATGGAGAACCGACTTGGGCTATCCGGGACGGTTTTGGAGCTCACACTGGGAGTCCTCATCCGAGAGTTGGTGCGCAAGTGTCCACTGGGAGGGCTGGCCACACCAGTGTTCCAGTCGAGCCGGAGCCGCAAGAGACCGGTGCCACTGCTGAGCTCAACCCAGACGTCAGCGTTGGGCACAGCAGGCTGGATATGTCGCCAGATATCGACTTCGGCTTCACCGAGCTCAGGGTCCTTGCCGAGAGTGTGGTGGTCATAGACAGTAACGATGAAAGTTGACGTGGTGGGAGCAATGTTGAAGTTGAAAGTCTCGTTCCTATAAGACACGTCAACGTTTGTTCTGAAATGTGATCAGATGACTTACCATTCTGGCGTAAGTCCTTTGATATGCTCGGTCTTGTAAGACTTGCCACCGGCCTTGACAGTAACGTATGGCTTGGCCACATCCCTGTCACTCTTCAGGTCCTTTGCGCTGAGAACAGTGACGCTCAAAGTTCCGGGCTCGCTAGGTCCCGCAGACTCTCCGACGGGAAGCGTAGTCGCGTTCTGAGTAGGCACTCCATCAACGTTGGTGCCGGCAGGAGCAGATGTCTGACCAGCAGGGACGTCGTAGCCGTCATTGGCGATGGCACCGGGAGTGGCGGGTGCGCCAGTCGAGGGGTCCACCATGACTTCCTTGCCAGACTTGTCCTTCTTCTTGATGAGACCAATTCGTCGACCAGCAAATCCACCGACGGTGCCAAGGCCAGAGGCAACACCACCAGCCACAGCGCCTCCTCCTTGGATCACGCCCTTGCCAACGCCTAGAGGGACACCACCGATCGTGGTCATGGCCCTGCCAGCGGTGGCGAAGGAACTAGTGTTGTGACGAACTCGAGCGATAACTGTTACAATGTCAGACTGATACCATACAACAGAGAAAGAACATACTCTCGGGGGTGAAAAGCATCCTGAAGGTGAGAGCGCCCTTCTCGCCGCGCTTGTCGGTAATGAGGGGCAGGGTTGACTCGAAAGCCTCGAAAGGCTCAAGGGCAGCAAGATCGACAATGTTGCTACCAAGAGGAGTAGCGGTTCCGACTCGATCCCAGTCAAAGACCTCAAAGCTAAACTTGGCGGCGACACGAGAGGGTACCATGACCTCGAAGCTCTCGTTCCAGACAGGGTGCACAGTCCTGTATGCTGTCAGGACCGCACATGGACGCATGCAAGCAGCTCACTTTTTCTTTGTTTCAGACTTGAATACCTTCATGCCGTTCAACGAGAACACGACGTAGGGCTATATATGGTCAGCAAACATCCATGATACATGTGACCATACTCACGTCAGACTTGCCACTTCGGTCAGCGCCGTGGACACCAGTAGCCTCGACGACGTCAACTCGAAGGATACCCATGTCTGGGCAAGATCAGCTCTGATGACTGGCCATTTGTAGGTGGACTCACTGTTGATGCTCTCACGAGGCTCGAGAGTGATGTCGACAGGCACGAATCGAGCAGCCAATTGGACAGTGGTCTTGTTGCGACCTTCCTCGTCAACAAGAACAAATTCGGAAGGAGCGTTCTGTGTGCCCAAAGTCAGGGGCCATCAAACGCAAAGCTCAATTTAAAGTGACTCACGATACATTGTTCCAAAAAGTCCTTGGTGTTGGTCTTGAACTCGGCCACGACGTCCTCCTTGCTGTTCTCATCAGCAGCGTTGATCCTCAACCAGACTCGGCTAAAGTCGAGCTCCCTGATAAAGCCCTCGCCGACTTGGTCCCAGGTGGGGGTGTTGCTTCGAGCCTTCTCGGAAGTGAAAGCAGGCCAGTAGCCATCGTCCAACATGACTTCGAGAGAACCCTTGCGAGCAAGGTTACCAGAGATGACTTGGAATACCAACAAACCAGATTCTACATGGGGGTCAGACACCCGATGCCTATAATGAAGACAGACTTACGGTTCTGGAGGATCTCCTCGTTGGACATGACGATTCCTTGTTCGGGGTCCTCAGCAGCAGTCTCGGGCTGGGCCTCTCCATCAAGGACAGGGGCAGGGGCAACGGTACCGGTCGAAGGAGCCTCGCCGTTGGTGATGGGGGCTGGAGCCTTGTTGACTTGACCGCCAAGGGCGTCGACAGGCGCAACCTTGACCGAACCGTTAGCCTCGGGCGATACTTCAGCAACGCCAATGGGCTCAAAGCCCCTGACAGCAGCCTCAGTCTCGGCGGCCTCGGCAGCAAGTTCGAGTTCGTTCTTTTGCACATCAAAGGAGACACCACCTCGGAGAGACACAGCAGGCTTAAAGTCGATCTCGTAGTGGAGTTCACCCTTAAAGTGGTTGGCCTTGTCGAGTTTGATTTGATCGCGTCTGATTTGGTGACCGCTAGAGACATAAGGATACGCTTGATCGTCGCTCTTCTGGATGTAGTCGCCGGCATTGATCTCGACGTGACCGAGAGACCTGTCCTTGCCGATATTTTGATAGTCCATAAGCTCAAGGAAGAAGTTTTCGCGGGTAGAGTGGACAGGGACATAGACGATCTGATCCCATTCAGGGTTGAGATTGTTGTTGATGACCTCGGTACGAGTCACGACTCGGTTGTTGCCCATAACTCTAACGTAAGGATCAGATTTACCACCCAAAGCGGCCTCGACGTTCTTGACGTCAACAGCCTTCTTGAGCCAGACACGAAGAATACCGATGGGAGGGATGTAAGAGTTGGCACCACCAATGGAGCCAGTCATGGCAACAGGCTTCCACTCGGCAGACATTCGGATCTTACCGGAACGAGAACCGGACAGAGGGAACCAGTCCTGCTGCTTCTCCTTTGCCTCGAGCAAGTCGGCCAACCGGAGGGTGACCTTACCCAAGCTGGGGTCGGAAGCAAAGTCTCGGTTGTCGGTGATGTCAACGGTGAAGACAGAGTTGTGCTTTTCGGGAACCAAAAACTCGGTAGCCTCTTCCCAGATAGGTTGGTTGACATGCTTGAGAGTCTTGGTCCTGTGAACCTCTTGTTTGCTGTTACCGAGGTAGACACGAGCGAAGGGGTTGAGAGCGCCACCACTGAGGACGGCGCCGGAGACTTCGAGGTCCTTGGCCTGGTGAAGGGTAAGACGGACGATACCAGTTTGAGTGTCGGGGATAGGCTCAGGGGTACCATCGGCACCCTTCTCGGCCTTGAGCACGGGGAAGTAGGACAAGTCGTATCGCACCTCGCCTCGTTCTTTACCGCCGCCGAGAATCTTGCCGACATTGCCTTCCTGCTCGGCGTCTTCAGCGAGGGAGCCGAGCTCATGGGAGGCGGTACCAAGCAAGGTGTCGGGCCTGTGGTCGTTAAAGTCGTAGACGTTGAGGTTCAGAACATCGGCCAAAGTGTTGATAAGGAGGAACTGGGTCTCTTGGAAACTGGGGTTCGGGTTGGAGTGAACGATCTTGGTCTGGCCAATGGCAGGCTTGGCGCCGAGAGAGAAAGACACATAGGGGTCGGGGTCACCTCCACCAAGCTTGGTAGCCTTGAGACCACGAGCATCCGTGACGGTGACTCGGAGGACACCGATAGCAGCATCAAGAGGGGTGCCGGACAAGAGTTGTTCCAAATCGATAGTGAACGAGTTGGGGTCGTACATCATGGGGCCAAGGTTGGCATGCACCTGGTCGCGAATGAAAGGCGCAAGAGCAGGGATACTGTTGATGTCGAAACCAAGAGTCTCACCACCGATGGGTTTGAGAACGTAATCAAAGGTAGGCTTTTCAATGAAACTGATGTCGACGGTTTTTACGTGGGGGAAGTTGGTCATGAGCTTGAGCTTGATCCTACAACAGTATCAGCGGCTGTCATCTGCATCCGATGCGACAGAAACGGACCTCATCTTTCCAGAGAAGCTCATATCCTCCAAGAGGATGGGAAGCGCCTTGGACACGACACCTTTACCGATACGGATGGAGAGGACGACCTTGGGGTTGACCTGCTTGGCCTGTTGGCGAGGAGTGACGTCTTGGATGTCGTTGGGAGTGAAAGAGATGGCCCAGTCCATAATCACAATGTCCTCGGGGCTGTGAAAAGTTCGTCAGCTACTTTTCAAGAGACTGGAAAAGGGCGCTCACGTCTTGGGGAAAGTCCGTACGTAGTCGATTCGAGGAGCCTTGGTACCGACTTCAGGAAATCAGCTCCATCGACCATGACGGTACGCAGACGTACGTGTAAAAGTGGTCATGCGGATGCTGTCTACACCAGGAGGGGCGACGCCGGCAAGGGCAGCATCAGTACTTGCGATAATGGTCTGACTCAAGACAGGCTCGTAGCTGCCATTGGGTCAGTTGCTGTTACTTTTCGCGCGACGGTATAGCTCACATAAGCCAGAATCGTTCGAGGAAAGAGTTGATCCAGTCTGCGCTCTCGGTCTCGGTGACGAGTCTTGTCTTGACGAGCTCTCTCTGGATGTCATCCCTGGCTCGGTCTCGGGTGCGTTGGATAGAGTTGGAGTAGTAGGAGGCGCAGAAGGCAAAGATAACTAATACCCATCCCCAGCCAAGACCGAGGGTGGTGAAAAATCGAGTAGCGAGAACAGAGAAGGCAATCTAGAGCATCACGGGTTAGCACAAAAAGCGCAAACTAGAGGATGGGACCTACGATAGCGGCATTGTGGTACCAAGCGCCGTACATGGTCTCGGTGCTAGCACAAAGTCAGTGTGCTTCGCGCGTCTGTGTAGGTGACTCACAGGTAGGTATCCAGAAGACTCGCTTCTTGTTGAGCCTTTGCATTCTGTCCAAGACCCGCTGCTTGAGCCCAGCCAGCCTTCACCTGCGGGTTTCGTCAACGACCGTCCTCTCTGACCGCTGCATCTATACTCACCCAAGTAGGCACTGAAGGAGCGGCGTTGGAAGGAATAGCACCAGGCATGTTCTCCTGAAAAGCGGTCAGCAATGTCGCCCGCTACACACGCGGTGAACATACAGCGTCACCGCTTTGCCCTTCAGCGCGGGACGCCTTGTCGATGTCGGCAAGCGTCACGGTTAGCTTAGGCGTGTTGCCAGCGGTAGATGTATCGATGGTGACAGCTGCAAAGAGTCAGCATGCGGCGACCATGAGTGCAGAGACATACCTCTAGCACCTCCCCCGCTTCCTGAGATGCCTTCCTTGACCTTGTCCCGGCTAGGCAGTCCGAGCTGGGCCTTGGCCTTGGCGGCAGCGGCAGCCTTGACAGCGGGCGACGCATCGGGGTCGAACATCTGCGGGGTATAGTGTGAGAGCAGTATGGGATTTCCAAGCGGCTCAGACATACGTGAACTGCGGCGCCTTTGAGCTGGTCTTGGTTGACTACACCGCCGACGGCCGAGCCGACCTCGCCGACAAAGTTGCCTGGGGCCTTTGCGATGTTCTGGAAGGTCTGTCCGTTGGGGATGGCATGGTCGAATGCCTTGATGATGGGCATTGTGCCGGATGGAGAAGAGGAAGAGAAGTGTTTGCATCTGATCCCGCGGCAGCCGGTGAATTAACGACGTTCAACAATTCCAGGATGACGTGAGGCGCAGCACCCCGCCCTGCACTACCCCCCTCGCTTTTGCTCCCGCCCGCCTAGTAACTTGGCTTAAACCCGAACTGCTCCCGCCCAAACTCCCCCTCCCAAATTTACATCTCCATCTCTCATTCCTTCTTCATCCAACATACCATCCACCCTCCTCAAGACTTCAGCGCCCCCATCAAGCATGCAGTTGCATACCTAGTCGTGTTCAGCAGTACCGTTCAGCGCTTCCCATCACGCCACGCCATACCCCCATCACCCCATCACCGACCTATTCCTTCGCACGCCTTTTTTATTCACGATCGACGCTCAATTCGTTAGCGCTCGGACGGGGAAAGAGAGGCAAAATTGATACCAGTTATGGCCCAGGGTGTGAACTCTGACTTTAGTCGGTTGGAGACGACATCTGTTGGGCTCTAGTCTTTGTTTGGGAGACTCGAGCTGCCGGGTAGATTGGGACATCTCTTCCATAGCATCATGTATTTTGTTATCTTGATCATCTGTGGTGATGCAAGAAGGGCTTTGCACAGACACGGACACTGCATCACGGCTTTGCACAATCGTTGCGCACTTGCGAGAGATGGAACATCTCTGCGCCACGTGGGTGTGTCGGCATTTTCCGCTCGGCGCACCGGTGCTCCCGGATCAAGCTTGTTTCGAGATCCCAGAGTATTCTTGCACTCACTGCACAAGATGTCTGCTGAACTCGACCTCGACTCTATCCTCCAGTTTACCATCCAGCTGGCTCTCGATGTGCGTCCATGTGCACCTTGGCCTGCCCTCGCTGACCCCCTACCCAGGCCGGCAAGCTCATCCGAGAAGGCCAAGAGAACCGCTTCGCCTCCGAGAGCACCCATGAAGATGAAAAGCTCAACAGTGTCGACGTGAGTACTGAATGCGGGTGAAGGACACGAAGAGTAGTGACCATGCCGCCTAGCTGGTGACAGAGGTCGACAAGGCTGTTGAAAAGTTCATTGTCGGCAAGATCACCGAGGCCTATCCGGACCACAAGTTGTACGTGTGTCCCAAGCCATGATGCGCTCGCTGACCATATGGCAGTATTGGAGAGGAGTCCTACAACGGCCAAAAGATCACCGATGCGCCTACTTGGATTGGTAAGTCTTACCGCCAACACGACGCCGCATGTAGCTGACGCGTTTGCAGTCGAGTGAGTATATAGAAGGACTCGTGTATGGGATCGCCTTGCTTACAATATCAGCCCCATTGATGGTACTACCAACTTTGTGAGCACGAGTCCCTCCTTGAGCCTCACGTCCTGACGCCCTTGCGTAGGTTCATGGCTTCCCCATGGTCGCCACGTCTATAGGTCTCGCTGTCAAGGGTAAACCCGTTGTCGGTGTCATTTACAACCCCTTCCTCGACCAGCTCGTAAGTCTTTGCCCCTCATGACTGCTTCTGTACCCTGATTACGTTTCCTCAGTGGTCTGCTGCTAAAGGCAAGGGCGCCTACTTGAACCAGAAGAGGAAGCTCCCTATCACTGGTGCCCAGAAGCCCTTGCCTTCTTTGGGCCAGGCTTTGTGAGTCGTGCTCAGTCGAGCGAGTGCATGCGACTGATCGTTATTCAGGATCGGGGTCGAGTATGGCATGTCTCGCTCCCCCCCCGCCCTTCCTCGAAAGGTCGCCGCCTTCCAGAAACTCACAGCGCACGCCGACCACGGAGGAAAGATGGTCCACTCTCTCAGGAGTCTTGGTAGCGCTGCCCTCAACATCGTGCTGGTCGCCAGTGGTGGTCTCGATATGTGAGTCCACATGCTTATAATGAGGCTATATCCGCTGACAATTGCTCCAGGTACTGGGAGGTCGGAGTGAGTAGCCTGGCACGACTTTGGTAATGCATTGCTGACCCTCGACTCTTCTAGTGCTGGCCTTGGGATGTCTGTGTATGTCAAAGCTCACCTTGTTGAATTGTGTACGCGCTGACATCCAATCAGGCTGGTATCTGTATCTTGGAGGAGTCCGGTGGCCGATGCTTCGGAGCCAAGACTACAGAGCATACCGGAGAGGTCGATGCGGAGCTTATGGGTAAGCCTCGTCCTGATATGACTCTTTTCACCACCTGTGTGAGCTGTGCTTAACTCTCATATAGCCTCCAGAAAGTACCTTATGATTCGAGGTATAAAAGAGACCGAGGCGAGTCCACCACTTCCATTGGAGCCAAGACCTGACTTTTTTCGCAGACCGAGTCGTCTCTTGACCAGCAAAAGAGGTTTATCAACGAGTTCTACGACTGCCTCGAGGACTTTGAGCCTTAACTACCTAGCCGTTGTCCCTAGCTGGTCAGGTTGATGTGATGCACGCTGAAACATGTACGGAGAGTCCATCATAAGGCAATCACGAGTCACTCCAACCCAGCAACCCGGGCTATCAGGTCCAACGTGCCCTCAGCCCATCCAAGATCATTGTGCCCACCGTGTATCCCTTCCCACCATATGACTTGGCCTTTCTCCCCTCTCTGAAAAGATCGCACTGTCCCCCATCCTTCGTACTGTCTTTCTTCGAACCCTTCGATATCGTCCCCTCCAGTGACATACGGCGCCATGAGAGACCCAAACAGTACAGATGAGTGTGTGTGAGGGATGGTGTCATCGTTGACAGCGTGGAGTAATAATACCGGTGCTGCTACGTCTTGCAGGGCAGCACGAGAGTTGAAAGGATGCTGCAGGAATGACCGGAAGTAGGCTGCAAAGATTGGTTAGCAAGAGTTTGCAGTCTACAAACCAGACCCACTCTGCAGGCGGGGTACGGAGCTCATAGGTCCCAGCAGTGGAATGAATTTGAAAAGCCTAAAACTATCATGACCATGAGCTTTGCGGTCCATGTACTTTAGTCGCGTCGCGTTCTACCTGGTGAGAAGCTCCGTGACGGATGAGAAGGGCGCAATCAAGACAAGTGCTCGGGGCGTGATACCTGATTGTTTCTGACTTAGTTTATATTCTTCTGCAGACTCACACCCACTTTCTCGAGCGAGGAGCCCACCTAGACCTGAAACGACGCCTGTGCCCAGGCTTTGGCCGACCAGTATCACTTTCTCCTTTGCGTTTTCAATCCCAGTGAAACTTGTCACATAATCGAAAGCCGCCCTTGCATCCTCAAGCACACCCTGCTCTGATGGACTGCCAGTAGAGTCACCATACCCGCGATAGTCTATGGCCAACACGTTGCAGTCGAGTGAGCTGGAAAAGGACAAATAACTACGGACGCGATGTGATGCTGCTCTGTTTCCAGCCTGTGCCGAAAGTCAGCTCTCTATATAGGGTACAGACTAGGGTAGGCATGCAGACATTGCCATGGAAGTAGATTATCGTGGGTCTGTCTCGGAAAGCTTGATGAAAGTCTGATGCAGCTAGAGCACTTTTCGGAGGGAAAGGCGTGGACGAAGCATACACTGATCTCGGCCTGATCACCAGCAGGACCTGATCAGAGTGCTTCCCAGTTTGACGTGTGTGATGAACATCCACTCACAGTAAATGCCATGCTCCGAGAGAAACTCCGTTAGTCGAATTCAGAGCAAGATTCCTTGTTTTGAAAGCTGACAGATACCCGACATCAACTCACATCTATGTGACGCAAAATCGGTATTACGTGCAAGTCCATACTGCTCGGGATGGGCAAAGTCGGCGGACAAGGGTATGGGTATATGATGCAGGAAGATTAGTCTAGACATGGCAAGCCTCAGCTCTGTGGACCATGGCGATGACAGCAGGAGCTCACTCTCGCTGTACGGTCCCGACAGTGAGAAGGACGAGGAAGAGCCCATAAACTCCAAGGAGGATGGCGGGGATCCAATGTGCCTTCTTGATGAGAGGGTGTACAGGCATGTCAAAGCCTGGGTCAAGAGTGAATCAAAATCTCGCGATTGAGAGAATAGAGGTAAGGCCAAAGTCCTCGGCGTCGGCACTCGGCACCGACTTCTCGCGGCAGCTAAAGCCACAGAGCAGTGACAGAGGGCCCAGACAGTCAAAGCCGCCGATGACTGGTACAAGCGTGCAATCGTTATATTAGAGTAGCGGTGTACAGCTCAAGCCAATGGACATCACAATGTAGACCTCAAGCTCCTCTGCTCCATGACGTGGACCGCGGAGCGATTCCGGTCACCTAGAACCTGGCACAGGTCTTCTAAACAAGTCTTTCATCTGATTATCAACAGCTTGGGATAATCGTAGCTGCACGCATTTCAATGCTTCCCATCCTCAAATTCATAGCTGCACCCATTTCAATGCTTCCCATCCTCAAAGTCCATCGCGACAACGTCGACGACGCCCCACTCTCCTAGGGCACTCTTCTACCGGACAAGCGTTAGCACCTTCGCGAGCATTTTCACAGACCCTGCTTACCTTGAACTCCTCGTGAGCGGGGTCCTTGTACAGATAGTAGTCAAGATCGTTCTTGTTCTGCGATTATGACGCCGATCAGTAGATGTCCTGGCCGTCCAGGGAGTATATCCTACCTCGAATTCCATAATGAAAACGACTTCCATGCCCTTGTTTCGACCCTCCGTTTCCAAGACATTCCCACCTTTCAAGTCAAGGATGAAGGGCTTTTTGGTATCCGGGTTGACGCAAGATCCTTGCAGCAACCGCAATTTCTCGGTGAGAAGCCCGAGAGAGGCTTCCGGGTTGGAGGTCTTGAAGGATACTACATACGTAAAGTATCATCGACATGTTAGATTCGAGGCGGTATCACGAGGTAGTGATCCTACGCACCGATGTGGAAGATAGCCATTGTGTCCTGGTAATATCTTGCGATCCAAGAAGATTGCAATAAGAAGTAACCAGAGTAATACACACTCCGCCCGGTGGAGGTGACTGAACCCGATGGTGAGTCTGAGGCCATATTCTCTCCTGCCAGGATTCTCCCCCTAGCGAATGTCCCGTAATCGAATTCATGCTGCACAAATCATCACAGTCTGCTTTTACTGACTGACAAGGATTCCGTGTATATGTAGTCAACAGATGCCATGTCAGAACCCCGAAACCCAAGTCACGATCACTTCGCGGCCGCCTTCTTGTTCTTCTTGCCAAAGAATCCTCTGCTGCCTGTACCCTCCTCAACATCGCGCTGCTCCATACCTGACCCCGGCGCAAACAATTCTCTCAGATCCTCCGGGGGTACACCATGAGCAACAGCTTCTGATGCGCTGATTGTACTGGTGCCTTGCTGAAGAGATGCCAGGTATTCTTGTCCTCTGATCGTAAGATACTCTTCGAGCCTTGAGAGAAAGCGTTAGCAGGACCTCAACTGAATTCGGACGATACGCACAAGAGAGCATTTCTAGAGTTTGCCTTCCACGCCGCCAAAAAGATGTCTCCTGCTACTGGTACCAGCCTGAAAGGTGCGCGCACATCAGTCTCGGTCCAGTCATACTGTATGAAAAGTATAGTCCTCACCCTAATCCTGCTGATATAGCATTGTTGAAGAGCATCTTGTGAACCAAACTGTCGGGGATATCCAGCTTCTTTGCGGGCTTGACGATGAGGAAATAGTTCAGGCTTGCATCCACAGCATCACCAAGACCGGGAATGATACCTAAAGGCTACATCAGCTTTACATCCCGAAGTCAAGAAAAGGCTAGTCCTACCAATGAAGAAGGTGTAGCCAACCCGGAAACCGCACAGATTCATACCCTTGTCGACTAATCGTAACGGTCAGAACGCTGATCATGGTCACGCATGAGTACCTACGATTATGTGCTCGTTTCCTAATCTTGCGGAGGGCCCGCTGATCACGCTTGGAAAGCCCTTTAGGGAGGTCTCTCTAAGTATCGTGAGCTTAGACCCATAACAGACTGCTAGGAGATACGCACAACTACACGCTTTTGCTTTCCCTTTGCATCCACACTGAAAACGTAGAGAGGGTCGTCTGGCCCCTTTTTCGACAAGTTTGTCTTGAGCATTTTGGTGAGCACCTTGCCAGCGATCGACGACATGTTGGAGGTATGAGGGTGGGCAGTTGCGGGCGGTTGAGCAGGGGCGATGTACTATGGCTGGGAGTCTTGTTGTGGGAAGTGGGAGGGGGGGTGGGGTGGGAAGGGTTGTGAAGATGCAGAAGAGAAAAGATGATGTGATATTCTCCTTCTCTGATGAAACACAACAACGGAAATTCCCATTGTGCTGCTGGGTGGCAAAGCCACCGTCGTGACGCGTAACTGACGTTGGTGGTGTGGAGCCCCACATAGCCACGTTCAATGTTGTTCTTGCAACAGGTATATAAGCTATACACAGATGCATGGGGCATGAGGCATGGGCACGCATTGCTCTGATGGCAGATAAACTTCTATAATATGCAGAAAGATCCGTGTTCACCCTTTTCGATACAGTACGTTCAAGCAAACCTATGCAATGCAAACTATCCCAAATCAACCAAATCTATTATTTTCACGAAGTACCTCTCTACTCCGGTATACCTAGCGCTCGATTGCGGGCTCCACAAAAGAAACACTCGGCCCATCCCCTGTACTCTGCACGCTCGCAGTCCTGGATATGGCCAACGCGGGGTTCCGCCTGAACCCAGGGTTATTGTTCCCATAGTTGGCCTGTCCCGGAGCAGTCTCAGACGACAGACTAGTATCCTCGGCAAACCTGACAGCTGGTCTGCTGGAAGACATTGTCCTGGTGAGTGGGATACCCAGGGACTGGCTCTGAGTGCGAGAGTCGTCGGGAACGGATTGAGGGCGATTGAGTGCGGATGACGGCGCCAGCAGGGAAGGGTCGGGAGTGGCAGTACCTTCTTCAAGCCGCGAGGGAGAACTTGATGAGTGCTGTCGTCTCCCGAAAAGGCGAGAACGGATGGATCGCCGAGGTGGGCCTGCGCTATTTTGTCGAGAGACATGGATAGCAGGTGGCCGTTGATACCTTCTCGCCTGGCGAGTAGGCTCCTCGTCTTCAACATCCTCATAATCTTCCTCATTTTCTGCTCCCTCCGAGCCCTGGGAGAGTCTGTGGTTGTGGTGGCCTATTCTACCCTCTTCCGCCAGAGACTCTGGGCTGTCAGTCCTCCCTAAACCAAAGGGACTTTCTGACGTTTCGGAAGGAGTGCCGACAGGCGTGCCTGCAGGTCGCATGAGACCCAGACCCAATCTATCAACGGCGTTCTTGCCACCATCCTGAACACGCGAGGTGGCGTGTTCGAGGCTCTTGGGCAGATGTTGAAGCAACTCGTCGAGCTCCCTTGATTTGAGTCGATGGGGGTGGGTAAAGCTTTCACGCTGAGGCTTCTTGTCATCCGAGTAATGGTTTCTGATGACCTCAACCTCTACCTATTACTTTTGTCAGCGAAATTATATAACATTGTCGACGGTGGGAATACCTCATCGCTGTCCTTGGCTCTACGCTCAATCACCAGATGATGACCTTCCCTATACTCTGCCAGTGGCGGTGTGCTCCTGCCTCCACTATGGATGATCTCGTCTCCCTCCTCCTCCTCCGCCTGCTCCACAGGTGACTCGGGACTTTCGTCCCGTGATGTTCTCGACCTTCGCGGCTCGAGCTCGGCTGTTTCTGCTTGTTCGCTTCCCCGGCTTGATCTCCGCCTCTTTTCCACCATCTCGATATCCTCGGCTTGCCTGCCTCCAGATGAACTGCTACCGCCACTGTCTTCTTCGACAATCTTTTCTCCCAGGTGGCCATTCCCCTCGCTGTGCAAGGTATCCCTCCGCACGATACCCAGATCGCCCTCCTCATCGTCATCATCTCGGTTGATGACAATGTCTTGACCAGGAACGACGCGTCGCGCATGGGTGGTCCACGCCGGCTCGTCGCCCCGAGTATCCATAGAGAGATTTCGGGATCGGGTGTAGGTGATGGAGTGGACTCGTCGACCGAGGGAGAAAAAGGGGATTGACATGCCGTCTACGCTTGTCAGATGACTCTTTCACTATAAGAGTACTCACGGGTAACGACCGAAGACAGGACCAAGAATGCAGTGATAGGGCCAATGACTTCTCTCAAACGATCAACGACTTCGGTATTCTTGTCGGCATCTCCTTCAGGCAGAGACGTTCGAGCGAGTGTGGAGATAAAGATGGCACCGACGCCCATGGGACCAAACCACCCTGTAAACATGGCTTCTCGGAAAGTCTTGATGTCGGGGATGAATTTATAGCAGGCAATCATGGCGGGAAGACGTCGGACGAGGAGGACGAGGAGGGCCAGCACCACCAGACGCCATACTCGAAGCTACGTTCTGGTCAGCGGAACTCTTCCATCAACGGGCACAGTACTGACGTCAGGGTTGTTGAAGTCTGAGAAGGGTATGATGGCGCCAATGTAGATGAAGGCGGCACAGTTGAAGAGCAAATCAATGACGTTGGAGAACACTGCATCTTCAGTGGCCTTGTTGAAGAAACCACTACACACAATGTCAGCGTGTCAACCATGAAGGGCTCATCTGGACTCACTCCCAAGCAAAAGCACAACCACAAGCAAAAGTGGAAAGTAAATCATCACTTCCAAGCAGTGAAGTAACACCTACGGCCTGATAAGCGACGATTCTCGATATTGCGGAAAGGACTCACCAATGGTCATGACAGCCAAACTGACATACTGGGCAACATAAGACTGCCTATCCACCAAGCGCTTCCTCTCTGCGAACTTCATGAATTTTCGTGCACTGAATCCAAGCACGGCACCAATCAGAATGCCAAGAACGATTTCATAAGCCCTGCCATATCCGTCAGCCAGTCCGAGAATATTTTCCAAGCAGCCTTACCATGTCATGTAGAACCATTCTCCAACTGCGTGGCCAGGGCTCTTGTCCAGAAGGAGGTAGAGGGCGATGTAGAGGAAAGGAAAGGCGGCGCCATCATTACTCCCACTTTCGGCGGATAAAAGATGGCGGATATGGGCAGGCACATGTTGGTCGGCAAACTTGCCACCAACAACGGCTTGGGCCAGAATGGGATCGGTAGGGGTGACACCGGCTGCGACGACCAGCGAGGCGAGGAAATTGAGCCCTGGAATCAGTCCCCAGATCAAAAGGGCTGAAATCATCCATCCCCAGACCATACATGGGCCAAGAAGGAAGAATAGTGATCGCCAATGCCTCTTCATGTATGCCTTTGGTCCACACATCAGCATGCTTTGCCTCCCCCACCTTGTTAAATCAGTGGGGCACTCACCTTTGGCAGTTCAACACCAACTGCAAAAACGGAAATAGCAATGACCACCCGGGTGACCTCAAGCGTGATCTCGTCCACGGTATCGTCATTCCCGTTTGCCCAGCCTGTGGGATTGAAAAGCTTCAAACAATGAGGACCGATGATGATTCCGATGACTGTTGCGAGCGGGGCTTCACCGATGTACAGCTTTTCCTTGAGGAACAAACTGAGCATGCCAAAGAGGACGACAAAGCCACCGAGGAACGCATAGGCCAGATGGGCGGCATTGACTTCGAACGGGCTGAAGGCCGTCATGGTTGCTGATGGGGGAGGTGGATGGGGGGATGAGGGGAGCTTAGGTCATTCCTGCCAGGGGCGGAGGAGGATAGGCGGAGGGATGTGGTCAGCAAACGGTAGTAGAAAGAGACACAAATTGAAATTCGCGCAGATCGTCAACACTCGGATGCCTCGGCTTCTGCTGCGTCCGTCGACTTCAGGGCCGCGTCGTGCTTGGCATCCCTGTTTACGTACACACCTGCCACACCGGCAAACGCCGCAACCCCGTCACTGCTATAAGGAAATTGTCGACGTCTTACTGTTGTATGCATGCACCTCCCACCATGTCCCGCCCCCTCCAAGCCGCCCTCAGAGCCCACCTCGCCCCCGTCGCAGGCCCCTCCACCCCCCGCCACTTCGCCACCTCCCAGCCCGCCGCCGTCTCTCAGCGCAAGCTTGTCGCAAAGCGCAGAAAGGCAGCCAACATTGCCCTCCAGGCATCAAAGGTCCGCAAGCCAGAGAACATCGACCCCGTCTTGGGCAAGGTTTACTACAAGAACACGCCCGTCACAAACCCGTGGGAAGGATGCCGGTTACAACGGATCCTTTTGGACTACAACTCGATTGCCTACTCTATGCCCCCCGACTATGCCAGCGGTGAACGGCCAGATCTGTTGCTGCCGGGCGTGAGCAAGGAGGATGCCGACCTGCTGTTCAGCGCTGTCCCCCATGCGAGCTCGGAGCTGCGGTTTGCGGCCGGTAGTGGCAGCCCGGCGACCGAGCGGGAGCAGACGCAGCAGAGCGAGACTTTGATGCGTATACTCGACCTGAGGAATGCTGCCAGGGAGGACGTCAATGCGTGGAACAAGAGGCGGATCGTGGACGAGTTTGGCGCTGGTACCGACACTGGCAGCAGCTCGGTACAGGGTGAGTCGATCCAACTGCGCTGCTGCATTGGCTGACAGCATCATCAGCTGCTCTCCTGACCGCCAAAATTCACAATCTTCTCGCGCATATCGAAAACAACAGCAGAGATACCTCCAACAAGCGCTCCCTTCGATTGCTGGTGCAAGAGCGTGCGCGACACCTCAAGTATCTGAAACGGAAGCAGGGTCAAGAGGTATATGAAAAGCTGTTGGAAGATCTGGGGCTCGACAAGGAGGCCGTCGAGGGAGAACTGTTTATCGGGTTTTAAGTGAGTGCAGTTCCATCGCATGTTTCCTGTATACCACCTTTCTTGCGATTTCGCGTGATGCTTAACAAACCTGATTTAATGAGCCTGAGCCTTTTGGTCTGGACGACAACCTTACTTGTTCCTGATACTCTTCCATTCTCTTTACATTTGTACGACATGTTTAGGGATCATGGCTGACCGTGCTATTCTACAGGCGCTGGCTCGAGGATAATCAAAACCTCTCCTTCCTCCACCCCTTTACCCTTCACGACACGGACCTCGCCCACCACGCCGTCCCTGCCCGCCCTCACATTGATCTCCATCTTCATACTCTCTAGCACGCAGAGAACCTGATTCTCCTTTACCATATTGCCCTTTTCCACTTTGACTTCGATCACTGTGGCGGGCATGGGTGACACAAGATTGTCTATGGCACTGGATGAAGAGGTGTCTGTACCAGTAGGGTTGTCGAGGGCAGAAGGGTGGTGCGTTATAGTATAATGAGATGATGACGAAAAGACATGCAGTTTCTCTGAACGATTCACGGCGGGTACAGGGATAATGGTGCTGGAAAAGCGTGTAGTTCCTAGCTGAGCCTGCAGGTCGGTCGCAGTGTTCAATGATCCAGTCACTGTCTGCTGGTACACCTGTCCCTGCTCGTCTCGGATGACGACCTCGTAGCCCTCGTCGGAAGCTACCAAGTCTACGTAGACGTCGTCGAGGCTGTAAGAGCTGGTACTGACGTCGCCGAACCGTCTGTGAGCAAGAGTGGCCCAAGGTCCAGCTGCGTCTTGAGCAGCCTTGTCTCGAAGGACGAGGTACAAAGCTACCTGGGCCAACACCTCGTGAGGGACGACTCGGGGCGGGAATAGCTCATCATGGTGGCTCTGGCTACTGTCAGTCCGTATCGCTGTTATCTAGATATACTCACGGGTACAAAGCTGGTCTCGACGGGTCCGCTCGCAAACTCTTCATGACCAGCAACCGAACTGAGGAAATCAATGTTGGTTGACGGCCCGACAATTTGGTATTCTTTCAAGGCTGATCGCAGCAGGGCAAGGGCTTCTGGTCTGTCTTTGCCATGGACAATGAGCTTGGCAATCTGCTCCACTTCAGCCAACGCCATACTTTATGCGCCAAGGCTTACCATAGGATCATAGTGCGAGCTGATATCGTCGCCCTCTGTAAAGCCCGTCTCCAACCTATGGGGAGTATTGATAGGTGCTCGAGCGTGCAAGAGCCGTCCAGCATCGGGCAAAAAATTGCTACAGGATGGTGAACCGAGTCCCAAGTAGTCGAGCCCTTACCTTTCCGGTCGCTCGGCGTATATACGCGCTTCGAATGCGTGCCCAAGGCAGGGGATCTGGGCTTGCGTGAGAGGAAGTGGATTGCCTGCAGCGACCTGATGCTTGTCAACGACAATCCCTAGTGATGTATCCACACTCACAGAAAGCTGCCATTCTATCAAATTCTGTCCAGTGATCATTTCTGTGACCGGGTGTCTAGAAATCGTCAGCGGGATCCCATACCGACGCATTATACTTACTCGACTTGCAGACGAGTATTCCTATAGTCGAGTCAGCTCGATCCCAGACGACTTGTACTCACATTTCCATGAAAAAGTATTCTCCCGTCTCGGCGTCCATGATGAACTCAACAGTGCCGGCACCCACGCTGCCAGATGTCAGTCTGAAGTACGAACAGCAATGCTCAGCGCTCACTAGTTGATTGCCTTCGCAGCTGCCACGGCCTTTTCTGCAAAGTCTCGCCCCAGCTCGGCAGATAAACCGGGGGCAGGCGCCTCTTCGATAATCTCTACGAGACCATCAGCATGCTTTGTGAAATGGCTGTTACCCACTTTGATGCCTCCTTTGCACCGAACAATCCCTCTCTCGCAGCGCCACACATTCGCCAAATTGGTCGCCAAACACCTGCACTTCCACATGCCTTGGTCTCTCCAACCATCTCTCCAACAAAACCTCGTCATTTCCGAAACTCTTCTTGGCTTCTCGCTGTGCGGACAAGAGCTCGTCTTGGAACGAGTCGGGGTCACGGACGACGCGCATACCTTTGCCGCCGCCACCGTGAGTGGGTTTGATGAGGAGAGGGTAGCCTGTTTGTTGAGCGCCTGCAAGGAGGGCGTCAAGAGACTGGTCGGAACCGTGATAGCCTCTATGATGAGTGTGTAAGTCACGGTCTGTTACTCTATTGTATGCTTACGGCACACATGGGACTCCTGCAGCTGAGCATCTTGTCAACGGCGTACAGTGTAGTGCAAGTCAAACTTGCCGATCATGATATCTTTGCTTTCCTTCTTACTGCCCATGCTCTTGATAGCCTCAACAGGAGGTCCAATGAACACCAGCCCAGCTTCTCTCACTTGCTCGGCAAAGATGGGCGATTCCGAAAGAAAGCCATAGCCTGGGTGAATGGCCTGTTCATGTGTCAGTCCTTACTGAAGTGTCAAGAAAGCGCAAATATACTTGAGCACCCGTAAGCCGGGCAACCTCGAGTATCTTGTCCATCCTCAGCTGCAATCTGTTGTTAGCGCTGCTCACATGGTGGGCATACCAGACTTGCGTAGCTTTCAGAGCTCGCCGCAGGACCTATACAGTATGCTTCGTCCGCCTGGGCAGGGTCAGCCTTGGCTCTTGAAGCGTACCGCCGGGTGCTCACCATCTTGACGTGAATACAATCCTTGTCGGCCTCGCTGTACACCGCCACAGTGGCCACTCCAAGGCGTCGGGCTGTACGGATGATGGCACATGCAATCTCGCCCCTGTTCATCATCAGTTGCTGCCTCACCGAGAGCAAAACGCACCTGTTGGCGATGAGGATCTTCTTGAAAGGTTGCTTGGCAGACGAGACTGGGATTTCGCTTCTCAGGCCATTGCCTCCAATGACGATCGTAGGCTGTGCGACTGCTGTGGAGTAGTACTGGGGACATAGGGGTGCCGATCGAATCTTGGTGGTGGTGTACCCTCCGAGAGAAGCAAGCGACACACCAGATCTCTGAAGACGACGTGATGCGGGCAGGATACCGCGGGCGATAGAGTTTGTGAGCGCTCCCATGCTGCAGTAACAGTGTTGTATAGAGTGCAAAGAGACAATGCATCCCTGTTCGAGTGCCGCACCTCATCAGAAAGCAGTCAAGTGAGCTATCCACCCCGCGGTCACGATTAGGTCACGAGCCCGGGTATGTTCCGAGCCGGAACCAAACAAACCCGCGCGCGTCGACGAGACATGTCTTCTTGCTGATTGCCTGGCGATAGAGTATTCAGAAGCACATTGCGACCACTGGGGCCAAAGTTTTCATATCATATAGTCAACAAGTATAAATCGAATAAATTGGAAAAGGACGCCAGGGCCTTGATCCCTGCTCCCACTACCGTCCAGCGATAGCTCCATAAATGCCTATAAACAGGTGAAAGATGAGGAATATAAATCATGACAAGCTGGATAGACGTGTATCATCAACAGATTATACTATACGGGTTGCGACTAAGCACGCTTGGCTTGCAGGTATGCGGCTTGACGGTGGAGGTGTCGTTTGGGGATACCGGCAGAGCGCTTGGCGACGGTGTTTCGCTTCCTGTTCTTCTTGCAGGTCTTGCCAGAGGTACCTGCAGTACTGTCAGCGACGGCCGTTGGGAGAGACTAAGGACTTACTGGTAGCCGCTTGTGCACCCAGAGATGTCGAAACAGCGCCGAGGGACACTCCCACCGAGGCTCCGACAGAGATAACTCCGGAAGACTGGGTGGAGGTGGGAGAAGCGCTGGCGGTGGACGCTTGGGAAGACACGGCTGACGAAGAATTGACCGAAGAAGACGAATCGGAAGAGTCCGAGCCAGAGCTGGAACCGGAAGAAGCAGAAGCACCGTTCACAACACCAGTGCTATATGGTTATCAGCATCAGCCACCATTGTCAGCATTGGCTTACGTGTAGCCACCAGAGTGAACGCCAATGCCAGGGAACTGCCAGAGAGTCAAATCACCATCCCAGATGCTGTGCTGCTCCTCCCAGTCGGAACTGCCAAAGCAGGCTGGAAACTTGCAAGTAAGAGAGGGCAGATTAGAGCCTGAAGACGAGAGCTTGATCTCCATGGCGATGGGGTAGTGCTGGGGTTTGTACTCTTCGTGAAGAGCGATGAGCTCATGCCTCAGGATGTAGGCGCCTGTGCTCACGTCAGGCCATGCAGCCTCAAGTCTCGGTACTCACCAGAGGGAAGATCAGTGGGCAAGTTGAACGACCACTGGAGACCGTTGGCACCCAAGACATCGGTAGGCCACTGCTGGGTGTCGGCATCGTAGTTGTGTTGGGCGATGGAGAACCAGTCAAGGGTAGTAGCGTCGACCTTGGAGCAGTTGTCGTTGGGGCATTTGGCCATCATCTCACCGATCGGCTGCACGTTGATCAGTGTTGGTCCGACGGTGTACCTGAGAGCGACATACGCCCGGATGGCCGGTAGTAGGCCATTGGTCCCATTGAACGACAACCTCGTCGCCGGCGTTGGCATTGATTGTTCCAACGGGAGACATGTCGTCGAATCGCGTGCAAACATCATACCCACCAGTGGCGATGTTGTTTGAGGTGATCTCGGCCCAGCCGAGGTCGAGCGCTTCAGTCTTTCTCTAAGACAGGGTGAGAATGGCTACATGAACATTGGGAAGTGCCTCACGGTATATTTCGTCTCAGGGATCTGGCCGTATACGGGGTCTGAGTGTGCCAGTCAGTCTTCACCCCCTTTCAATGGAAGGGCGCACCTTGCTCGCGGTACTCGGCGGTGTAGTAGTCGTCGAGTGTCCAGGCGGGGTATTGCTGGCCGCCGACGGAGACCCAGGAGACCTGGCCGTGGGCTGCGACGAGGGGTGCGGCAGCGAGGAGGGCGAGTGCGAGAGGTGAGAGCATTGCGGGGGAACGAGGCGGGGTGAAGGGTGAGGGCGTGATAGTCGTTCGAAGGGGCGTGGGGTGCCAGGAGGGCGTGGTGCTCTGTCAAAGAGTGCGTCTGTCAAAGGCGGAGGGATGAGGGGGGGATGGGAATTGGATGAATGGCCCGCCTTATGTACTCGCGGCCATCACGAGAAAGCGCACGGGCCGTGTTTGAGCATGTTCTTGGCACCAGAACCTTTTGTTCGACGCGTCGCGCTCTCTCACAACATCACCTCCTCGTGTCGCACATCCTACCACGGGGGTTTGCATACCCCTACCATCCTGCGGCAATGCATCAGTCGCACAGAGGTCTCGTCAGCACCAGGCACAAAGTGGTAAACGGTACAAGGAACTCCCTTCATGACCACGATCAAGATAGAGATTTCGTGCATTGGCAACTTAGGGCAGGAAGGTCGTATTATCACTGGCTGCCAGTCTACCGACGAGAAAAGAAAACCACAAGACGAGGCGAATGGATAGTGCGGCTAGATGATAGTAGGAGGAGGAAGAGTGGGTCGAGTGTGGCGACGCGCTTGTTGGTGAGGGCGAGCATCTTGTCGCTGGGCTCGCCGTCCTTGTTATCTCCTTTACGGAAGAGAAGCCCGGCAGTGCACTGCGCATCGCCAGAGCAATGGGGATACCGAGGCCGGTGTTTGAGGGGTGGCTCGGGTTGAAGGTGGGGCTGGTGTGGTTCCCGACGCTCATCGAAGGCGGGCAAGGCAAGCCTCTGAACAGTCCCTTCATACGACTACATTACCGTAGACTTGGGCATGGAGCGGGTAGTCTTCAGCGCCTGATAATGGCGGCCGTGAGTCTTGAACAGGCCAAGGTTCTGGGGAGCGACGGCAGAATGTCAGACTACGTCGTGGCAGTCTTGGGGTGAATCTCAACTAGCGATCTCCGACGTGCGGAAGAGGTTGTTTCCAGAGTCATAGCGCCTCATGAGCCTGGGAGGGGTTTTGGAGAGGCCGTGGTACTAGAAATCAATCTCGAATAGGGTCATCGCACCGGGGACAGGCGAGCTGCTATCGTCACTGGGGATGGAGAGTTGGGTGGTGTAGGCAAGTAAGGAATCTGGGGGGGCGGACTGGCGTCTCCAAGTCGATCTGGCAGCAATCGACGTCTGAGATGGAGCATGGTGAGCACGCGGGGACTTAGGAGTAAAGGAAAGAGCAGGTAGTTCAAAGGGGAGTGGTGAGCAAGGGAGACTTACTGCCAAGACGCCCGGGGTCCCCCCTCACGTTTTGAACTATATCCTTGACTCTTTGAAGGGCATCTACGAGAGAGTGAGTGAGCGAGTGAACTACAAGGGCAGCTTACCTACCCATAAATTCCCGCGTGGTGCTCTTCCTCATTGAGAGTGTTGAGCATATTCTTCTGAATGCAAGAACTGTAGAGTTCGCTCCAAGCTCACCAGCCGCAATTCATTCGCAACAGAATATGTGTGTTTCGAACTTCTGGAGGGGTTTTGATCAGACAACAGACACCAGACACCAGCAGATGCATCTGGGAGATATTTCCCGACTGTGCGTTCTTCCTCTTCGTACTCTTGCGTGCGAAAAGCTGGGGGGGTGCAGCTCAAAGAGCGCGAGTTTTTACAGTGAAGGGGGCCTTGGAGGCGGTCGACCCTGGTAAAAACTACGGTTATGGGTGTCCTGAGCGCTGTGCGTTCTCAACCGTGGTGGTGGCTGCTCTGCGCCGTAGTCTCGAAGATAACCACCGTACAGCAGCCGCTTGCTCTCGTCACGAGTGCCGTGATCAATTCTGGTAGAAGACAGAGATGTTGACAGTTCTCATTGTCTCGACAGAAGAAATAGAGGAAGAAGTAGAAGCAGAGTTACTTGACCCTGGCGCAGGCATGTCCGCGAGCTGTGTGCACGTCAAACGTTGAAGGCAATCGAAACCAGGCCCTCGCTGCATCTCATTTTTGGCACGACCCTCGATAGGCATAACAGTTACCATCCTACATAGCACGACTTGATCATTTCAAAGCCCCACGCCCATCGATCACACTACACGTCGTCCGAAAGAGCGATTGCGACAAGCCGACGGGCATGTTGTCGGCCGAGAGCCAATGGTGTCATCTCTTTGCCCAGAGGCAACATCAAGGGCAATTACTTGCCACCGACCTCAGGTATCAATAGAATACAATGTGCATACCAGAATGGATCTAGTTTAATGTGATGAAGATGATGATGGGGACATGTCGTATGTAGCGAGACATGAACTTATGAAACGTGATATATGCCCAGGAAGAGAATCAAATGTCGTCGCCGATGGAGAGCGAGACCTTTTCTCCTGGCTTGAATGGCGGAAGGCCTGAGGAGATGTCAGCAAGGTCAAGATCAATGGTAGCATTGACGTACCAAGGTAGGGACAGCTCCCGCACCTGAAGGCGTCACCGAGATAGCAACTGCCACAGCTGCTAGTCTTCTTGGCCTCTGCCCGCTTCGCCACAGGCCATACCCCCTCCACACCGACGGTCGCTGTCTTGAGCGCCTCTGGGATATCATCGTCGCCCTCCAAGAAGAAGGCCTTTTGAGCCTCCTTGACGGCCGCTGCACTCTGCTCTGCTTCCTGATCCTCGAGCTCCTTCAGTCCACAGGTACAGTCCTTGCACGCCCTGCGCCGCTTGACAGGCTTGCCCGTCTCGTTGGGAAACACACAGTCTGGGCGAGCACGGTCGGCAGGGGTGAGGAGCGACTTGCCGCCATCAGCAAGGATGGGAGAGTCTACAGCCCACAGGGCGGCCTTCCGAGCCTTGTCACCATTCCGGCGCAGCTGCAGAGGCCTCGCGCCCCCGTTGAGAGGGATGGCAGATGTTGTAGGAGCGGGAGAAGGGACAGAGGGGACGGTGGGAAGTGATGGGGCCGATGGAGCAGTGTAGGCGAGAATGGAGGCGGAAGGCGTCGGCAGAACGGGAGTGAACTGGTGGGCGGCGAGGGTAGAGTGGAGCGAGGGGAGCTGCGGCTCGCTATTTGATGGAAGATGGATAAAGAGTTGTGTAGAAGGTGGAATGGACGGCAGAAGATTGGACGGAAGGGGGAGGGGAATGACCAGGTGGATTGTGAGGGGAGCGGCGGGCAGGGAGGTGGCTGGAGACGGGCGGCGAATCAGCTTGCGCTCATAGGGGCGTCAGCAGGGGCAACGCACCATTATCCAGAATACGGTCAATCATCTCGCCCTGGACCTTGCCCATGGGCCCGGCGGCAGACTTGAGCTCTGTGAGGATGTGCTGGTAGTCGTCCGACCTCTGCATAGAGCCGAGGACGATCTGGGTGGAGGGCCCTGAGGCGGCGTTGGCGTGGACGGCGGTCATGGGGGAGCGTGGTCGAGGGGAGCAGGGGGATAGGTGCAGGCGGGAGATGGAGAAAGATGATTAAAACAACAAGGGACGGCTGCTGACTCAGTCAATCAGCACCCTCTCGAATTGGGTGGTGCTCGCCATGCATTTTTCCCCTTACATAAGCACCTTTTGCTTCCGCGAACACCCGCCCGGCCATCTCCGCCTTGCGTCATCTCTCACCCAGAGTCAACCTCCGGCGTCGTTTGCTTCCATGCATGCTCGATCCAGCACAGAGTATATGTACTCGAATGACCAGGCCATCATGTTGGGCTATCTCCGGCCATTTTCCTGCCTCCAAGGAATCGGACGAATCCCGTTTCCGGGGTAGACACCGTGCCCCAGATTAGATCCCGGTGCGCCATTGGTCAGTGGACCTCTATAGGCGTTGGCCGATATCGGAATGTTGGTATGGAGCGAGTGATTGTGCAAAGTAGAGTCCGGGAGTCTGATGATCAGCGTTCAGGCATAGCGTCAGCCACGGCGCATAGCGGCAGCACCGTTCATGGCACTTGGCCGGACGACGGCCCAAAACGCATCCATCATGCCTTGCACCCCCACCGTGGATCCACGCCCCGCGGCCAAGCAATGTAAAACATCGTGCCATCGCTCACTAAACTAGGCGAAGCGAAGTCGCCCGATTCCGATGTGCGCAGAAAGACGCGACGCGTTGATGGGAATTATAATTCTCGTGTTTAAGTCTGATAAATGGTCGAAAATCACGCGTACGTCACGTGATGTATGTGTGGAGCTGCCCAAAGGGGAAATTCGGGTGGGATCTCGGAAGGACGAGGAAACGAAAGAGGCACGATGGGCTCCAGTCGGGATCCAGTTTGTCACGCAATCGCACCAGTATATATAGCGTGCCCATCGCCTGTTTTTTTCCATCCCCCCCCCACTCCATCTATCTCGTTATCAGATAAAGCTCCACAACCCACAACACAACACCTATATCCACACCATGAGCTCTATCACCCAGCCCATCAACTTTCCCGCCCGCCCCTCCTTCTCTTCCTTTTCCTCTCCCTCTTCTCCCAGCTCTTCCCCATCCCGCTCCAACTCGTACGACCTCTCCACCAGCCCGCGAGCCAGCACCTCTCCTGCGTCCCACCCCTGCCCCCACATGAGCCAGCTCGTCCAAAGCCTGAAACAGGCCTGGGGCACAAAACAGGACAGCAGGCAGGAGAAGAGGTGGTAGAGCGTGATGCTGTAGACAGGATCGAGAGACGTTTCATGTACATATAGGGGGATTTAGAAAGTGAGTATTCCGATGTGGTTTCACGTTCAAACGCTGATTTTTGTAGCTGAAAAGAAGCCCAAACAAGAAAACACCACGTTGTACCACCACCCCATCCAGCCAAGCGCATACCTATAATGCCATGTTTATACCATATCGCATTCCTCTCTTTCTCTCTCTCTTGTTCGATTTAGATGTTACATACAAAACGATGCAGTTGTTGTCGAGATGCCTCTCAAGCCCATGTCCGATGTCGGAGTGTCTTCTGCGGTCCGGTGAACGCGTGTCAATTACACCAGTCAGTTTGTGCGGTCAAGCATGAGTCGGGAGAGATGCCGTAGCCGGTCTGCATAGAAGGGAGTGTGGTATGTATGATCAGATCGGTATGACTCGGATAGAGACGCTGGCAGGTGGCAAGACGTCACGAAGAGTGAAAGTCACTGGAAGACCGTCCGGAGACCAGAACCGCGGTCCACCGGGCTGGGCACCCGTTGCTTTTGGTTCATGATCACTCCACAACCCAAGCTGTGCAGTATCACCTGCTGGTATGAATGATTGGACACTCTATTGCTTGCAGTCAAATTTGAAGCATGCAGCGGACGTTCGGAGTACAGAGTGACCCCGCTCGTGCTGGAGTTGTACGCGTCACAGTTTGATTCCTGCTGATCTCATTCATCATACTATTATCACCTTGCTGAGTACAGTCCATCTTGATCCCGGACATACGCCACAGCCCTTGGCTCCGCCACAGCCCATGGATCCGCCACGAGCACTCGACATACCAAGTCAACTTTGACCAACTCTCGCATCGAAATGAGGAGCTCCTCCCTGACGCCAATACCATGGTGGCATCTACTCGATCACAACTTCACTGACATATACTCTATCCAACATTTCCTTGTCTGGCCGCCTCTGCCCCAGTCAAGAGACGCCTGTATGCTTCGCGCTAAAGAAGGCTACAAGTAACGCTACGATGTAGGCGATGACACCAATACCATTGTCCCCCGCCTCGTGTCGTCCCGTTGAAGTCGAATGTCATCCACAACCCTCAACATCAGTTCGCTATCACAACGACCCTTTGTTTCTTTTCCGCTATCGCCTCCGACACACTAAGAGTCAAGACCACCCACTGAACGGGTTGCCGTATCCTGTCCTTCTAGACCCCTGCTTCTATCCCGGGCTATCCCGGGCACCTGCTGTATCTCCACCGCTTCCCACATCGACAACGGGGAACCCCACTGACTGCGCTTTACATCTATCGACTGGCTCTTGAGTGTATGAATCTCGCCCTGGCCCAGCCATCGCCAGTGGTGTGGTTGACAAGGTCGTATGCATTGTATGCACCTTCGTGCACAAGTAATGGCAATAATGCGACCTGCTCTGCAGTGAGATCTTGCTCTGAAAAGTGATGACGCGACTCTACTGATTGGAAACCCTAGATATGGTGTGTGTGTCTGATGGACTTGTGACCCCAAACGTGCGCAATCCCACTGGTACCGGATATGCTGCATGGTGTGGCGGGTGCCGCTGAGAGACCTCGCTGCATGTACGCGGTGTCGATCGCACACACAGAGAACGAGGGTCCTGCACTAGCCGCAAACGTTTCATCCCCCTTGTTGTGTGGCCCCTCCCCGCGCCCTCTGGGTGCGACACCCCTCAGGGCCTGGACCGGGTAGTGCACTGTTGTTTGCCCGGTCTTGGTGGGCGACGAGGCAGAAGGGCACAGGCAGATCGGGCCACCACTGGCAGCGAGACCACATTTTCATGAAGACATGGTCGCCATCCCAAACTCACCACGCCCAATTCCTGCTTTGTATCTCCATCTCCTCGCTCTCCCATAAAGAAAACAGCACCCAAAGCCCCCCTTACCGGATCAGACCAAAGGCTCGCTACAATCCTCATCAGACCTTTGAATCAGCCCTTTGAAGGACCTCCAGCGAGAAGCCTCGAGGGATCTTCCCCACAGCGTGAGTCGTCATGTCGCACAAAGCAGCCCCATAGGCCCCATAGACCTCCATCTCCTCGTTCTTTCGCGCCACGTCTCTTGCCCGTATGCCATGAATACCGAGGCTGACCTTCGCACCCTGACACCGCTTCCCCCCGCGACACACAGGTCCACACGTCTGCTTCACTCGACGCGTATCTGCCATAAACACCATCCCTCGTCTTCCAGCCAGCCCGGCACTCACCAAAAGGGGCATATACACGTATCAGACTCACTGCTGTGCCAGCCAGCGTCTTCATCGTTGACCGACAGGCCCTGTAGCCCATCCAGAGCGTTGGACGATAGCGTCTATCCAGGGTGAGTCCCAGCCTTTATAATCAGGATAGCACTCACTTTCGTTAATCTCCATCATCCTTCAAAGTCATCTTTGCTTTTCACGAAACAAGCGATACCGCCCCAAAGCTTCAGACCCAGCCTCACACGAGCTTTTACACATCCGGCTAGACTTCATCCTTTTACTCTCTGTGAGTCCTCTCTCTTGCCCCCTCTGCCCCCTGCCCTCTTGCGGTTTGTTTGGTTCGCCATCACAGGTTGATCACTGGTACCCTGACATGACCCCTTTCGACCAACGGGATTTCTCACGGGTGTATTACCCGCTGCCTCCTTTGTTCGCCTTGTTTGTTTGAGGACTGTGGCTGACTCAATATCTCCTCCTCCTGCTTCTGCCCCCTTCAGCGGTAGTCTCCCAGAAGCATACCACCTGAAACAACTTCCACCCTTGACCCATCTCCACAATTTCCTTTGTCCACTCACCGCTTTCATCTCCCTCTCGTGATACGCCTCTCGTAGCACCTCACCACTAGATCTCGTAGGTGGGTGTTTCATCTGCGAGATTCGAAGGGACTCCACAAAGACCGAGGCTGACCTCGTGCCATCTCCAACGCCACCCTTGCTCGCCTGTCCTTTTAACGGACCACTTGCTCACCCTTCGAATCTCTTTTCCCACTTCATTCAACGACTTACACTGTCCTTGATAATCATCTCCACCTTTGGCTTTGACAGTCATTCGCAATGTCTTCCTTGGTTCAGTCCCAGTCGTTCGACGGCGACCGTGGTCAGGCCCAGCAGAACCTGTACGCTTCGCCCGCAGGGTCTCCGCGAGTTTCGCGACCTCCCTCGCAAGCGTCCATCCATGTGCCTCAACAACCATCGTACTCTCCCCATCTCCCTGCCGAGTCGCCTATGCCAGTCTCGGCTTACCCCACCTACCGACCCTTTGCAGACGGCTTGACCCTGCCCCCAATCCCCATGAACGGGACGGGTGTCTACCCCAACTCAGCTCCCATGACCTACTTTCCTGCCATCTTTGACGGCCGCAGCTCCCAGCCCATGATTCGAACCGTCTCTCATGCCCACCCCATGAACTCGGCCTCGGAACAAACCGTGTCTTCGCGCTACTCTTCCTCGCCCCACAGCGCCAACGGCCAACTCGTCGACGCCCCTCCGACTGCCGGAGCCCCGTCTGGTCCTTGGGGCCAGCCCTCTTTCAGTCTTCCAGACGATGCTCGCCTGAATCCCATGTTTGCGTCCAACGGCTACTCCATGTCCCGTTCCACCTCGGGTAACAGCGAGGGTCCCGAAACCAGGTTGCTCACTCCCCACATGGACTACCGCACAAACCCAGCCGAGGCAGAGTTGAGGCAGGTGGACGATAGCTTGGCGGGGAAAAAGTATTATCCCCAACTCGCGTCCTTCACGCCCAGGTTTGATTTGCAGAACCACGCTCTCGGCTTGGGTCCACACCCCCAGCCAGATGCCTTCTTTGGCAACAAGAGCTATGGCGCTGGGTCCGGGGCTGCATTCTCCTTGGCGGAGCAGCGAGGCGGCGAGAGTGAACCCGTCGGTGAGACCGAGTATGAAAGAGAGCGACGCGAGCAGATCATGAACAACAAAAAGTTGCTGGATGATGTCGGTCTCGGTTCCAGCGTGAGTTGCGAGAGAAAGAGTTGGGATGGGTTGCTGACGATAACAGTTGAGCTTTGGCTCCAAGCACGTCAGTGGGGGCAGTAGCGGAACATCGACTCCCAAGCGCAAGGCATCCACCCCTGTCAAGAAGCGTCTTCACCTCGAGGGGTCTAGAGAGTATCAGAGTGAGCCCAAATATTCTTGGCTCGGCCAATGCTGACTTTTCAGTGCGAGCATCTCCGAGGATCCGCTCGATGAACCGGAGCATCTCCTATGCCAATCTCGACGGAGGTTCTGGTAGCGATGACGATTATGGCTCTTCTGAACACGAGCAGGAGCAGGACGACGAGGAAGAAGAGTTTAGGCCCACCAAGCGCTCCAGAGGGGGTAACGGCTACAGGCAAAAGTCGGCGTCCTACAGCAGTAATACTAGTTCCAAGGTAAGCACCGTGACAATAGCAATATATGGAGCTGACATACCTCGCAGGCCGCCAAGCCTCAGCTTTCCCTCTGGGGTCTCCTCCAGGTCTACTCGTCCATCCCCCACAACTTTCCCCTCTTCTACTACACTCTCAACAATGATTTGACCATCAACTCTGACTCCGTGCCCCTCATTGGATCCATCCCGTCCAACTGCACACCGATAGCCAAGGCAGAGACTCTAGCGGCATTCTTCCATCGCGGTCGAAGAGTCTTGGCCCAGCTTGATGCGTTCACCACCCGGTGTGATCGCAAGTACGAGGGTCCAGAGAACAAGTGGCCAGAGCTCGACTATCACACCAGGATCGCGGTCCGAGATGTGCGAAGAAAGATTGTCGAGAGGTGCGAGAATTACAAGTACACACGAAGAGATATCCTCGACAAGTGAGTCTGGTGGTCTCTTGTGGTGCGCGCCTTGCTGACAAGACTTGGTAGGCACGTTGGTCGTGGCAAGTGGAAGCCTATTGAAGACGGCATGATCGAATGGCGCGTCGGTATGACGGTCAACGACCCGGCCAATGACCTCGCCAACGTCACTTTGACTTTGCCCACCCCTCCCCCTGATGCCTACGCCCAGTCGATGCGTCAGACAGCACCGCCTCCCATCTACACTGACCGTGCCATCAAGCCATACCCTCACGGTCGTCGTATCGCATCAGCTGCTCCCCGCAATGTCAGCGTGGTCATGGGCGAACCGGATGAGCACGCCAACCCTTCGGCAGCTGGGTCGTCCGCCATGTACGGATACGCCGCGCCGCCTGCCAAAATGTACGGCGAAGACCAAGTGCCGCTGAGCGTCCAGATGCCTGGATCTGCCTCTTCGGCTGCTGCCCGAGCCGACAGTCTGGAGGAAACGGCCAATGCTGCTGGTTGGAACCGAGGGGCAAAGAGAGGACGAAGCTCGAGCGAGGGAAGCGACGCTTACTCTGCGGAGAGCGAAGAGTAGGAGCGTCCTGTGTGGCACACCATGGCATTGAGCTTTAGCATTTTGTATAAATAACAATCGATCAACACTCACCAATTTGTCTCTTATAGTCCTTCCCATTTCCTGTGATTTTGTATTCCTTTTGTAAAGAAAGTCTTTTCCGTGGTCTCCCGCGATTGCGAGAGTCTTGTATGATAGTCGTTTGATCCGTATAGCGTCCTTCAGTGGAAGGATTTAGGTGTGTAGTTGGCGCCATGCATATATTCGTTCGATATGTTGATACAAGGCTGCTGTGATAAAAGTCATACGGGTGCACAGTTGGTTCTTGGCTGGTTCTTGGTGCTGGGGAAAGCAAGCGGGACCAAATTGAATGATAGATCGACCCGATGACACTTTTGTCAACATTTCAGCATCTCAACCCGATCATCGTATCAACTATATCACGTCGAGCGGAATTCCTACTGCTGGAATAGATAATCGACTAGCCATGGAGTTTTCCAATTTCGAAGGGGCTTCCCAGGTACGTCTCTCCTTTCTTGCCACCTTTCTTTATGCTCATCCCCTCATGTCTACAGTACGGCCCCGATACTGACGATACCACCTCTCTTTATTCCTCCGTTCCTCCTTCAGTCATTACCGCGCCTACTATCAACGGCGATCTTGCTAGTCAGATGGGTAATATGGGATTGAACGGGACCGTTGCCGGAAGCGTTGTCGGCCATGGCTATGGGGATGAGTACGACGAGGAGGCGGAAAGAAACACTTTCGGAGAGGGCATTGAACATGCTTGCAGGTATGTGACATACGGGTCGGGCGGGATAGGCATGCTGACTCGCGGGGTAGCTACTGTGGCATCCACAATCCACAATGTGTTGTCAAAGTGAGCTTTGGTGGCTTTCGAGATGAGCCAGTGCTGACTCGGTCATTAGTGTCTGCACTGTACCAAGTGGTTCTGCAACTCGCGTGGTAATACTTCGGCTTCTCACATTGTCAACCATCTGGTCAAGGCAAAGCACAAGGAAGTCATTCTTCATAAAGAATCGGCTCTTGGAGATACCATCCCGGAATGTAAGCGGCCTTGTATCGTCGAAATGTCGAGCTCACAGTGTGGCAGGCTATAACTGTGGTAGCAAAAACGTGTTTATGCTTGGTTTCATTCCCGCAAAGAGCGATACAGTTGTCGTGCTTCTCTGTCGGCGAGTCAGATGATCATATCCATCAATATGCTGCTTACACCCACTAGTCAACCATGCGCTGCTCTGACCAACTCGAGAGACATTAATTGGGATACCTCGCAGTGGTCGGCAATCATTGATGATCGCCAATTTCTTTCGTGGCTCGTCAAGGTGCCTTCGGAAGCCGAGCAATTGAGGGCGAGACAAATATCCCTGGCTCAGATTTCGAAACTAGAAGAGCTTTGGAGAGAAAACCCGGATGCCAAGCTTGAAGATGCCGAGGCGCAGTCTGGAGAAGAAGAGATGCAGCCGATCTTGCTCAAGTGAGTCGTACCGTGTTTTGATTTGACCTGACCCTTGGTAGATATGAGGACGCATACCAGTACCAAAACATCTTTGGCCCCCTCGTCAAGATTGAAGCAGACTACGACAAACGCATGAAGGAGTCTCAGACGGAGAACGATATCACCATCCGATGGGACATGGGTCTGAACCAAAAACGACTCGCGTGGTTTTGCATGCCCAAGTTGGAGAGCGGTGAAGTGAGGTTGGCGGTGGGCGACGAGCTGAAGTTGAAGTTTGTTGGCACTTCAAACAGCGTCGGCGTAAAGGGTCTTGCGGCCTTGAGCAAGGGCAACTGGGGAGGAGCTTCAGAGGTTGCTTGGGAAGGGATTGGTGGAGTCGTCAAGATCCCCAACAGTGAGTTTGTCATCCGATGCTGGGCCACGCTGATGTGTGGTAGACGCTTCCGATGAAATTTGTCTCGAGCTTCGCAGGAATGACGGCGTTCCCGCAGATTGTACTCATGGGTTCTCGGTGGATTTCATCTGGAAATCGACCAGCTTTGATCGTATGCAAGCTGCCATGAAGACGTTCGCCATTGACGAGAAGAGTGTCAGCGGGTATATCGTGAGTGGCTGGTTTCAGTAGGTATACAGGTGCTGACTGCGTCAAAGTATCACAAGTTGTTGGGTCACGAGGTTGAGCCTCAGGTGCTCCGTACGCAGATGCCCAAACGATTCACTGCCCCCAATCTTCCCGACCTCAACTCTTCGCAGATGACTGCTGTCAAAGCTGTACTCCAAAAACCCCTGAGCTTGATTCAAGGCCCGCCCGGTACTGGTAAAACTGTCACCTCGGCTTCTATCGTCTACCACCTCGCCAAGATGAACCCTGGCCAAGTGCTTGTCTGTGCCCCTTCCAACGTCGCCGTCGACCACTTGTGTGAAAAGATTCACCTGACCGGATTGAAGGTCGTGCGTCTGGCCGCCAAGTCTCGTGAAGCGCTCGACTCGTCCGTGTCTTTCCTCTCACTTCACGAGCAGGTGGCTCGGGCAGACACCCACACCGAGCTTCAAAAGCTGATCCAGTTGCGAAATGACCAAGGCGAGCTGAGTCAGAGTGACGAGCGCAAGTACAAGGTTTTGGTGAAGGCTTGTGAGAAGGATATCCTCAATGCGGCGGACGTCATTTGTGTCACCTGTGTTGGTGCAGGAGACCCTAGGTTGGCCAAGTTCAAGTTTAGGACCGTCTTGATTGACGAGGCGACCCAGTCTGCCGAGCCTGGTGAGTATCCAAGCTTATCAGTGGGTGTTCCGCTGACTTGTTACAGAATGTATGATCCCCCTTGTCATGGGATGTAAACAGGTCGTCCTTGTTGGAGATCACCAACAGTTGGGCCCTGTCATCATGAACAAAAAGGCAGCCCGTGCAGGTCTGTCCCAGTCCCTCTTTGAGCGCCTCGTCATTCTCGGCAACCACCCAATCCGACTGCAAGTGCAATATCGAATGCACCCCTGCCTCTCCGAATTCTCCTCCAACCTGTTCTACGAGGGCACACTCCAAAATGGTGTGACTGCTCCCGAGAGGTTGAGGAAGAATGTCGATTTCCCCTGGCCAGTGTCAGACACGCCCATGTTCTTCCACCAGAACCTGGGAACAGAAGAAATCTCCTCAAGCGGTACTTCTTTCCTCAACAGGACCGAGGCTTCCAACGTGGAGAAGATGGTCACCAAGTTTTTCAAGTCTGGTGTCATGCCAGGTCAGATTGGTGTCATTACACCCTACGAAGGTCAACGATCATTCATTGCCTCCTACATGCAGCTCCACGGGTCCTTGAAGAAGGATCTCTACAAGGAGGTCGAAGTAGCGAGTGTCGATGCCTTCCAGGGTCGAGAGAAGGACTATATCATCCTGAGTTGTGTGCGAAGTAATGAGCACCAGGGTATCGGTTTCCTGAATGACCCGCGAAGGTTGAACGTCGCGTTGACCCGTGCCAAGTATGGTGTGGTCATTCTAGGTAACCCCAAGGTTCTTAGCAAGGTTAGTTTGCGATATCAGTCAAGGACATGGCTGACATAGCGCAGCACCCTCTTTGGCTGTATCTCCTGACCCACTACAAGGAGAAGGGGTGCTTTGTCGAGGGCCCGCTCAGCAACCTCCAGCCCAGTATGGTGCAGTTCAGCAGGCCTAAAAAGTCTTTGGCCGCGGCAATGGATCCTTTCAAGAGGCGAGAGACTTCTGCTGTCGAGTATCTGAACAAGAGTGCGTCATTCAAATCAATTATTTTCTATGCTGACATCTTCCCAGCTGTTGGCCAGGGTCAAGGTCAATCTGCTGCTGCCGGTCGATTCGACCCCGCGTACTACCGAACGCACAATCCCATCTCTTTCGTCCCTCCCGACGCCCAGTCTGTCATTTCTCAGGCCATGACCAACTCTGGTTTCCCCATGTTCCCTGGCGGTAAAAACAAGACCTATACTGGCTATGCCTCTAGCGTCGTCTCCCAGCAGCCTACCGATAGCGGGCTTGCCCCTCCCCGTGCAGGACAGTCCCAGTTTGATAGGTTTGCTCAGCAAGATTCAGTTGCAGGGTCCTTGGGCGGCAAAGGAAGAAGGCTCTCGATTGGAAGTGAGGCTGCGAGCGCGTCCATGTACGCTTATGGCTACAAGGCCGGGGAGGATGATGTGCAGAGCATTGCACCGAGTCAAGCTGGAATGACCGAGTTCTAGTAGCGAGATTGGAAGGAGTCTTTGCAGCTGCGCCACGTGAGAATCGCTCTACGAGATCGCCGACCCAGTGAGCCAATCTGCTGAAAGCCATCATCTTGGCTTCTGTGGCTCCCTGCTGCGACCGAAGAGGTCACAGGAGGCTTGTGTACATCTTATGTAAGGATGACCACCATGCATACTGTACAAGATCAAGCATTGTCGTAGACTCGCGATTCATCACAAAAGGTACGATCGAAACCGATGCTATGCTTGATTGTACATGTTCTACACCAACTTGGGCTCAGGGGCAGCTCGGATCTTTTGATATTGGGCCATGATCAACTGCAGATGAAGGTCAGTAGAGTCGTCAAAGTACTGATCATGAGGCCTACCTCATTGAAGACAAGAGTAAAGATGGTGTGGGGGGTGATTCGGAGGAAGTGGGCGGTGGTACCCTTGTACCATCCAGGGATACCTTCAGCCTTGAAGGTCTTCCAGAGGCAGTCGATAGGGTTGGTGTACAAAGCGCCACGGACTTTGCCGGTGATGGGGTCCTTGATAGTGTTTTCTGGAACAGTCATCAGCTCACGAGTCATCATATACTAAGGGAAGACTTGCGGTTGTACATTCTTGTGAGAGCCTACACAGAGTTAGCTATATCAGAGCGGTATGGAGTATATACTCACAGTATCGGCAGGCTGCATGGCAAGGCAGACGGCAACACCAGAGACGGAAGACGCAGCAAGGAAGGTCCAGAAACTGTCGGCCGCCATACCAGCATTGGACACGAGGTAGCTCTTGGAAAGGTTGTATGAGGGTAATTGCACAGAGGAGCCCTGTACAGATATTAGCTAAGGTAGACTGGGAATGCCAAAGCGACTTACCATGGCGGTACGCAAAATGGCCGTGCTGACACCTCTCCAGAGACCAAAGAACCCATCGGTCTTCATGATGCTAGTGAGGGCGGCAAAAGAGTTTGGGTAGTAGTGCTGGGCACCAACGGGCAGCGCTGGAGAGTAGGCCTGCATACGAGCTTTGACGAGGAAAAGGGGAGATCCGAGAGCAGCTGGAAACGGGTCAGCAAGGTTTCAACAAAAAGTTATCACACATACCACCGATACAGCCCGTGAAAGCACCAGCAGCAATGGCAGTGACGGCTACGCTATCTTCGGGATTCTTGCCGATAGCTGTGTTGAAGAACTTTCTGCAAGGCTCGTAGAAACCTAGACGGGAACCATTGAGGAGAATCTACAAGGTTTATGAGTTTTGTCATTTGTGACTCGGACACGACGGACCTGGTATCCATACTGTCATGATAATGAGCTTTGCCATTTAGGTCACAAAGTGCACTCACAGCCGGCAACAGACCTCTTTGAAGGCCTCTGATTCCCTCGTGCTGCCATGTCTTCTTGAACACATCACCGACGTTCTTGTACACTCGAGGCGCGGAAGGGTCGTGCTTCTGCAGCTCACCCTGAAGCTGCAGGCGTGTTTTCATAGTTTCGGGAACATTGGCTGCCAGAAGTATGAGATGCGGCCTTGTCATCTCTTCTAATAAGACTTACAGATACTGACAGCACCGACACCGGCTAGACCACCACAGATGAAACTTTCAAGAAGATTGAGAGGCGGCTGAGCTGGCTTGGCCGGGGTAGGGACCGCGGCAGGAGCAGCCTGGGTAGTAGTGGCAGCTGTAGACATTCAAAAGTTGGTTACGCAGAGGTTCGGGACGAGATGGAAGCCGATGATATTGCAGGTGATTTGAAGGCCGACAGAAAGAGATGAATCGCGGATGACCGATGAGGGCTGGCACTGATTTCTTCCGGGTTTTCGAGGCGAGGGTGTCTGTTGCTATGTGCCGAGGTTACCGTCCGCTGCAGGGTGTCTGTATGAAGAAGAGTATGAAGAAGAGGAGGCGAATGGCAAAAAAACAAAAGAAGAATGACATCCATCTCGCATTGTCATTTGAATCCCGGCATCAAGCGATTCGGTCTTGTCGCCCGAAATAATCCCCAGTTGGGCCATTGTCCCGGTCCAATTCCCAAAACTCGCCTCCTCAATCCCATCTCCTCTTGCATTTGCCTCGCTCTCATCTCGCCACTTCCATCCACCATGTCTGCACGCCGCCCAGCAGACAACTCGGCGCCAGGTCAGCCCGACCCCAAGCGCCCAAAGACCGATGGTCCCATCGACATCGCCGCCGTCCGAGCCCAGCTCGCCGCTCGCAAAGCTGCCCTCGAACAGCAAAAGCTCGGCGGAGCCTCTCCCGCTCCCGCTTCTGGCTCTGCCTCCCCGGCGCCCCCTACCCCGGGCCCCGCAATCTTGCCCAAAGCACCGGCTATAGATGGCGGTATACAAGCAAAACTCGCAGCTGCACGAGCCCGGCTCGATGCTCTCAAGGCCGCCCCTAAACCCAACGCCGCCCCTAAACCCAACAACCCCTACCTTTCTGGCTCTGGCAATGTCCCCAGAACCGACTCTCCACAACCAGCGGTCTCATCTGTGGCTCTTCACCCGCTTTTGATGGGAGACAACAACCCGCAACAGGCCGAGAAGGAAAAGAATGAAAAGAAGGCCATGAGGGATCGGTACAAGCCTATGGCACCGAAATTCTCCTCTGTAAGGGCGAATGCATCGGCAGCACAGGCGCCTTCAAGGGCATCCCCCGCTGCACCTCCATCTGCTGCGACTAGTTTCAACCCCTATGCTTCAAACTCGGCCTCGGCGTCGCCTGCGCCGGAAGAGGCGCGAGGGGCTACCCGCAAATCGCGAAAGCTGCAATTTAGCAGGCAGGGAAAGTATGTGGAGCAGGGAGATCAGCTGCGAAATGAGCAGAAAATGGAAGCGTTGAGGTTGAGGATCGCAGAGGCTAGTAGAAAGGCTGGGTTGGATAGTGAATTCGATACCCTGGAGAGGAGTTTCAAGGTGCGTGCCGCTCTATCGTTGACAACCCATTTGCTGACTGTTGCACAGAGGCAGCCCCCTCCTGCTGTAGAGTGGTGGGATGAGGCCATCCTTCCCAAGGGTACTTCATACGAGGATGATCTCGAGCCAGCCTTTGCCGACATGGTCACCAACACCGATTCGCTCATTACCCACCTCGTTCTCCTACCTATCCCCATTCCTGCCCCTCAGGACCGCAAGCAAGCTGAGCGTGGCTTGATGCTCACCAAGAAGGAGCAAAAGAAGATGCGCCGACAGCGTCGACAGGCCGAGCTGGAAGACAAACGCGACAGGCAAAAGATGGGTCTCTTGCCACCCGACCCTCCCAAGGTCAGACTGGCCAACCTGATGAAGGTCTTGACGAGTGACGCGGTTCAAGACCCGACCAAGGTGGAGGCGAAAGTGCGGAAAGAAGTGGCAATGCGAGCGTACAAGCACGAGAAGGATAACAATGACAGAAAGTTGACAGTGGATGAGAGAAAGGAGAAAGAGTATAACCAGATGTTGGCCAAAGAGAGGAATGGAATCCGTGGCGCCGTTTTCAAGTAAGTGTCTCAAGTGTGCAAGCAGGAGCAAACTGACTTGACTGCAGAATCAAATATCTTACAAACGGCCGCCACAAGTTCAAGGTCCGCGAGACAGCCAAATCAGATCTCTTGTCAGGCATCTGTATCTTCCACCCGAAATTCGCTCTCGTGTTTGTGGAAGGTGTCGATAAGTCTATCAAGCACTACAAACGTCTCTTGCTCAACCGTATCGACTGGACTGAGCAAGCTCGTCCTATGGACGGCGAGGACGGGTCAGACGGCGAGGGCGGCAAGGGCGGGGCGGATGGCGATCAGGACTTGGCGGATAACAAATGTGAACTCATCTGGGAGGGAGAGTTGACTGAGAGGACGTTCAAGATGTTCAGGGCGAGGCATGTCGAGACGGATGGAAAGGCAAAAGAGTGGTTGACACCCCGATTTGAGGGCATGTGGGATTTGGCCAAGAGGTGGAAGTGGGAGGGAGAAGACATGTGATTTTAATGGGTATGCATGGGTTACACGTATAAACTACAAGGGCGAGATGAAGACCGGCCAGCCGACCAGCCGCGTGAAAGGGATACTAGTTGTTGGTGGAAGTCTGGTCGCCACAGCCGAGACACTATACGAGTGTCAACTCCTGTCCCAAGACAAGGAAAAGATGTGACATACCTTGTAAAAGATTGTACTACCTTCATCCGCAGATCGCAACTGCATTTCCTTGTAACTCAGACCGATATGACCACATTTCTGACACTTTTCTTGGGCCTATAACGAGTTTGAGCTCATCCCGTGGATATCCAGTCAAGTTACTTACGACAGGATCTCTTCCCTTGGCAGCTTCACCAGCATCCAGCTTGTTTTGAACCAGTGCCCGCTTAGATTTCAGCACACTCGGAAAGGCGTTGGGAGAGGAGTAGGTCTTTGTAGGAAGGTTCTCGTATGCTGCGCCACGGTCAGTCACGCCTGTATTCCCTCCTGTGGCTCCCTCCCCTTGTTCGAGCATGAGCACACTTACATGAAGCAGGCTCTCTCCTTCCACATTGCGAACAAGCGATTTCCGTTTGGTCGTCCTGGGGCAAGTCGAGCAGCGTGCCGCAAGCGGGGCAGAAGAGTAATGAGCCGATACGGTGGGCAGAGACTGTGGCAGGGGCCATTGTAGTAGTTGATGGGATGAGGGAGGTATATACTGTATAGGTATAGGGGTTCAAAAAATACTTGGGCCGACGGACGGAAAACATTGTGGTGGAGGCTGATTAGCACATTTGGTTCCGCTAATCGCCCGTTGTTGTTTCCGCCATGCATCTACGTATATCTTCAGAGCCATTCCCAGTCCTCCCTCATCATCCCTCCCATCGTCGCCATGCTCGACCACATCTCCATATCACATCAGAGTGAGCCAGATCTCTCCCCATAAGCTACTGCTGACTTTTGCAGGCGGCCTCGTTCTCTGGTCCCGCTCGTTCACCCCTGCCTTTTCCGCTCTCGCCTCAAGCCCAAACTCCCCCGTCAATGCTCTTGTTAGATCTACATTCATCGAAGGGAAAGCTGTATCGAATGGCGAAGAAGAGGGTCTGGAGAAAGACGGGTTCAGTGTGCGGTGGACGGTTGAGAATGGACTAGGTCTTGTCTTTGTCGTAAGTGTTCTATCACACCTGAGGACACTCGCTCATGTCATGGAAGGTCGTGTTTCCGGCTCTCTTACCTCTGGCGTATATTCCGCAACTTCTAGAGCGTACAAAAGCGCTCTTCCTGGCCCTCTTCCAGCCATACATTGCGACCTTGGTCGAATCGTTGACCGCTGGCGGTGCTGTCATCTCGGCTGCAGGCTCGGCATTGAAGGAGCTGAAAGACCAGATCAGCGAGGAACGATGGAACGATATCTGGGATAGATGCTTCAAGTCTTGTGAAGGGGCAAGTGATTCCCCGTGCTATAACGACTCGTTCTGACTCTGAGCAGGCAAAGAAGAAGCCTCTTGCCAAGCACCTAGCAGCGTCCTCGACCTCTACTCCGGGCACCACCTCCCCCGAGACTTCGGATCTCGATTCCTCCGCTACCCCACTTTCCGCCGAAGAAATCGCCAAGAATGCTCAAGCTATGCGCTCCAAGATGAAGGGCGGGGGCAAGCGTCGTGGCCTCCGCGACGGGCTGTCCCCTTCCCCATCCCCTTCGCCATCACGACCAAACAAGTCGGCACAGGCAAAGCTGATGCGAAAGTGGGGCGACTCGCCGGTGAGCAAGGCCGAGATGGAGGCGCTAGACTATTCGTCGCCGGCGCCGGAGGAGGTCAAGGTCGATACGGCGGCGTTGGTGTCTGTAGATGCTCTGGGTGAAAAGAAGGATAATGGGACGTATGAGGTTGCGGACTGGGATTTCAAGAGACCTGCTTTGTCTGGGGGCGACTTGCCGAGCGAAGAAGACATTCTTGCGAGAAGGACAACCAGACTGGCCCTTTCTGACGCAGATGTTCAGCAGTCGACTTGGTCCAATGTCTTTTCCCGTCTGACGGGAAGCAAGACGCTCAGCAAAGACGACCTTGCACCGGTCCTTGTGGAGATGGAGAAGCACCTCATGGGCAAGAATGTCGCCAAAAACATTGCAGAGAACTTGTGCGAAAGCGTGGGCGCTGCATTGGTCGGCAAAAAGCTCGGTGGATTGAGTAGCGTCAAATCGCAAGTTCAAGCCGCCTTGAACACATCCCTCACTCGTGTCCTCACCCCCAAGTCATCGACCGATCTCCTTCTTGATATCCAGCGCAAACGCTCCTCGCACCTATCTACACTGTCTACCTCGGACGGTCCCGACCCGTACACCCTCACATTTGTCGGCGTCAATGGCGTCGGCAAGTCTACCAATCTCTCCAAAGTCTGTTTCTGGCTGCTCCAGAATGACTTGCGAGTACTTATCGCTGCGTGTGATACGTTTAGAAGTGGGGCCGTGGAGCAGCTGAGGGTTCATGTGAGGAATCTGGGAGCGTTGGGAGAAGAGATGGGGAAGGGTAAGGGAAAAAGGATCGAGTTGTATGAGAGGGGCTATGGAAAGGACGCGGCTGGGATTGCCAAGGACGCTATCGCTTATGGTAAGTGGTCCTCTCCTGTCGCTTTCACAAGCCAACTTTCATGATAGCCAAACAAAATCATTTCGACGTCGTCCTCGTCGACACCGCCGGCCGAATGCAAGACAACGAGCCCCTGATGCGTGCGCTCGCCAAGCTCGTCACTGTCAATAACCCAGACAAGATTGTCTTTGTCGGCGAAGCTCTTGTGGGGAATGAAGCCGTGGATCAGTTGAGCAAGTTTGATAGGTCGCTGAAAGACTTTTCCGGCGCGGGGTCGGGGAGTGGAGGAAGGAAGAGGGGTATAGATGGGATCATCTTGACCAAGTTTGATACTATTGTGAGTGTCCCGAATCACGTTGATATCGCGCTGACCCTGCACAGGACGACAAGGTCGGAGCAGCGCTCTCCATGACTTACATCACTGGCCAGCCCATCCTGTTTGTCGGCTGTGGCCAAACGTATACCGATCTGCGCCAGTTGAAGGTGAATCATATCGTCCAGGCATTGTTGTCATAGAATCTCATTCTCAATGGTTATCATATGTAATGGGGTCGTGTCTTTTGGTATGCAATTGTATGGCTATAATCCGTGCTCCACTCTCAGACGTTGGACGAGCTTTATCGCCTGGCGCACTTCCTCCAACTCGAGCTCGCCTTCCTGTGCGACGTCTCTCCAAGCCTTTCTGATCGTTTCCTTCTGTAGCTCCTCCACCCTCCCTGCTAGCTCATCGCGCTCCTTCTTGGCGCCCAGCAGCTCCTTCTTGGACTCTGCCAGACATCTACGGATATGGGAAGTAGAAGGCGGCGTCGCTCTCCTCGGCGTAAACTTTGGCCTTCGATACTCGGGCACCCTCTCCGGCTTCCACTCCCCCATACTATCTCCCAACCCATCCTCGTCCGCAAAACTCATATCCATATCCATCAAATTATCTTCGGCAGCTTCCTTAGTGATGCCCAGTGTGGTGCTTGTGTGGCTAGCAGCGCTGGGCAAGCATGGAAGGAGGGGCGTTTCGGTAGGCAAGGTGAAGAAGGGATTGGTGGGCGTGTAGGGGTAGGCATGGGTAGCAGTGGTAGACGGAGGCGTTTTTGGATTTGTAGTGATTGATGGTATACGGGATGGGCTGTTGATAGCTGCTGGCGTACTCAGACCCATGTTGGCTAGTGCAAAGTGAGCACGCGCAGCGTGCAGTGAGATTTTCGAAGAGACATACCATCTCTCAGCCTCTGCAGTCCTCCGACTCTACCCAGAGACCTCACAGCAGCCTTCTGAACATCCTTCCCATCTGACGCTTTTCTGGTATCTACTCTGCTTCTGAGAGAATGAGAGCTCGCAACGGAAGAGACAGTTCGCTTTGGCCCCAGCGGGTTGCTACTGGCAGCTGACCTCAGGGGCACTGCAGCGGTCTTTGTGTGTGAGAGAATAGGTTTTCTAGGTGGCGAGGCAATGGCAGAGGGAGATGGGAGCCTTGAAGTTTTGGGCAAGGTTAAAGTCGATCGACTGGGAATCAAGCGACGTTGTGCGCTTGCGCCAGTGGCAACACCAGGCTTGATCGCATCGGCGGTTTCCTTTGCGGTACCCGCTATCGCTGCCCTGGCATTAGGCTCCGGGACTGTTCTTCGCCCGTCGGAGCGCAGGCCCGCGCTAGTGGGTTGCCTGGGGAGTGTCCGCGGTCTCAGTCGTGCAGCTGGCGGGATAGAGGAGGTCGGTGCAGGGAGCTTGGAGGGGATGGTGGTGCTCGGAGGACGGAGGGAGGAGTGGGAGGCCGGGCGGGGGAGGCGTGTCGAATCCATTAGGGGTGGATATACAGATGCAAAGAGAGGTGGCTGCGGATGGAGACAAATAAGGTAGAGAAATCAACCAACGCGGTAGACACCGAAATCAGCCGCGTCGCGCCTGGCTCCTGGCTCCTGGCTCCTGGATGTGGCTTGGCAGGTGAAACTTCCGGGCAGACAGGGATGACACGGACGGGGTGGGCTGTGTAGACAGATAGCTTACATAACGGGAGTGCTTCCGGTGATACCATGGCTAGAGTCTGATGCATCCGGAATACCCCCCGCCCTTGGCTTGGCCTGTTGTACTTGATGAGAGATGTACCGAGAAGATTTGCTTCCGGTCCCGAGGGCTTCTCTCACGAGATGCTGTTTTCTGTCTGTCCTCCGTTGCTGGGCTCACGTTAGCAGCGCCCCTGTATCACACAGAATCCCAACACTCCCCCCTTGCCGCCCTTTTTACCTCCGTGCCCACACCCATACCCTACACCGCCACTTCCGCCCCCCAGCTTTCTCCCATCGTCAAAATCTTGTATATATATATCCACCCCTCCTCCCTTTATATCCCCACTTCCGCCACTCCCAGTAGCACCTGTCCCATGCCTGCCAACCGCCAGTAATCACCCAACAGCCCCAGCCCCACTCTAGCCCCCCTGCATCTACATTTCCCAGGCCATAGTGCCCGGCGACCACCATGGGCCATACGACTATTCCCCCAAATCTCATCGCACTCCTCTCTTCTCCCCAGACCCCCACAAGCTACGCCACAGACGCCTTGGAAGAATGGATCCTCCACAGGCGGGCAAAGGGCGATAATCTCTTCGAGACCTCCGTCGGGCTGGTAGAGCTCGAAGACCGGGTAAGCGAGATGGCACCATGTGATGAGGACCTGACTAACACCCACGGCCAGACACCGCCGCACCTGACCTATGCATTCGACCGGGCGAGGTACCTCACCAATGTACCCCACATCAGCGACCTCTCGCCACCCACCGGCCCCTTCCCGCTCTCGCGCTCTGCGTCTACATCTACAATCCTCGCCCACCTCTTGTCCAGCCCGCCCCCGACCATCCAGCATTCCCGAGAAGTCATTCTCGAGTATACGCTGGCCAGGGAGACCAAACTACGAGAGAAGAAATCGGGGAGGGCCGGCAAGGGGACGCTGGGGCGGGAGGCATTCGAGGATATCGCAAAGCGGATGGGAGAGATCGAAGACGGTCTGCGGCAAAACTCTTCCGACAGTCCCAGGCGAGGGTCTGTACCGCTCCGCGATGCCTATCCTTCGCCCCAGTCCTCTCAAGGGATCCCAGAGCTGAGCGAGAACCAACA